CTATGGGGCCCTGGGCAGGAGATCAGTGTTTATCCCTGGCATGCAAACGGACTTTGTGTGTCCATAACACAAAGAGGGATGCTCTCTCAGCCTGGACTCTTAGGGGAGTGCCTGAAGCCTGCCCTGAGTAAAGTGACAGACTGTGGATATCTCCTATGTGGAAGGAAGTGGGGATAGGGTGGGAGGCTGGTAGGGGCGTCGTGGGGGGGGGTGCCGGAGGAGGGAGGGAGAGGGAACTGGGATTGACATGTGAAGCAAGCTATTTAAAATGAAAGTAATAAAAAAAGTTAAAAAATTGTTGAGAGTTATTAACTGTTTACAACCCCAAATTTGGTGAGCTACTCAAGAAGTAATGTTTCAAACATTACAAGGTGATAAGTACTTGAATAGTTCATGAAAATTATCAGCTGAGGTTGAGAGAAAATTGGCTTTGGTAGAAAAGAGGATGGACATATGGATTGCTTGGATCCAGAGCTTGATTGTACTCTGGGTATGTTACCCTCTACTTATCCCCCCACAAGAGTTCTTACATAGAGAACTGATAGTATCTTTGAATGGACATTTTAAACACACAAAGAGAGTAAAAACTTAAAGACCTATGTAGAAAGTTTTCTGAATTGATTCTGAAAGGAAAATTATGACTTCGTCAATTAGCAGAAATAAACCCAGCAGAAATTGTGGCATCTTTTACTACTGCTGAAATTTCCTCATTATGGGCAGAACAATGAACATTAGCAAAGAAACATTTAATTAGAGTGGCTTACATTTTCAGAGTTTCAGTCCGTTATCATCGTGGTGTGACATGGTGGCCTGTATGCAGACATGGAGCAGGAACTGAGAGTCTTAACATCTTGACTCCAAGGCAACAAGAAGTGAACTGAGGCACTGAGTGTGGTTTGAGCACATATGAGACCTCAAAGCCTGCCTCCACAGTGACACATTCCCTCTAACAAGGCCACACTCACTCCAACAAAACCACACCTCATAATAGTACCACTGGCTTTGGGGGGGGCATTTTCTTTTAAACCACCACAGGTGCTACTTAACACACCAAAGCAGAGTCTGGCTGCCATGTTCTCAACAACTACCTGTTACAGGGTCATCATGTGTGGCATACCCTATGTCCTACCCTAAATTCTCCAGACCAGGCACTGGGCTGAGTCCCTTCCCCCAGCTTTTCTTTCTCATGTAACCTAGCCATTTTGGATATGCTGGCATTAGAACAGATAAATGAACAAAGATCGGCATACTTTATTTCTAAATTTTCTCATATGACAACTTCTGCCAATGCAAATACAAGTGATCCCGAAACCTGTTATGTCTAAAATTGTTCCAAAGTCTTCCAAAAGTCTCTTATCTCTAAGGTTTCTCTACTTCCCACTTTTAATAATCTTTTGACGCTAAAATTTCCTCTGTGCTCTGCTCTCAAAAATCTCTTGACTTTGCTGTAAACTCTTATCTCAGGACTTGTAAATTCATTGGGTATGGGTAAACAAATCTGTACAAACAAATTTGCTAAACAATAATTTGGCTGAAAACAAAAGAAGCTTATAATTAAAATCTATTCATGGATAATCATAGTTTGCTACAACGTACTCAATATATGATTCAACTCTTGGGTAGAATATACTGTATATGGAACTGAAATTCAACTCTTGTTTAAAAAATAGACCTACCAAAAAATACAGATATTTTATTATTAGCACCACGCTCTAACCAACTGAGCTAACTGGCTGATGCTAAATATAAATATTTTAAATAGCAACCATATGGTTGGCAGATTAAAGGGTACATGCCATGTGACTTCACCACCATCTTAAGATGACCACGTGTATAAACCAACTAAGGAGCACCTGTAAAAGTCTCAGTCCTGCTGAGCCTTTGGTGTATCACTGTATCTCCTGTTTAGTATAAGGAAGCAACAGCAGGTTTCCAAAACATCCTGGATTAGGATAGAGTTTTGTATGATTATAAATACTTAAGGTTGTAAGTAAATACTCAGGTTTACAGACTGACTACTTATGTCTTTGCCAACTGTTTACCACCAGATTCTGAAGCTATAGTTAGATAAATAACAACATATGTTTGAAAATAAGGCATGTTTAACAAATAAGGTTTATAAATCCCTAAGGTCTATTCAGGTTAACAATAACTTATTTAAAGATATACATCTAACCTCTTTGCCTTTCTAACTTTATTAAGCTTTAGCTATTTGGACAAACTGAGTCATATAGGGAACTGTGATATTCTATAATGGTACACTGTGTAAATATCAAGAAAGTTCCCAGTCTTTCCATGGACTGTATGTATGGTTTAAAGATTTATTTTGATGCTAAAGGATATTCAATTACACTTTAACAGGGATAAAACCATAAAACTTTACTTGTATAAAAGCTACTAGCCTGTAAATTGTTACATAATTTGTTCAGGGACAAATTTTATTTAGCCTACTATGTGTTTTCAAGATTAACCTGAAAGCAAGTAAGTAAGAACAAGTAAAGTCAGCCTCCAAAGCCACAGAGAAACCCTGTCTCAAAAAAAGCCAAAAAAAAAAAAAAAAAAAAAAGAACAAGTAAAGTTTATTTAACTCAGGTATACTTAATAAAATGGTCCTCAAACTCTTCAGAGATTGAAGAACCTACATGACTCCATTTTGGAGGCAGGAGGCATTTTGTTGAATCGCTAAAAATACATTTCCTCTGTGTGGGTTCCCCCATGATGACCTTGATCCCCTGCCTCTTCCCTTTCTTCAACAGGACTTCCAGAGCTCAGCCAGTGCTTGGCGGTGGGTCACTGCATCTGTTTCCATCAGCTACTGGATGAAGGCTCTCTGATGACAATTAGGGTGATCCCTGGCATGTGAGCTGGCTTTTGGGAACCTATTCCCCATGCTGGGTTGCCTCACTCAGCCTTGAGTCGGGGAAAAGAGCTTGGTCCTGCCTCAACTTGATGTGCCATGGTTTGTTGATGCCCGTGGGAGGCCTGCCCACTTCTGAAAGAAGAGACCCAGGAGCAGTGGGTGGGGAGGGGAATAGATGGGAGGCAGGGCAGCGGCGGGGGACAGGGAATGGGAGGAGAAGAAAGAGGGGAAACTGTGGTCAGTATGTGAAATAAATGAAATGAAAAAATTTAATTAAAAATTAAATTTCCATTTACTGTACAAGCTGAGTTTGTTTTTAAATTGCTGCTTCCTGGAACCTGACCTGCTCCAACCCATGATCTTGACCCAGATCCTCGCTAATCAGTGACCACATGATGACCGGTTTGTTTTTCAGATTTTTTCTGTACTTCCTAACCAATCTACTGTCTTGCTTCTGTAAACCTGCTTTGCAACTACTTGTGACTCTACTCCTTAAAAGGGCCCTGAAAAATGGAATCAGTGCCACTCACTCAAACCCAACTTAGAAAGCAGTTGCTGGTCAGCTCTCTGGTACACCCAAACAAAACAAAGTTTAATGTTGTCTCAAAAAATGTGGTAGTGGTCTAGTCTTGCCTGATGATATTAACAAGACCTGCTAAATATGTTTTTTAAATGTTTAATAAAAAAGCTTCCCAAGATAGAAAGAAATATTAGCTCTCAGTGGCAACCCTAAGGTCTCAAAGAAAATAAATTCGGCACAAACAATGCCAACTGTATTGGGGTAACTCCAACCACTGGGAAAAAGTGCCTCATGCCTAGCCTGCCACCAGGAACTGCCCAAACTGTGCAAACTGTTGTGTTGACTGTCCCACCGTGCCTAAGTCAAGATAGGCCAATTTCCCCACACATCTCATCCACACGAAATTCTCTCAGACCTTCTGGGTCTGGCAGCTAATGCTGCTGTGTGTGGCAGCTGAAGATTATATGTGGTCCTCTGTGACTGCAAAAGATCAGCTGCTTCTGCTGCCAATCACGGGAGTATATGACAGCCATCTAGGTGGTGGATAAATCTCTGTATTTTAATTGATGCATAGTGTTAGCGTTCAGGCATCACACCGGCCTGCCCCTTGGGGACCTGGCAGGATGCGTCATTCATGTGCGCATGTACTTGCCAGTACACAGGCAGTACTCTGGCCTGCTCAGGGTCTTGACAATGTCATCGCCTGTGTCACTGCATCGTTCCTGTGCACATGTGCTATATCCCCTCATAAAAGGCGGGCTCCACCTGCCTCCAGTCTCTCTTCTCTCCTCAGCTCTTGTGTCCAGAGGCCACACACTGCATCTCTTTCTTCCTCGCACCCAATAAACCTGCTGCATGGTGTGAGTCTCACTCTCTCCCACTGTTTTTAAATTATAACACATAGGACATTTGGATTATACTTCTTGTCTTAGGGTTTCCATTGCTGTGATGACTCTGCTAGACCTTCTGCTGAGTGTAAAAATCTGCCTGCAGAAGGGACCAACACTGTCATTAAATAGTGACCAATATTGCCACTATTCCCAGCACCCACATGACAGTTTATGACTGTCTGTAACTCCAGTTCCAAGGTATCTGACATCTCCACACCTATGTACATAAAATAAATTTTAAAAATCTTTATAAAAAGACATGAAATACTTCTTTGTATTTTATCTGGCCACAATGGAATAAAACTAGGTATCACAGCAATAAAAACACAGAAAATATAGTTATGGAAATTGAATAGCACACTATAGAATGATACATTGACCAATGGAGAAATAAAATACATGGGGCATGCGCATACAATCAGAGATGGGCTGGAGCAATGCTTTAACAGGTTAAGGTGTTTGCTGCCCAGCCTGATGACCTGAGTTTGATCCCTGGGACCTACATCCTGGAAGGAAAGCATCAGTTCCTAAAAGTTTTCTTCTGACTTCTACACATGCATATGCTGCAGAAAAACCTACCACCCCCAACAACAGTAGATAGGGGGGAGACAGTCAAGATCAGAGCAGAAAGTAATGAAACAGAAATGAAAGAACCACACACACACACACACACACACACACACACACACACACACATACACACACTCACTCTGAAATGAAGAGTTGGTACTTTGAAAAGAAAAAATACCACATTTTTTATTTTTAAATTTGTGTGTGTGTCTATTTCTGTGTGCTTGAATGTAAGACATGGTACATGTGTGGAGGTCAAAGTACAGCTTGCAGAAGTTGCTTCTCTTCTTCCACCTTGTGGGTTCCAGGGACTGAAGTTAGGTCATTAGTGTTAGCAGCAAATGCCTTGACCCAGTGAGCCATCCTGCCAGCACTACCAAGTAGATTTCTTTTCTTTGGTGCTTCAGTAATACCCTGCTGTCAGCGAAGGTCTAGGAGATCCCCTTAGGGATGGAATGCTTTGCAGCTGGTGACTCCCAGACTTTACATCCAAGGCTCCCATCCTTCCCAAGTCCTGCCAAGGATATTGGGGTCTGTGGCCTGGTCCACCAAGCACTTCACTTGAGTCTCTTCGGAAAGTCCACTCTCTGGCTCTTGTGCACGAATGTTGTGGTCTTTGTTTCCTCGGGCTACAGCTATGTAACTCCCAAAGACAGGTGAGTCTTCATGGCCTAGACGTAACTCGTCACTGGAAACACAGACAACAAATGATTTCGTACTCCTGGTTATCCTTTACAAATATTCTACCATCACTTATACATTTTTTTCTTCCTGTCATTCAAAACTTTGAATTCAGAGTTTGGATTGGTGGGAAAATAAAACATGAATAATATAATTACTAACACTTCTTTGGAAATTTATTATTTTTTTACATTCCATTGTTTGGAAATCTCTGTTCAGGTCTAAGGTTTCACACAGCAATTGCACTATTTTGTATGCCCACCATAAATGTGGTTCTCCACATCTCTGCTCACACTTCTTCTGTCTTATCTGGAAGCTGTGACTACACACAGGATGCAGAATTTCACTTACACTTCCTTAACTAGCAATGTTCAGTGTCACAGTCAAATTCAATCAGGAAGACCAACTTAATTTTTTTTTTCTAAGCACTTTACATTTAAGTCTGATACAGTTTGAACTAATTTTTCCAAGTAATGTGAGACAGGGCTGTAATTTCACTTGCTTGCTAACACCCACCAATCACTGGATAGACCTGGCACTCTTACCAAAAATCAAGTCAATTACAGAGTATATCTTACTGCTGCTTAGAACTGAAGTTTAAATTTCTTACTTCCTAGGAATAATACCCATAAATCTCCATGTGGTTTAGATTTCAATTAAAAAAATTTAAAAAGTCAATGCAGCTCAGAATACTATCTGAGAAGTCCACATGGTGTTCTTCGCATTGAGATAAATAGCAGTGCTCATCAGGACCAAATGGGTAAATATAAATTCTAAGCCTCCGCATATGAGTAACAATATTATGGCATGCCATTGGTGCTGGCTGTACAGAAGCACAAGGACGGATGACACAGGTATGAGCCACAGTCCTCAAAAGCCTGGGTTTGGAGTGGTAAGCCTCCCTAAAATACACTTTCCCATGTGCACAGTGAAGAGTGTCACACTGCTCTCACAGGTCTGAAGTGCTTCTGAACACGCACTGATTCTGTGTTCTCACTCAACAGTCTTACCAAGTTATAACTGCTGGGTTGGCCCCTGCTAACTTCCTCTTAGCATAGCGGATTTTCTGCTGAGGGTACCAATTCTCTTCTGTTACACTTATATCTTGAATCCACGATCCTCCTTTTTTCAGCATTTTCTGTTCATCACTCTAAAGGGAAAACATAATTTTCTCTATGTATTATAACAGTATATACAATTATATTAAAAAACATTAAATCAAGTAATGATCCTAGAACTAAGATCTAAAACTGGAACAGCTCTACAGCTTTCTAGACAGATTCTGATGTGGCATATGTGACCATGACCACGTGATGCAGAGAAGTGAGAACGAGAGGTTTAATGCTTTTGGGGGCATATTCTGGATAACCTTTCATTCAAACAGTGCTATCTGTTCTTATGATCAAGGAAGAATTCACACAGAATAATTTCTATATCAAAGTTTTTGATGGGGGCTGGAGAGATGGTTCAAGGACCAAGAGCACTTGGTGTTCTTACAGAGGACCAGGGTTCAGTTCCTAAAAAACACATGATGGCTTACAACCTACTGTAAGCTCCAATTCCAGGGGCTCTAACACCCTCTTCTGGCCTCTGCAGGCACTGAATGCAAATGGTAAACTTATATACATGCAAAGTACCCATAAAAAACTAAATATTTTTGTAAAAAATTCTAGCTTGGGAGGAGGATGGCTGTAATTCCAGGAATCAAGAGATTGAGGCAAGACTCCCTCGAGTTCCAGAACAGCCTGGGCTATATGGTGAGTTCTAGTATAGCTTAGACTACAGAGTAAAGCCCTGTTTATGATTAAGACAATAACAACAACAAGAAGTTGTGTGTGAAGAGAGAACTCCGACTTACTGTTACCAGTGGGTCCATACTGTCACCCCCCAGTTAGTATCAAACAACATAATAATAAGTTTTCTCTAAATAAGTGTTTGCTTTTTATCTGATTTTTTAGGTTAGTTTTGAGAAATGTAATCAAAATAATCTAAGTATTTTAGTAAATACAACTTGATGTATTCATCATACAAAGGAAACATGGGTGTATCTATACAAAACCAACATGTACCTTCCAATAAAAGAAGGGTTCCTTCACAAAAACGTCCATGGTGTCAGTGAGCAGATCTGCACGTGAGCGGAAAGCCCTCAATGCATACACCATGACAGCACACACAAAACTTGTTTCTTTCATTGGCAACATGAGACTGACAAATTGTCGTGTTAGACGAAAAGGCATCAACTCAGGGACTGGAAGACACTAAACAAGAGAAAAAAGTATATTTAAGTAAATACATTGTGCTCAATAGTTTTATGTCAACTTGACCCAAACTAATGTCATCTGAAAGGAGGGAACCTCAATTAAGAAAATGCCTTTAGCCGGGCGTTGGTGGCGCACGCCTTTAATCCCAGTACTCGGGAGGCAGAGGCAGGCGGATCTCTGTGAGTTCGAGGCCAGCCTGGTCTACAAGAGCTAGTTCCAGGACAGCCTCCAAAGCCACAGAGAAACCCCGTCTCGAAAAACCAAAAAAAAAAAAAAAAAAGAAAAGAAAAAAAGAAAATGCCTTAATAAGACTGGGTGTAGGCAAGCCTGTAGGGAATTTTCTTAATTAGTGATTGATGGGGAAGGGCCCAGCCATTGTGGATGGTGCCATCCTGGACTGTTGGTCCTGGACTCTACAAGAAAGCAGACTAAGCAAGTCATGAGGAGCAAGGCTGTAAGCAACACTCCTCCATGGCCTCTGTATAAACTCCTGCCTCTACGTTCCTATCCTGTTTGAGCTCCTGTTCTGGTTCCCCCAATGATGGACACCAATATGAAGTCAAATAACCCCTTTCCTCCCCAACTTGATTTTGGTCATGGTGTTTTATCACAGAAATAGTAACCCTAACTAGGATAGAAGTTGGTACCAGGATATGGAGGCCTTTGGAATTTTGGGCTAGAAAAGCAACTGAGTGTTAAGAGCTCAATGGTTTATTCTATAGGAGCCTGGAAGATAAGAATGAAGAGAGCAGTGCAGATGATGGAGGCCTGACATGTGACATGGCCATTTGGGCTAAGAATCTGTGGTTCTGGTTAGCAGGGGCTAAAAAAATCAGCTGTGATTAACAAGAGACTAGAACCACTAAAGTTAAACCTTTGTTTAACTAGGACAATTGATGTTGGTCAGCTTGAGTTAAGAAATTGGTGACTAAGAAGAGAACAGCATCTGCCATGAGGGGGGCCAATGGAGGACAGCTACAGCTCCACCCCAGGACTCTCCTCTGGGGTGGGCAGAGACCAACCTCGAGCCCACCCAGTTGGGTACCATTATGGTGAGCCTGGATGCTGGGCCACCACTTAGGACCATGTCTGGGTGTGAGGGATGTGCCCCCACAGGTGCCATGCCTTTCCAAGAGGCTTCTGTTGCCACACCAGGTCCACAGTGATATCCAGGGCCAAACTTCTGCTGAGGGCTGTCTGGATCTGTGGTCCTGCAGCAGCTTGGAGCTGTGTTGATATCAGTGGCTCTCACTGCCACTGAGGGCTCTGCAGAGGCTTATAGTCTAGGCTGACACTTGAGGCTATGATGGTATTTGAAAGTCATGTGGCCATTGGGGCCGTACAGATCTGGATAGCTTGTGCTGCCACTTGGGGCTATGGTGACATCCAGACCTGAACTGTGGCTGAGGGCCATGTCTGGGTCCATGGCCCTACCACAGCCAGGGTCTGCATTGTTACCATTGAAAGTGGAATGGATGCCCAGAGGCAAGGCTGCCACCTGGGGACATGTAGGCACTTGACTGCCAAGCTGTCACTGGGGCTATGCTGTTCTGGATGACTTGCAATGCCAGCTAGGTTGAGGGTGATATTATTTGTTTCTTCAAAAAGTATCATGTTTCAGGATCAAGTCACCCAAACCAACTTTACCCATCATTCCTTCTTTAATTAATTTCTGGAGGTGTTATAAAGTCACATGGTGTCATGGCTCATCTTGGCTGTCAACTTGACTACACCTGGAATCAACTAAAACCCAAGCTGCTGGGGTTAGGGATTTTCTTGATTGGATCATTTGAGGTGAGAAGACATACTAACTCTGGGCCATACCTGGGGTCTGCCTAGCTAAAGGAAGTAAAAGAAAAAAATTTCAGGTTTTGCCCATTTGCTGTGGGTCTCGTTGCTGAGGCATTCTCTGCTGGTATTAGAATCTACATCTCTGGGATTCCAACACAGACTGAAGACTAGCGGCTCTGCAGAAATCTTCCAGGACTCTAGCACCTGACTAAGACTGCTGAGACATCTTTTGGACTGAACAACTACTGGATTCTTGGCCTTTCTATCAGGAGACAGCCTTTGTTGAACTAGCTGAACCACAGCTTAAAGTCAATCTAATAAATTCCATGTATACATTCAGTCAGTTCTGTGCCTTTAGAGAACCCTGACTAATACATACTCCATTTTTAGATCAGCAGTGAGAGTAAAGGACAACATACCTGAGTAGCTGATCCAAATGCATGTCCAAAGTCAATTCCAATCACGCTGCCTGTCTCCAACGCTACCATGAAATTGTTCAGATGTCTGTCTCCAATACCAAGGAGCCAGTGGCTGATACACAACAGTGCATGAGAGCTGGCAAAGTGAGAACGTAGCGCCAGGAAGGCCTCAGGGGTGGTGCTTATCTTTACAAAGGCCCGCCTAGGAAAGAGATAAACCACGTATAGTTTTTGCCATGCACTACTGTTTGTGACGTCACAAACATACTTACTTTAAGAGGTCAGCTGGCACTTTATTTTCCCTTTTCCTAAAAGCCATGACTGTTTCTGTACGATTAGCTCGTCTGTGATTTAAGACAAACATTTCATTAGAACAAATTTCTGGTGAATTTAAAATTTAAATTATTTATACTAAACTATAATATCACTTAGGCAGAGCAGGTGGATCTATGTGAGATCCAGGACAGCCAGAGATACATAATGAGACCTTGTCTCAAAAAGTAAAACCCCTCCCCAAACAGAAAAAATATTATTAACAAATAGCTACGTTTTGATGATACCTGGGGCAAAATTTATTCTTTTCTTCCTTCTCTCATTTCCCAGTGCTAGAGAAGCTAGAACCTCACACAATCTAAGCCAGTGCTCTAACCACTGAGCTACATCCCTGGCCAATCTGATGTAAAATTTTCAAGACTCAAAAGTATGCACTTTTAGAAGAACAAACATATGTAAATCAAAATCAAACTTACTCATACATTACCACATAGGCTCCAATATCACTTTTCTTAGATATTTTTATTAGCCAGTCTTTATATTCATGAATTGGTGCCTTGGGATCACTAGCAAATGGGGAAAAAGGAATTAGAATTGAGGAGGTATTCTGCATGGCAAAGAACATTGACAATTTATTAAAAAACAGTGAAGATTAAGTACAACTTTTAATATGCCATTATTCATTCCTAATTGACTCTATCCAAGATAAAGTCCAGCAACTTCCTTATACAAAAACTCAAGCACAATCAAGTCAGGTACAAAATATTTCCCTCTTTATACAGAGAAAAATAAAATGTTAAAATAAACACAAAGGTCTGGGACCTAGGCATGTCACCTGAAAGGCATCCTGACTATAATGATATCACTGCCGGCAGGCCTCATTTCACCATAAGCCAAATCTTTCACACAACACACACAAAAATCATTCACAAAACATCTGTTTTTCCTTATTTTTAGACTAGTTCCAGACATTTCTTTTGCACTTTCTGGATACAGATACATATAAAACCCATCTTAGGTATGATGAAGCATTTTCTTAATGTCTGCAAATGCTCATCTTGAATCTGAAAAGCCTTTAGTAACATAGCACTTGTGCAGGTGACCACACTGTGGTGTGCACACATTTGGCCACTTTCAGTTTGTGCTGTAGCCTTCCCAATGAGCCTGCAGAAATCAAAACAAACAATTACAAGTTGAGAGGCAGGTTGGTAGTATGCATCAGTAATGCCAGTCTGCCACACAGGACCACAAGTCCTGGACCACACACACACACACACACACACACACACACACACACACAGAGAGAGAGAAAAAAAAGTCAGCATGTGCTTTAAATTTCAGTGCAGGCAGATCTCTACACATTTCCAAGGTAACATAGCCACACACTACCTGCTATAAGCCACTTTCTCCTCTTTAGACATATTACTCAAAAGAAGGTCCTTCAAGGTCATGGTATTTTCAATCCATTCAATTAATCCTAATCTGAAAAATAAAACACAATGTTTACAAATAAGTGCAAACCCCAATTGCTCCTTCTGCATCAGAAAAAATGTTCTAAAGAATGATAGTAAAATAGGTTTCTTCCTATCCAATCCATACTTTCTCACTGATGTTCACAGGTAAATCTAGTTGAGTTCTGTCCATGAGACACTTCTAATACCCACAAACCCACTTTTAGACTCAGCCAGGGTGGGAAATATGCTCCTCCCCTGCAGACACAGGTTCACTCAGGCCATACCTGCAGGTCATGGGCACGACTCGATAAGTCCTTAACTGCATGTTTCTCTGACTACAGGCAGCATCCTGAGCGAGGATGGCATTCATGACCTCAAAGAGCTGCTCAATGCGCTGGTCCTGACGGAGGTCCTCGCCACCTTTTACCAGGAAGGGGTACTCCTTTTCATCATGGCCTCGAATAACAATGCGCTTTGGTTTCCTCAAAGAGGCCATTACTTTTACCTTTAAATATTAAGAAATTTGTTATTGCTGCTTTAAAAAAAATCTTGTTATGTCACTTAGCTTAGACTCTAACAGCTAGGCTCATGTGGTCCTTCTACCTACTGAGTGGCTGGAGCTGCAGTGTGTACTACTGCAGCAAAAAAATACTTAAAAGACAGTCTCAGAGTAGCTCACCACACATTTATCAGGGTGGATGCATTCCTCAAAGAAAGACTTCTCCTTGAGGACAAAGTCAGGAGGTATACAAGTAGAATCTGGGCTGTGGGCTTCAGGGCCATCTGTCATCTTTAGGACTGTGCTCAGGAACACTCAATATTCCTGGCTACAGACACTGCCTAAAACTGTGGCGATCCTCCTTAACATGTGATGTTTACCAAAAAGGCTTTTTATAAAATGTTAATTATACACATGGACATATACAACTTATACTTAATTTACTATATTTTTTACATATGGTTGCAATTTAATCACAACATTGCCCCCTCCCCTTTCTCTTTCCAAATCTTCCCATATGCACCTCCCCACTCTCCTTCAAATTCATGGCTTCCATTTTAATCAATTGTTATTACATGCATGTATGTATTTTTATATATAAACATAAATGATTAAGTCCATATGAGCTACTCGTATGTATGTTTTCAGGGCTGACTGCTTTGCACTTAACAATATTCTTAGATACAACTGATATGAAACATGGGAGACATTATCTATAGGAATTTGATCAATATTATAATTTGGGAACAGCATGCTAGTGGGAAGTTGACCAATATACCAAATGTCACAGAGACAAGGATGACAAACACAACATACCCACCCGCTCATCAAATCCAGAGATCCGCACATGATATTCAGGCAATGGTTTGCCCTTGCCATCATATTGGCCTAAAACAAACACAGAGCCTGGCTTAGATACTGTGTGTTATAAAACCTCCATGTTTTAAAACATTTATGCTGATCTAATAAAAAATGCTGATGTAACATGATAGCTTATTTTTTTTTTAATTCAAACTTTTCATTTGAAGAAATCAGCCATAGCCAGGCATGGTGGTGCATGCCTTTAATCCCAGCACTCGGGAGACAAAGGAAAGTGGGTCTCTGTGAGTTCCAGGTCAGCCTGGTCTACACAGCAAGTTCCATGACAGCTAGGATTACACTAAGAAACCCTGTCTCAAGAAAAAAAAATAAAAAAAGTTACAGCCTTATTTTCTTGAAGCTGACAAGTGTACCTGCACAGTTGTCAACAAAAGTGAAGAGACTGCTTCTCTCAAAAGTTTTCTCTTACATTTGCTGAGAGGGGAAAACCAGTCACCAGATTAAAGTGTTCCTTTCTTGGGAAAATTCTAGTTTGGAAACATGGAATAGGAAGAAATTTCTTTGGACAGTTTGCTGCATGTGTCCACCCCCAGTATCACAATCTGTTTTCTGCTCTCTTTCAATGCCTCCCAGAAAGTGCTCTCTTTACACTTGTATTTATTTCTGAAGAAAAGCACTCAAAGCAAGGTAGGAATCAATTACTTGGGATTACTGTAAATATTAAATGAAAACTGAACACTTGCCATGATAAAAATATAGTAAGCTGTACTAATTCATAGTAATTACAGGGTTTCCAAATAATGAAGTGGTTGGGGACAGGACACTGGAGAGATGCCTCAGGAGTTACAAGCATTTGCTCTTCTTCCGGAGAACCCGAGGTTGGTTCCCAGCACCCATGGCAGGTAGCTTACAACACCTGTAACTCTAGATCCAGGAGATAAAACACCCTCTTCTGGTCTGGTCTGTGGGCACTTGCACTCGCATGAATTTACCCCCACAGACACATAACCAAAAATAAATAAATCAAAAATGAAAATTGATGGGCTGGGGAGATTATCTACTGGGTAAAAGTGCTTCTGGCATAAGCATAAATCTCCAGATCTCATGCAGAAGCCAAGTAGGGTAGCTTGAGTTTCTGTGGTCCTAGCTAGTGTTCTTAGGAGAACTGGAAGGCAGAGACAGGAGAATGCACAGATGTACACAGGCTAGCCAGCCTGGTGTATGAAGCAGAAAAAACAAGGTTCTGTTTCTCAAGCAAGGTAGAAAGCAAAGATGAATACCGGGTTGTTCTCTGACTTCCATATGCATGCTATATATAATATATATACCTCTGCATGCACGCGCGCACACACACACACACACACACACACACACACATACACACACACACACACACACACCAGGTTGTTCTGACTTCCATATGCATGGCATGCATAATATATATACCCCTACATACACGCACACACGCACACATGCCAGGATCTCTGTCATTACTTAGAAAACAGGAGTTCTTGCTGCCACATTATTCTCCTTAAGGAGCATTCTTGTCACTATTAGATGTTAACTAACCAGGAATCTCCAGTTCATTTCCTTTGAATGCACTCATCTGGGGGGAGTACTCTTTCAGGTTCCCAGGTGGCTTTGAGTCTTTTCTCATCCTTCCAAGTAGTGAGTTAGTGATATTACGGAAGTCATCGAGCTTCATTGTAGGCAGCTTAGAACCATTATTCCCAAAGCTTTTCTCAAATTCTTTCCCGAAGGCCTGGAAATGAAAAATTTACTATGAAGACCACTGTTTCCTTTGTACATTGGAAAAAGCTCTAAGCTTACAAATATTTCAATACTCTAAAGCATCGAGTGTCCCTTTTGTCTGTGTCTTCTCTTCCTTAGGCAGGTCATTATTAGAATGACTCCTAGTTACAAATTATAATAAGAGCGTCCAAAACACAGGAAAGAGCTGGTCACGTAGCACAGGCCTTTATTCTCAGCACTCGTTGGAGGCGGAGGCTGAGGCGGGGGCTGAGGTGGAGGTGGAGGCGGAGGCAGGTGAATCTCTGAGTTCAAGGATAGCTTGGTTTACATAATGAGTACTTGTCCCCCAGAACAAAACAAAAATACACAAACAAACAAACGAACATGTGAGGTTATCTAATCTCTTTGTGCAATCTGTCTAGTTCTAGTCCTATTTCATTTGAGTAAAAAGAATGGCATGAATAACCAGGAACAAAGTTAAAAACAAAATGAAGGGAAAAATGAAATCAGAACAAATAGTTCATAAGTGTTCTTATGAGCTGAAGAGAAAAGAGAATAAAAGAATGTCATTGGTCTCAGTAAGGATCTACTGAGACACTGCTCTAGATCATAAACCAGTATAAATATTAATATAGTCAATAATTCTAAAAGCAATTATTAGAAATACTTAACCTTGGAATATTATAGTTTTTTAAAACTATTTAAATGAAAATCTTTATGTCAAATAAAAAATAAAGCAAAACTGAAGATGGTCAAGATTTGTAGGCCATCTTTCTTGTTTTGAGATAGAATCCCACAGACTTAGGTCTAACCCTGAGCTTCTGCTTCTCCTGTCCCCACCTCCCAAGTGCTAACCTGATTACTTTTCTTGGGTCAAACTGTCACTACTTTGATAGTTTCTTGTAAGAAAATTGACACAAAAAAGTTATTTCTTCTTTAATTTAGAAACATATTAAAAGTGTAAAATAAAGGACTAGGATACAACTCAGTAACAATATTGTCCAGCACACCCAAGGTGCTAGACTTAGTCCTTGGAACTACATACATCTTAGTATATAAACAAATTCATATATAAACAGTATATAACAAATTTTTAGTGAAGGCTGTGTAGCTGAGCTTGGCAACATCTGGGAGGGTCCATGATGTGCATGGACATACTTTTAGGGCAGGCTTATTGGATCCAGCATGCAGAGACAGGTTTTAAATCCAAAGTAGCTATGGATTTAAAGAGATAGCATGTAGTTTTTCCAACCAAGGCCAATCTCAGTTGAAAAGAAAGGGTACTTGATAGGGTATGTAGCAAACAACTATGGAAATGAAGTCCTTTCACAGGGATGCCTTCAGACCAGAGTTCAAGGAATCCTGAGTCTTGTTCGCTTATTGCTTTCATCCTCCTGTCAGTAAACCATATCCCAACCCACTGATTTTGTTCATAAGCAGGATTCTGTTACATGATTCCAGGTGGGCTCACCTGACACTGTCTAGTACTTTCATATGATAGTGGAAGATGCATGCTCTGGTAACAGACTCCTATGACCTACAAAGCTGGGAACCTGTACTTTTAAAATGTGTGGGCTACTGTTTTAGGAAAACAAAATCCAGATACATCTTTCTTTAACCAATATTCTATAACCATAATTTTGTTAACACTAATCTAAGTATAATTTATTGCCTAATTAAATAACAATTTTTATCTGGATTCACCTGAATATTCAAGAATCAATAGCACATACACAATAGGATACTACCCTCAATGTATGTCAGAAAGCAAAATATAGGAGTTAACGGTGTTTTTAGGATGTCTACCCATGTTTAAGCTAGGAAGACTTGTGTGTTCCTACAGCCATACCTTTATCCAAAGTACACTAGGTATAACCCACAAAAGCAACCTCTACTTAACCAAAGTTATCCTAATCATCTAATTCAAGATGACTGTTTAATACCTGTTTAGATGGGGGAAGAGATAAAAAGGTAACCCAAGCTCCCAGCATGCAAGTTAAAATCAGGAGGCTAAAAGGAAAGGAACAGGTAAAGGGCAAAGTTGCTCTCTGTTCCTGAGGATGTCCCACAAGAACTGCAAATGCCTCCCTCCAAAAGCTGCTGATGGATGTGTAGAACAGCAATTCACAAGACTGAAGAATGTTTGCTGCCGCATGAAAGGACCAACAATGGAATAACATGATACAGGGTGGAAGAGAAAGATCAACAGTGGTAAGAAACTCAGCAATAAAGAATGAAGCATGCTGAATGTGAAAACACGCTAAGTGAAAAAATCTAGAAGTCATTCCTTAAAGATAGAAAGTAGTGTGGTGGTTACCAGGGGCTGGCAGGAGCAGAAATGACAAGTAATTGAATTAGGTTCAGGGATGGCTGCTTTCCATGGTGTTGAATGTAATGACTCCAAACTCTGTAACTATAACAAACACTATTGCACTGGACATCTTTAGTGGATGAACTGTGTGAAGACAGAACTTCTATCCTGATATAACTTCAGTGTAGACAGTGGGCTGGGGAATTGGCAGCAGAAGTGCCAGACTTCTCCTTCATAACCTTTAGTGTCTTGAGGGTTAATGGATGAAGTTAGTTTGGCAGAGCAGAGATAGGGAGGAATAAGCCTAAGAGAAAGGCCTCCATGAGGGGTGAAGAAATCCTGGCTGGTGGACCAGTGAGAAGTGAAAGGCCAAGGAGAAAGGTGAGTGTCCACAAAGCAAAGCAAAGCTGCCACAAGGTCCACTGAAAGCATCTCCCATGTGCACTTCTTGGTAGGGATCCAGCTTAAGTCCTTTCCACCAATCTTCGTAGCCTTCCCTTCTAGTCCATCTCCATTCCTTTGTGATAGTTATCATCAGTAAATATTGCTTATTAATAACTCAATATTAATAGTCTGAATTCCCCAATAAAAAGACAAAGGCTAGCACACTGGATTAGAAAACAGGATCCAACTTTCTTATGTACCCAAGAAATATCTCACAGTAAAAGGATGAAAAAAAGGGATGGAAAAGAAATTCTAGGCAAATGGACCCAAGAAGCAAGCAGGTGTAGCCATTATACTATTGATAAAATAGATTTCAAACCAAAAACTAATCTGGATAGGAAAGGACACTACATAATTAAATGAAAAATCCACCAAAAGGTTATTATAATTGTAAACATCTATCCACCAAACACAAGGTCACCAAGTTCATAAAAGAAACACCACTAAAGCTTATAAATGACATATTGAGGGCAGGCGTTGGTGGTGCACACCTTTAATCCCAGCACTTGGGAGGCAGAGGCAGGCGGAGCTCTGTAGAGTTTGAGACCAGCCTGGTCTACAAGAGCTAGTTCCAGGACAGCCTGGAACTGTTCTGCTACACAGTGAAACCCTGCATCAGAAAACGGAGAACAGAGGATAAATTAGAGAGAATAGGAAAGAAGGGTAAAGGAGGGAACATGGGAAGAGCCAACTAACACTAAAGGTCATTTGAAAAAAAACAGGAAAACAAACTATCTTAGAAGCTTCCCAAAATATATACTTATGTGAGAAGAATGTAAATGGAGTCACCAAATAATAGGAGAGACAATGCTAACTAGGTAACTTATGCCACCAAGTAAAACCTACAGTATTAAGAATGGGTTACATCTTATTAAGTCATTGGCTAAAATGGCCCTAAGGAAACGTGCAAACATCACAGGGTAGCTTATACTCTCCACAAACTGATGGTAAAGCTCTATTGCTGATGACAACATTTATTTAGGTCAGCTCACATGGAAAAGTCAATTTGGTACCTAACTAAAAGCTTTACCCTACTGACTAGTGTTCATGGTACTGGAGAGTACCTTGTACATTAGCAGAGGAGAAAGGGAATCATTAATATTACCCAGCTATAAACCCTGTGATCTACAACAGTGACCTGCCTGCAAGACATACTGTGCAATGGTGGTACAAATGCTATGTAAGCAATCAACTGCTTTTTTTATTGAATTTAAGGACCAATCCATGAGATACAACCCATACATGATACTACCAAAATGGCCAAAAATCTGAGACCAGATAGTCCATGGGTTAGGGGAAAAGCCACTATTATTCTGCTAAAGGAACATAGCAATGAGTCATAATACACACAGATCAGTGCCTCATTCAACCTATATCAAAGAAGCTTCTTTTCACAGTACATAGGAATTATCAGAGACCTTCAGTTGGACAATGTGCAGAGTGGGAAAGATTTTGAAGCATAAAGTCACACATGTCTTTAACAAATCCCTCCCCCAAAGCTCACGGAGATGGATGTGCCAAAGGTGATGGATGACACCAAAGAAACAGTGTCTGCCAGACATAACACAACAGGACTGATATACATATGAACTCAAAGAGACTGTGGTAGCATTACACAGATTGAAGCCAGACAGAGTTCCATCACTAAGTGGAAATGGAAACAGGGTCCCACCCCTAGCCAAAAAGCTCTCTGCAATTGATACCTGCTTGCAAAGGAAAAATTAGTTTTCTTCAATGGAGTCTCACTGGGTAGGTATATCAATCACACTTTAGGGTATGCCCCATGCCCAGCAGTAGATGGCCAACACAAAATTAACTCAATGGTATTTTTTAGGCTTTTTTTATTTTGTTACTTTTATTTATTGATTTTTTTGCTTATTTATTTTGATTTTTGTTTTTGTGTTTTTAAAAGAGAGAGAAAAAGAACAAAGTTCATTGTATAGGCAGGTAGGGAGGATCTTGTAGAAACTAAGAGATGGGAACATATGATCAGCATATATTGCATATAAAAATGTTTCAAAATTAAAAAAAGAAACAAAATAACAGAGAGTACCCCTCACTTCAGGATTTTTTCCAACATTAGAATAACTAAAACACATCTCTCTCTGTCACACTTGTCTGAAATAAAGCTTTTTATAAGTAGTGTTGGTTATACAATCCCTCTGATTTTGGACATCATTTCTGCAATGTCTCTCTGCGCACCCAAACTGATGCCCTAAACTACATGCTTCAGAATACTTATCACCTTATATAAGACAGAAATACTTTCTTGACCCAGTATCTAAATCATCCTGAGAATTAAAAAATACTGAAGTATATGCAATCTTCAGATATCAGAATCTGAGCATGAAGGGAATACAGGAGAAGCCCAAAGTTTTACCTACTGACCTACTTGTCACCACTGAATGGAAACATATTCTAATACTGTATCTTGCAGGGGGCATCATATCTAAAGCAAGCTCACTAACAACAGACAACAGTCAAGACCCAATCAAATGTGAATGGTGCTGATATCATCAAGGCAAGTGTATCTATCCATACCTGTATGAACCTCCTTCTAAATGGCCCCAGGCCTGGAGCCTGAAGGTCACCCAAGGCAGTGTACATCCTTTTATACAGTTTCTCAATATTATTCTTATTTACAGGGTTCTTCTCCAGTTCACATTTTATGTCACCAACCCAGTCCTGTGCCAAAAGAGAAAGAAAACAATTAAGAAAGAAGCTAGACTATACACAAATGCTATCCACATTCATTTTTATTGTTAAAGGCTGTTTTCTTACCTTAAAGAGCATATCAGGATTGGTGAGCTGGTCTAGGGCATTAATAAAACCTTGAATCTCTCCTATTTGATCAAGTTTACTTTTTATCCTACAAAAAAATTACCAGATTTAGGTCAGGCATAGTAGCATATGTCTTTAATCCTAGCACTCAAGAGGTAGAAGGAGGTGGATCTCTGTGAATTCAAGGCCACCCTGGTCTACACAGAATTCCAAGACAGGGAGGGATATATACAGAGACCTGTCTTAAAACACCACTATCGCCGGGTGGTGGTGGCGCACGCCTTTAATCCCAGCACTCGGGAGGCAGAGGCAGGCGGATCTCTGTGAGTTCGAGGCTGGGCTGGACTGATAGCCTCCAAAACAATACAGAGAAACCCTGTCTCGAAAAAAAACCAAAAAAAAAAAACCAAAAACAAACAAACAAACAAACAAAAAAACACCACTATCAACTACACTAGATTCAGGTAATTAAACATTTTCTAATGACCAGGGCCTATTTTTACATATTTAAAATATAGATTTAGAACATGTACTTTCTTGATATGTTTATATATAATTTATACAAACAAACTTATAACACACACACCAACTACCAGTCCAGGGAGGTAATTATTTGAGAATTATATTCAACATTAGATTAACATCTACTCTTTAACCTGTGGGTCACAGAGGTCTCATATTAGATATCTTGTATTATGATTCATAACAGTAGCCAAATTGTAGTAATGAAGTAGCAATGGAAATAATTTTATGGTCGGGGGTCAGAAGAAAATGGGAAACTGTATTAAAGCGCCACAGAATTAAGAAGGTTGAGAACAGATCTGTAGTAGATACGGACACTGATGAATATAATTTGCTTCTCCTTTCATGTCAGATGGATACACATATGAAAGTGGGGCTATTTGTTTGAGTCTGGCTTATTTCTCTTAATGTATGATGATAGCTCATTTTATTCATTTTCATGCAAACAACACAATCTTGTTTTTCTTCATGGTTGAATAAAACTCTATGGAGTATATATACCACATATTGTTTATTCATTCACAATGCTAGCAGTTGAGTTGATTCCATCAACTAACTGTTGTGATAGTGCCATAGTACATAAGGATATGCAGGTCTCTGCAGTGATGTTGCTTCTTTACAGTCTATTCACAGGAACAGTATAGGTGGATAATGTTGTAAGTCTATCTTTTTGTCTTGTTGTTGTTATTGTCTGGAGATAGGGCTTCATTACGTAGCCCTGGAAAAATGAACAATGCTGGAGGTATCCCTATAGAGCCATAGTAACAAAAACTGTATGATACTTACACAAAAAACAATCAGGTAGAAAAATGGAATAGGACAGAGGACCCATATATAAATCCACCTGGTACTGTAGTAGCCAAATGTTTGGCAAAGTTTAAAAATAATACACTAGCAAAACAAAAAATGATGCTTGTGAGCTACATAGTGAAACCCTGTGTCAGGACAACAGCAAAACAAAAAGAAATACAACTACTGCATGATCTAGTTACATATGCTTGTGAATATACTTGTAATAATCCACATGATTACAGAGATACCTCCATATGTTTGCTTATTACAGTACACACCATGAGCACATTTATTGGTTGGACTATGTGGGGGGGGTTGTATTTATTTTTTGAGTAGTCTATTTCAGACATTAATCTTCTGTTTTACTGCCGTTTTTGTTTTGTTTTGTTTTGTTTGTGAACCTAGCCTTTAACGGCTGAGCCATCTCTCCAGCCCGGTATTTTTCTTTTTGTTTGTATGTTGGGGAATATTTGATCACACTGTGAAGTCCGAGTTTGCATTTGCATTAATTAAGTAAAATTAAACTTGAGTCAGAATGTTGGGTAAGCAACTAGTTGACAGAAAGTAATCATAGAGCATCAGAGGGCATCTAGGAAAGATAGAGATGCACTGGAAATAATAGGGAGGGACTTTGAGTGGTGTGGCTTTTTTTTGTTCAGGCAGAGAGGAAGGTCATGCCTGTGATGATATTTTGTTTGTGATCTAACAAATAAAGCTTGCTTGAAGATCAGAAAGCAGAGCTAAGCCACTAGTTAGTTAGCCATAGAGGTCAGGCAGTGGTGGCTCACACCTTTAATCTCAGCACTTGGGAGTTCAAGGCTACCTTGAGCTATACGAGACTGATCCATTCTAAAAGAGAAACTGAGTCAGGCAGTGATGGCTCACATCTTTAATCCCAGTATTTGGGAGTCACATGCCTTTAATCTCAGCACTAGGGAGGTGGAAACAGAAATGGTATGTCTGGGTAGAGAGAGGAATACAAGGTGGGAGGAGACAGGAGCTTACTACATTCAGTTTGAGGATTTGTAGAGACAGGATTACCCCCTTCTCTGATCTTCCAGCATTAACCCCTATATCTGACTCCAGGTTTTTATTATTAAGACCAATTAGAACTCGAGCTACACATGCGTTTTGGGAGAACCAGCAAGAAAAGGTTAGTTAGATGCTACTCAACCTCTCTCAGCTAGCAGGTCTTCACCCCAGACTTTGAATCTTGAGTCTTATTTCTGAATAGAATGATACAGATTTAGTTAAATTTACCTTTAGTGGCATCGACACTGTGCCTGTGGGGAACAGAATTCCTGCCAGGTTGCAGCCTGAGCAGCAAGGCTGCTGCTAGAGAAGCAACTGCTCACGAAACAACACATTTATGAAGTTTTCTTGTAAAAGTCATACCAAGGCTCATTATGTCAATAGTCCCAACTTATAAATAATCAAAGCAGTGAAAAAGATGACATTTCAGGCTATCCATTGTGCCCTAAGTCAGAAGAGGGCCCTCTCTTTGTGTGTATGCATATATATGTACGTACACACACACACACACACACACACACGATATATACATGGGTTTTTGAGTGTGTGTACTTGTGTGGGCAAATAGAAGCCAAAGCCAAAGCAGGAGCGGGTGTCTGACTTTCTGCCTTATTTCCTTGAGACAGAGTTTCTCAATAAACCCAAAGCTCACTGTTTTTGCTAGGCTGCCTGGCCAGCAAGCTCTCAGGACCTGCCTGTCTCTGCCCTCCAATGTTGAGGTTACAGGTACATGGGTGTTGGGAAATGGAACTCAAGTTCTTGTGCTTGCAAAATAAGCGCTCTTACTCACTAAGCCATCTCCCTAGTTTCTCTGGATTCATATTACATTTTTATCTATTTATTTGTGGTATGGTGTTTATGTGTAGCTCAGGTTGCCTTCTAATTTCAGACTCCTGTCACAGCTTCCAGAAGTGTGATGACGGGCACGCCCCACCATGCCAACACTCTAATACATCTTAAAGGCAGCTTCTTAGCTGGGGTTTCTACTGCTGTGATGAACACCAAAAACAGAAGCAACTTGGGGATGGGAGGGTTTATCTTAGTTTATAACTCTCAAGGAACAGTTCATCACTGGGGAAGTCAGGGCTTGACTGAGAGGCAGGAATCTGGAGTCAAGAACTAAGGCAGAGGCCATGGAGAGATGCTGCTTACTGGCTTGCTTAAGAGCCTGGTTTGCTCAGCCTGCTTTCTTATATAACCCAAGACCAACTGCCCAGGAGTGACACCATTCATTTGAGCTGACCCTCTCTTATCAATCATAAATCAAGAAAATGCTCCAAGGAACTAATCAGGTGGGATCATTTTCTCTTGTCTCTTCTCAGAAGACCCTAGCTTATGTCAAATTTATAAAAGCAAACCAACTAGGACAAGAACTGATTGCAAAAAGCATGTCATCTAGTCTATATTATGCAAAAGATCATTAACCATGGGCATGTAAGCAAGCACCTAAGACAAACAATATTTTCAAAAAGAAATTCTGTAACAAGTATATGGAGAAAAGATAAACTCAAGTGGTATCTAAGAATTTCTATGCTCTATGAATAGCTCAAATATATTTGCATGTTTTTACTTTTACCACACAAAATTTTTATACCCAATAGTATCTTATCAGCCTAATACCAAACATTACCTTTCAACAAACGCTTTATTCTTATGACCAGAAGAAGTATGTTTAAAGGAGTAGCTTTCACTGCTTATTATAAAAGGGTAGATAATGGCCTGTGGATAGTTATCAGCAATTTCTTCCACAGTATGCTGCACTGCAATGGCTTCCTCTTTGTCCAGTAAGGCCACCATGTGGCTGATCCAGCCAATGAATTGCCAGCAAGGAATAGATGAAATCTAAAATTCAGAAAACTATAGTTTGGAAATGAACAAAACACTTGACACTATTTATCATAAAGGCCATAAAGGTAAACAAAACATGTTTAATATGAAATGTCTTATATGTAAATCTCTCTCTTAGCTCTCTTTTGCTAAGGAACCACTGGATTCTTCCAAGCATTTTTCTGTACATATACATACACAATCTTTGCTCAAAGAATGGGATCATACTGGTGGTTTGAATGAGAATGGCCCCCATAAGCTCATATATTTCAATGCCTGGTCCCCAGTTGGTAGAACTGTTGGGCTGTTGGGGAAGGATTAGGAAGCATGGTCTTGTTAGAAGATGTATGTTGGGGGTGGGCTTTAAGATATTCCAAAGGTTCCCACCATTCACAGCGTGTCCCTTGTCCCACTGCTCCAGTGTCATGCCATATTTGCTTGCTTGCAGCCATGCTCCCAACTATCATGGTCATGAACTTTAATCCCTGAAACCAGAAGCCCTCCAAAAACACTGTCTTCTATAAGTTGCCTTGTACATGATGTCTTATCACAGGAATATAAAAATAACAAAGACCAATTTACCTCATTCTTGTAACAACTATCTTTCCATTTTACTTACTGTGTTATCATGAATTATTAGGTCCTCATGGAGTTAAGAGTCCTGACAGTATGGTAGGTCCTCATGGGGGTATAGTCCTGACAGTACGGTAGGTCCTCATGGGAGTATAGTCCTGACAGTATAGTAGGACCTCATGGGGTTACAGTACTGACAGTATGTTAGGTCCTCATGGGGGTCAAAGACCTGACAGGCCAGGAATCCTCAGGGCTTACAGACAAACACTGTCTAAGATTTTGTTATACAGAGCTGGGAGATGACTCAGTTGGTAAAGTAGAACCGAGTTCAGTCCCCAATACCTATGGAAAAATCAGGTGTAGTAGCATGGACCTGTAATCCCAGTGCTAGGGAGGCAGAGATGGGGAAATAAGGGCTTGCTGATCAGCCAATCTAGCCAAATTTTCAAGCTCCAGGTTCAAGGATAGACTCTGTCTCAAAAGATAATATGGAAAGCTGTTGAGGAAGACATGGAAAATGGACTTTTAGCCTGGGCACTCATACACACAAACAAAACACAAGATCTTGCTACATAAAGTAGTAAATACCAATTAGTCCTTTCTGAATTATTATTTTCAAGTCAAAGTTTGGGTCTATTTTCTAGTTATAAATTCGTAAAAATATGAAGGAACCTTTCAGATGGCCCTATTCTTTTATAGATGAAGCCTCCTTATACAGATAGGGTCGACAGGACAAGGGCATGGCCAGCATGTGCATCCCCAAGTGAGCCACGGAACAAGGGTATGGAAGCTGCAGGCTATTGTATGTGCACACATGAGCCTCTCAATTCCCACTCAGTCCTCTTTGTAGGCTAAGATACCAACAGATGTATAGACTGTAGCTTCGTCATGTGGGCTGCAAAATTCCTGTAAAGTCCCTGTCTCTGCTCCATTAATATTCCTCCTTGACTGATCTGGTTCTTGGTCAGATACAGTTCTTACCACACCCACAAAGGAAAGCAGATAAGTATGAGCACTCATACTCTTTTAATCCACTGTATATTCAGCATGCAGCAGAACTCAGTGTCATTTGGAAAAGCTGTAATATGGTGCTGTGTGGAGGGTTCAGTGGGCAAAGCACTTGCTGTACTAGCATGAGGAGAGGAAGGCTAAGTCTGGGCCCTCAGAGCCCATGTAAAGTCGCACGTCACATAGCACTCATCTGGAGCCTTTGGATGTGGGAGGAAACAGGAGAGTTACATCAGGTCACAAACAGGGCAGAAGGTGAGGAATGATACCCACGGTTGTTCTCTGCCCCCACATGTCAGAACATGTGTACTACACACACTAAGTCTGGATATAAGTAAACATGTGTCTTAAATTCCTGGAAAGTTCCCTTCCACTCTCAAGGACACCAACCTCTTTTGTCATTAGGTTTAAAGTCTCCTCTGAATACTGTTCTATAATCTGAAGTAATCTAGGAAACTTCAGCCTGGCTTCGGAAGAGTTTAACTTTAATGCTTTTAACAGTTTCTCCACCACAAGTGCTGGATATGCTTCCAGTTCTACAGAATCAAAGATAGCAAAGAGGAAAGTGATAGTTAGAACACAAACCATAAATGTGACAAATGATTAATTTCCCCTTTCTGGCTTCTTTTTTTCAGTCTGTCACTGTCTCCTCTCCAGTACTTTTCTTTCAGTCAAGAAATGTTACACATTTGGCTACTCTTGCAGGAAGCAGCTTTCATCCTGGACTGAGAGCATATGGTGGACTATTTATTCCCAGGGCAAGAGGCAAACCACAGGAACCAACAACAAATGGCAAGTAAAATAAGTGACACAAAGCAAATGAATCAGGCGCAATGCTAGCACCTGGCAGGCAGAGAAGAAAGGCAAGAACCAGGCTAGCCTGTGTTACACAGCGAGACACTGTCTTTAAAAGTTGAGTCTTAGCTCAGTGATGGAGTTCTTGCCCAGCATTATCAAGGCTGAAACTCCAGAAATTCCAATAAACAAACAGATTCTATTGAATGCAGTTGTGTTACTTGGAGATATTATCATCTCTAAATTTAAAGCAAAGCAAACTATCTGAAACACACACACACACACACACACACACACACACACACACACGAGACTAAAGCCATCTATACAGTTTACATATGGAATACCAACCTGTTCGTCTCTTCTGTGAAGAATCGGATGCACTCTCTTCTACCTTTCGGAGCTGCTGATCACAGAAACCTACCAGTGTCATATAAGCATGGGCCTGCTCAGCTGCAGCCTCATGGCCCCAGCAGGAAAGCTGGTCTTCCTCTTCAGCTGACTGCACAGCCTTGGAGAAGTAATGGAATGCTCTCTGGTACAGACCTGAGATTACCTGGAATTCAGAATGACTATATTAATAGCTTTGAAATAACACTGAGAAGTTAGGTGTAGTGTGTGCAGTCCCAACTGAGGAAAGGGAATCCTTGGGGCCCAGGAGTTCCATGCCAGTGAGACCTCCTTTTTAATCAAATAAACAAAATATATTTAAATCTAGGTTAACTCTGTGTGTGTCTGTTTGTGTGTGTGTGTGTGTGTGTGTTGCATGCACATGCACAAGTGCCCCAGATGCAAGGCAGTAAGTAATCCCAGTAAAATCTGGAGCATACAACAACCAGACAAACTAAAGAGAACCTGCCAATCAATCAGTGAGCAACACAGAGCTGGGCCAGTCTAAGAGACTGTGAACTCCACTGGGATTCACAAAATTGATGAAGGCTGGTGCTGTATGCTCATGTCCTGCAAAGATAGCAGTGACACTGAAAAGGGAGAAGACAAGACCACATGACTGCATTAAGGCAGGACAGAAGATGAAGAAGAAGAAGCTACATATTAAAAATTATCTGAAAACCCAAAAGAAACAACCACTCCACCACTGCCCACAAACTAAGCAAAGCATCACTAAGTATGGAAGCAGAAAAGGCTGTTTCATCCTACAAGTTTTTGGAGAAACCATCTCAATGGAAATTAGTGATGAAATTTCATATACAAGCTCATGGAAGAATTACTCACCACTCCAACAAAAGCTTGTTTTAAAGACTCGTATTACCAAGTTGGGCATGTAATCCCAGTATTCCGAATGCAGAGGTAGAAGGATTGTTTTAAGTTCCAAGCCAACCTGGTCTACATAATTAGTTCCAGGACAGCCAGGGTTACATATCAAAGGGAAAAAAATGAAACAACAAAACAATAACAAATCCCCTATACTATTCAGGGGACTGTGATGTAGCTCAGTTGGTAGACTGCTTGCTTAGTTTTCATGAAGCCACGGTTCAGTCCACAGTACCACATAAACTGGGTGAGGTGTCACACACCTATAGTCCTAGCACATGGGAAGTAGGGGAAATTCAAATCCATCCTTGCTTACAAAACAAGTTTAAGACATGCTTGGGATACACATGACATTGGCTCAAAAAACAAGCAAAACAAAAAATGAAAATAAAAAAGAAGGTATAATTCAAATAACATGAATTATGTCAATTTTCCACATAAGAAACTTGAAATGACAGTTGCCAATCATTTCATTTTAGCTGTGTTTTTAAGACCAGGTCTCCCTCTGTAGCTCAGGCTAGGCATCGCGGCATCTCCCAAATGTTAGGTTTGCAGCTGTGAGTCACATGCTGGCTTTAGACGTATTTTAAATGCACTAAAGAATACTCTCACTGCTGTTTTACTTTGTCCTGAGGGCAGCACGTAAGACACAAGAACGGCCTCCCCTCTTCTATTTTCCTTACCTCCTCTGTGCTTTCCGCACTAGATCCAGAAAGCGCCAAGACTGATGTGGCCTTGGTTTCCTCCAGGTCACACAGGCAGGCTGGCTCCCTATTGAGAGCATCAGCCATGATCCTGAAAGTTGTCCCCAGGAGAATGTTCTGGTTACAAGAGGCCTGGATATTTTTGTTTAAGTAGCTTGACATATTACTCTCATCTGTTGGATTAAAAAAAAAAAAAAGAAAAAATGATTTTTTTTTAAAAGAAGAAATTCACAGTCAGTAAGTTGTTGTTGTTGTTTTTTTTTCTATTAAGATATATTAGAGGTACAAGAGCCTGGCTTCAGTTTCTGATGAAAGAATTAAAAAAAAAAACGTTCTTCTTATTTATTCTATGTTTCTTTTACAACATGTATCTGGATTCCATTCACTTTCCCATCCCTTTACATCCTCCCTCTGCCCAATAAAACAATGTACCCCCTGTCAAGAAAACAAAATTTAAGAGGAATAAGGGGGGGACTAGGAATCTCATCATGGAAGCTGCAGTATGACACAGTGAGTCACACAGTAAACCCTTTGTCCATATGTCTTCATTTGCAGGGGTTCATTGCAAAGAGTCATTGGTCTGGTTCAAGGCCTCTGGCTTCTACTATACTATCAATGCTGGGCCCTCACTGGGACTCTTGGATATGTTGCTGTTGCCTTGTGTTGTGGAGATCCTGCAGCTTTGGGTCTGTGGGTCAGGTCCCTTTACCACTCCAGCAGATCACAGATGGGGTGGATGTTGGGGCACATCAAGTCATAACCCTGGATCTGGGCCTGGGCAGCTGCAGGGTTAATCCACTGGCTAGTTTTCCCCAGTCCTCAACACCAGGGTCAGCTCTCTAGCATTGTCCTGGCTAATTTACCTTTGAGCAATGACTAAGGGGTGGGGCTAGTTCTCCTGCTTTCACGCCCTGAGGGTTGGCTCTCTCACACCTAAACCACCACTGCCAGCTCTATTGTGTTGTCCAGGTGAGGTATAGGGGCCACTGCAGCCAGTGAGGGGCAGGTACAGCTCTCCCGATCCTATGACCCCAGGGCCAGTTCCTCCACCTGTCTCAGACATTGATGGGTGAGTGGGGGGCAGGTATCTCTCCTCCACCCATGCCAGTGCAAAAGAATTTCTTAAACTTCCTAATAGAATTTTTTTTTGTTAAAAGTGAAATCCACAGAATTAAGGTTTAAAAGCAGGAATAGCTTTTTTATTCTAGTATCATCTATATTTTTTCTATGTTGAAAAGAAAATGGCTGTTATTAACATTTGCTTATTTGCATTAACAACTCAGGACAGATTTGTAAATTGATACTCTGGGGTACAGCTTATGACAAAAGCATTCTAGCTCTGTCTCTTACCACACTGTGCTGGACAAGGAACTCCAGGCTACAGCACAACAGTGTACTCATGAGAAAGCAAACTGAGAGCCTCAAACATGACAGTCAACTGCACCCACAGTCTGAATATCAGCATAATGATTCAAGAGACCCTAGGAACACTTTCTACCTTCCCCATTTCTGCCTGCTTTTGTTTCTTTTCGACAGTCTCCCTATATTGTAACACTGGCTGGTCTTGAACTTGAGGCAATTACCCTGCTTCAGCCTCCTTAATGCTAGAATTCCAGGTGTGTGCTACCACATGTGTGTGCTAGAAATGCTTTCTGTTCCTAGGATTATGTGGAGGAAACAGTCTGTCTCTTGATACCTTTACAGAGCCTGTGGCAGTGTTCCGTCCTGCTGCAGGGTCCCACTACGTACCCCGAGGTGAGGTGAGTGGCAGGATGGTCAGAGCTACACATGCCGGAGGAAGCTTTTCTCCTCTCACGCTTAGAGGGTAAACCTTCAGGAAGTTAAGTATTGAAGAGGGAAAGTTTCAATTTCCGTTTTATTGTAAAGGTAAGCATAACTCTGAATGTCCTATTGCATTAGTGCATGACACGCCCTAGGACTGGATGATCTGCTCTCCTCCTAAGGAGATGACGTCACTCTTTTGAAGACAATATAAAACAGGGTTCTTAAATGCATGTGAACAACAGCAGCCTAATTACCCAACAGTGGGACGGTTTTGAGCACGGTGAGAACTTGTTCCCGAGAGCTCTGGGCGCGGCTCCGGCTGTGGCTCAGCTGGCAGTAACTCTGTGTCCACTGCACTTGCCAAGACTCTCTTGTTTTTGAATCTTTATGCATCTCTTTCAGGAGTTTCATGGCGAGCGAGAAATTATCCTACATGAATAGAGCAAAAAGAAAGACAAGGTTTTGGGATTCTCATCATGCAGCCAAAGGGGCTTAAACTTGTGCTTCTGGTAGTTCTATGGCAGAGATACAGCCTATGTCTGAGAAAATTAGTCTTTTTAAATCTTTACTGCCATCTCCTTTCTTCAAGGTTACTGTTCCCTTTCTGTTCCAGGAGATGTATAGATTAGGTGTGAAAAGGTAAATACTATCTATATCTGACCACTACAGAAAATTACTTTAAGAAAGTTTTTAGCTGGCCTGTTTCCCTTTCTACATGACACAATATGCCCCAGAGCAGTCAATTCTTAGTTGTGTACACACTCACACTCTCTCTCTCTCTCTCTCTCTCTCTCTCTCTCTCTCTCTCTCTCTCTCTCTCTCTCTCTCTCTCTCTCTCTCTCTCTCTCTCTCTCTCACACACACACACACACACACAGTGTATGTGGGTGCATATTCGTACAGAGGATTAAGGTCAACCCTGGGTGTCAATTTTCAGGTGCTCTTCACCTTGTTGTTGTTGTTGTTTTGGATACAGGGTCTCTTACTAGCCTGGAGCTTACAGAGTAGGCTCCGCTGGCTGGCCGGCCAGTAAATCCAAGAGATCTGCTCGTCTCCACCTCCCCAGCACTGGGATTTAGTATTATTCAGCAAGCACTTTATAAACAGTGTACACTGTACATTTAAAGAATGCTTCACCATTCCTTTTGAACATATTTAAAAATATTACAATATTTACACCAAACATCTAAATTCTCTCTGTGTCTCTGTCTGTTTCTCTCTCTGTCTCTCTGTCTGTCTCTCTTTCTCTCTCTCTCCCTCTTTCTGTTTCTCTGTTTCTCTGTCTCTGTCTCTCTCCATCTCTCTCTCTCACTCCTGTCAGTTATAAACTATTCTACCTCTCTCATTCAGATAGTATCCCATGATGTAATCCCTACTGGTTTGGAAGTAACTAAGTAGTGAATAATAATGAACTTTTGATCCTGCTTCCATCAGAATGGGGTAATACCATGCTAAACTTTATGCAGTTCTGGGGCTTAATGCATGTCAGGCAAGCACACTGTTTGAATTCCATCCTCAGTTTGTTTTGAGGCAGAGAGCTCTCTGTTTTCACCTGGCTGGTCTTGGACGCAGGATCCTCCTTCCTGAGCCTCCATTGTTGGGATTACAGGTATGAGCTAAAATGCTCAACTCTAAACCTGTCAAGAGGCTCCAGCCTCTGCTCAGAGCTGATTCTGCAACTCAAATATCCCTTCTGCAAGTGTGCCCTACCCATGTGTTCCCAGCACTGGGATGCCATTCTTCTTCACCTGCCTGTTTCGTTAGAATGGAGCTAGGAGGACAGTGGTTGCCTTTCTCTTCACAATCTGAGGGACAGTTACCCTGCTCAGCTTATTCCAGAGGCCCTCACCACAAAGTTCTTAAAGTCAGGCCATCCTGTTCTAACCACCTGCCTATTTTCCCCCACTACATCTCTGGGTGCTTGTTTTTGTTTCATGTCTAACTAACAGACATTCTCAACTCATCAGCATTTATGTTACACTGGCTGGGAAACTGGCTAACACATACACAGATCTGCTTTCCTCCTGCACTGATGCTCAATGCCATTAGATTCTTTGGAGACAACTGAGCAGGTTGTATGCACCATGGTCCAGTGTGTTCTCTCATCGGTTCCTGACTTTCCCTAGCTCCTTCTGGAGTACCCTGTCCACTATCAGCAGCTGATCATGCACTCTTTGAAGCTGCACTGTGAACCTCCACAAGGGACCTCTCTTCTGCAATCCCTCTCCTGAGCTACCAGTTCCCCCATTCCTCACTATGCTCTTGTAAGCTGCTCCATACAAACCACTTTCTCTGCACTCTCATCCATTGCTTTCAGGACAAGACTCACAGGCACCTTCCTGTAAGATACTCAGGCAACAGTGTCCTGCCCCAGGACCTGTTTTTCCCCGTCTTCCCTCCACGGGCTAACCTGGGCATGGCTACCAGCATCCCTGTCAGCAAAGCCACAGCAGACTGCCCTTCTTCAAGGGTTTCTCCTCATTACAACTACATGCTTTCCTAAAACAGGTATCTGATGATCTGGATCTGGGAGCTTCTTATGGGGGTACTCACAGATTAATAGTACCAAAAATCCAACTTTTGCTCTACACAGGAGACCTAGAGTTTGAGGTTATTCTTGGATCTCATATGCTATCTTTCTGACCTGTCTCCTGGCGCTAACACATCATGCTCCAAGGACAGAGGCCATCTTTCCCCTTATAAGTGAGGTCCAGGAACTCACCTTTTACCCAGTACCACCCCACTCGCAGTAAATTCCTACACTTCTGTAAATCCTGTTGTGGCCGCCACTTTTAGTTCCTAAGTAGACACAATCTCCAGAAAGCTTTCTCTGTTTCCCCCAGGACTGAAGTGCCCCCACCCCCAGTGTACAGTTCCTTCAGTTCTTTTTCTGTGGTTTTGTTTTATTTTTTCTGAGACAGGGTTTCTACGTATAGCCCTCTGTAGACCAGGCTGGCCTCTGCCTCCCGAGTGCTGGGATTAAGGGCATTTGCCAGCGCTACTACACAGCATGTCCTTCAGTTCTTATTACTAATGCCATAATTGTTCATCTGCTGGCTCCACAAAACACTTTCCAGTATACAGTGAAGGGCTTGGCAATGAAAAGAATCAAAACTCAAATTGTACTTTCTCTGCTTCTAAAGACCTTTCAAGGTTAGATATGCATTATTTTTCTCTCTATCCCTAATATTAATGGTATCACTAGCTATCATGTTATTGGTATCGCTAGCAAATATACCATCTAGAAACGCTAAAAAAAGCTGGTGCCACACAAAGTTCCAGGTATTTTCTGTGTTCCTCATAAGATCTCTCAATCATGTGCTTCCTTCTTCTAATGGAGAAGTTAAGCAGCAGTAGGAAGTGTTTACTGCCAGTCCCTTGAGGACTACACTCTAGCCTTCTCCATAGTACATGGAGCTTAGTCAGAAGTTTGGCTATGCCTCTCCTGCTGCAGTCAGGGCCATGTGAAGCCTCAGAGGACAATGTTGAAGCCTTTTGGAAAGAAGGTGTTTGATTATTTTTCCCCTGTAGATGGTCAAGGATAAACTGCTTTCAGTCCAGGAAGATTTGTTGTGGAAGGAACACGCTTCCAACTACCAGGGCAAGCCCGGGACTGCCAGGCTTACTATGTGCATGTACATACAGAAGCAATGTGAGCTAGAGAGCTGCGGGAGAGAAGCAGACTACTGCAGAAAGTACTTGAGATATACCTAATGCCAGTCTTCAGATGACTTCATTACTGAAACTAATACATTCCTTTCATTCTCTGAAGCTACTCCTAATATACCCCAGAGAAAATATTATATAAATGAGCATTTAAACTGAGAAAACAGAATTGTTAATTATTTATAGTAGACTAAGGGGTATAAAGAAGGTTTATAACAACAGTCAATGAATGGTCATTAAAATAACAAGCTGAATATGTTCAAATTTAATTAATATATTTGGTAGACTTAAGATCTTATTATCAAATGCAAGACATCTAGAAACTAAACCTAAAAATTTTATAAGCATCAAGGATCCATTTTTCTAAATGATACATGTTGGAGAATATTATTTTAAGGTGTGTTACTGTGCCTGTCTAAAACATCTGATGGTCTAATAGAGAGCTGAATATCCAGTAGCAAGGGAGGAGAGAGAAATAGGCAGGGTTGGCAGGCAGAGAGGATAAGTAGGAAAAATCTGAAGAGGACATCAGGGGCCAGCCACCCAGCAACCTAATTACAGAGCGAGACATGAAGTAAGAAGGCAAGGAAAGCGACACAGGAATGGAGAAAGACAGATGGGAGGCCAAAGATAGACGGCATCATTTAAGATGATAAAAGCTGGCTAGAAACAAGCCAAGCAAAGGCCAGGTATTCATAACTAAGAATAAGCCTCTGTGATTTTTTTGGGACCGGGTGATAGGCCCCTCAAAAAGCCAAAAGAGTAAACATCCAACTACAGATACAAATCAGGCATTAAATTGGCTGCTTTTTAAGTAACAGATAATAAACATTGTTAAATAATAAGCAGTTTTGTAATAAACACTTGAGGGATTGTGAATAGTAAGTGTTTCTTCAAACTTTGTTCTCTAAGTGTTGCATATGGAACCCAGGGCTTTGGTAGGTAAGAGTTCTACCACTGACCTACATCCTAGCTTCCAAAATTACTTCCGTATAAAGAGAGTAAGTAGATCAATTCATTGTTTTTAAGGTTCCTGTTTTAGAGGAAAGAGGAGAAAGGAGTTAGTTCAGGAGCTCCCACAGGGCCACAGAGGGGTACAGATAGGGAATGCACCTGCTTCCATGCGCTTTCTATCATCTTCATTTTCAGGGCGAACCTGCAGCTCTGGATCATGGAGCGAACATCTTCCTTTGGCTCATGCACTTCTCTCCTGTCAAGGGAATCTTCATCTTCATCCACACTCATACTGGTATCACCTGAAGAAGCAGTCAGCCTCTCTTCTATCTTACTGAGAAAGAAGCAGCTATATAAAACAAGAAAAAGTGAGCTTCAATGTCAGTCATGAAAGCCACCCCGTACTGGATCACACCACAGAACTGGATAGACTAACGTTTCACTTGGGATATAGTACAATATACACTGAAGGGATTAGATTTCTCCCCATTTAATAAACACACTCTTGAAAGATTACCAAAGATATTTTAACAGACTTCTAGAGTTTATTCAGTGCCTCCATTTCCATAAAATAAAGCATTTAAATTTATATTTCTCTCTAAAGAATGGGCAGCATACTGTATCTTAGGTCAAAGGCCATTTGTGTCCTTGTATCTCTATCCTAAAGTCCTATTCCCAGAGACAATGGGAAGTAATGAGGAGGTTATAAACAGTCACTGTTGGGTATGGACATGTTGTATGCATCTGCAATCTCTGAAAGTGGAAGGGAAGGCAGGAGGATCATCCCAAGTCCAAGTCAATGCGAGCCTGGCTCGCAGTGAGTCATTGTGTCACACAGCGAGACTGCCTGAAAAAAGATAAAACTGAAAAGTTTAAAAATAGATTTGTTCCAAGTTTGATTTCCCTGCACATGCAGCTGGTATCTTTTCCTTATTCTCCATCCTCAGGGACTTTTTTTTAACACTCAAATACATAATCATTTTTATAATTAGAAAAATTTTAAATTTGGTTTTAGGACAGGGACTTAATATGTAGCTATGGCTGGTCTTGAACTTGATATGTAGACTAGGCTGACATCAAACTTAAAGATCTTATTGCTTCTGCTCCCTAAGTGTTGGGATTATAGGTGTAAACTACCATATATGTAAATTGAAATTTACATACAATTTCATATGAATTAAAAATTGCATATAAATTTATACAAACATGCATTATAATTTACATATATGATTTTGTTCAAGTGATCTATTTTACATTAATATCAGTAGCACTGGCAAAGAGCTGTAATATACAAACTTTATCCCTAATCCAGTAACTTCCAGTTTTTCATATAGGTCTAATTTTCTTTCCTTCTCTTTTTCTCTTCTTCTGCCTGGTCCATTACCTTCCTCGTCCTCGTCCTTTGTTTTTGAGGGAGTTGGGGTCTTGCTATATTATTCAGACTGGCCTCAAACTTGTAGGCTCACGTTATCATTCCACTTCAGTGGTTTAAATAACTGGAACTACAAGCAGGTACTAGTACACCATCTTTCTTTAATTTTCTTAGAAACATTATGGCCAGACAAACTAGCATGCCTCTTATCTACCTATAGTTTCCTTCCTTTTCTAGAAACCCCCAAGACACCAGCCTTTCCAGCCATGGATGTGCTTCGATTCTTACCACACTACCCAGTGCTCCTGGCCCCAAGCCAGCTTGTCCTGCCTCTCTTCCCAAAAGCTACTACTGTTTTTTTTTATCTTTCATAGCTTTAAATAAGATTGTAGACAAGCAAAAAGTGTTAAAAACAGGCATTCGATCACAGATGGGACACGGATGCATGTGCACACATGAGACTGGCTCTCCTAGGTGAGGAGGAATTAATCCAACTTCAGGCAGCGGAGGGGAGTTGCATCACACTAGGAAGGACACGGCCTGAAAGAGCTGTTTTCCCCAGAAATAACAGGTTTTGTTTGTTGTTTGTTTGCTTTTGGGGGGACAGAGTTTCTCTGTGTAACAATCCTGGTTGTCCTGGAACTCATTTTGTAGGCCAGGTTGGCCTCGAACTCACTGTGATCTACCTGCCTCTGCCTCCCAAGTGCTGGGATTAAAGAGGGGTGCCATTACCACCAGGCTAAGTAACAGTTTTGACTCTGAGATGGCACTATGAGCTCCTTGCAGCCTACCTCTGTGGTGCATAGAAACTATGCAAAATATAAAATATACTTCCCAAGGATGGTGTGGTGGTTTGAATAGGGATGGCCATCATAGACTCATGTGTTTGAATGACTGGCCCACAAGGAGTGGCAGTATAGGTGGTGTGGCCTTGCTGGAGAAGTGTCATTGTGGGGGTGGGCTGTGAGGTCTCAGAAGCTCAAGTCAGTTCACTGCCTACGGATCAAGATCCTTCTCCAGCACCATGCCTGCCTGCATGCTGCCATGTTTCCAGCCATGACAATAAAAAGTGAAATGAAAAAATAAATAAATTTGGTAATAGATAAAAAACAGAACAGAATACTGAGGGTGGAGTCCCTTAGTACTGCTTGCTATGGATAGTTCACAAATAATTGACAACTTCTGATTCCATGGTCCCACTCTCTAGACAAGACAGGGTTAGTTCTGCACAGGATGAAAACATGAACTCAGAACTGGGGAACTCTAAAACAAGCATATATGGTAAGTAGGAAGCAAGAGGCCGACTGGTAAAAACCCAAGTTTTAAAAACATCAATAAAGAATCACTGCCCAGCAGTCCTCTCTGCTATCTGTGTGAGAAAGAAACAGACACAGCAGTGTCCACATCACAGCCAGTGGTTGCCACCACAGTAGGGGACAGCAAGGACTTCTCAGGAGTGTGAGTCTAAAGGAAACACTGCAGACATGAAGTCTGTTAGAATAGTTTACGCAGGTGATCAGGATGAGAGCAGTATGCTACACACCCCATTCTTAGAAGCCTTGGTTTCAAAGAACTGCCATGCTGGCATCTCTGGAAAAGAATCTTCATTTGACTCAATAAGACCATATCCTACCGATTTGTGATGATGTCATCCCAGATGTGCATTGGGTCTGTCACAGCATCTGGGTATCTGCTTGTCCAGGTTTTTAGAAGTCGCCTAAGGGGACCCGGAGATGATAAATCACCTAAAAATAATATTAGAGACTAATCATATCCACAGCAGAATGACAAGAAGATATGACAGAGTAGAATCAGAATTAGTAAATAGAAAACGAACTCAAATTTCTTTTTCAAGAATTAAAAATAAAACAACAAATTAAGAAAAAATAGCAAATTAAAAAGCAAACAACAAACCAAAAAAACCCAACACATTGTCTTTCATTCACAAAAGGAATTACAAGTCACTATACCAAATGTAATACATTCTGAAATGTAAATGCTATCATTTCAGGATATTAAAATAAGGGGAAAATAAACACATACCTGTCTTTTTACATTCTTCACAGGTATATAGTCTTTCATCTGCAATTCCAAAACTTAAAAAGCATTGAAAACTAAATGCTTTCATAGTGTTATGGTGCATTTTCTTGAAGGCCAAAGTGATCTGAACTGAACAAGGTGACTCAGTTCTTATTAACAGTGTGAACATGGACAACTTATATTGGGTACTCATCACGGTATCTAATTAGGACACACATCTCAGCCCATCCCATGCAGAGCACATGTCTAATATCTAAGACAATCTAGCTACAAAACAATCCTAACAATTTTTGAGATCTAACATTGTAATATTTACAGCCTTTCTATGGCTTGGAAGCAGTAGTTAAAAATACCTTTAGTTTAGATGGCACTGAGTTCATATTTTTAACTTAACATGTACCACTTTATACAATTTAGTTAACTTCTAGGGCACCATAAAAAGGGAAGAAAAACTACATCTCATAAAGTTGTTAGAAAATTTAAAAATGGGGTACAAAACACAGTTCTCAAAAGATGAAACACAAATGGCCGAGAGGCAAAGAATTGTTCAGCATCCTTAGTCATGAGGAAAATGCTAGTCATAATTTGAGATTTCATCTTACACCTGTCAGAAAGGCTACGATCAAAAACACAAGTGACAGCGTATGTTGGTGGGGATATGGAGTAAGAGGAACACTCCTGCATTGCTGGTGGGAGTGCCAACTTGTGCAGCCACCATGGAAATCAGTGATAATTCTTCAGGAAGATGGGAATTGATCTGCCTCAAGGTCCAGCTACACCACTCTTGGGCATATACCAACTACAGTAGTGGACAGCAAGGACTTCTCAGGAGTGTGAGTCTAAAGGAAACACTGCAGACATGAAGTCTGTTAGAATAGTTTACGCAGGTGATCAGGATGAGAGCAGTATGCTACACACCCCATTCTTAGAAGCCTTGGTTTCAAAGAACTGCCATGCTGGCATCTCTGGAAAAAAATCTTCATTTGACTCAATAAGACCATATCCTACCGATTTGTGATGATGTCATCCCAGATGTGTACTGGGTCTGTCACAGCATCTTGGTGTGACATATGGGAGTCTACATTCTACTGTCTCAACTATGTTCACTGTTGCTCTATTCATAATAGCCAGAAATTGGAAACAGCTTAGATGTCTGTCATTGGATGAACAGATAAAGAAGATGTGGTACATCCATACAACGGATTACTCAGCTGGTAAAAAATTGAAATCAGAAAACTCACAGTAAATGGATGGAGCTAGAAAAAAATCATCCTGAGTAAAGTAACATCCTGAGAAAGACAAATATGCTATGTATTTATTTATATTTGGATGTTACCTATATGTGGATGATAGGCAGGCTACAATGTGTACAACTATAGAGGTTAGGTGTAGAGTCAGAAGGAGGGAAGGATATCCCTAGGAAGGGGAATAAGATTATACAGTTATGGGTAGATGAGGGCTGGGAAGACTGGAATGGGGCATGAAACAGGGATGGGGAAGGAAGGGGGGATAAAGGAGAGAATATGGGATGGGACAACTAACACTATGGGCTATTTGAGGGGTCACATGGAAATCTAATTTTGTAAAAGCTTCTTAAAATAAATGGAGTCATCAAATAACAGGAGAGACAATGGACCCTCTATATATCTTTTGCCACAAAGTGAAACCCCCAGTGCCAGGAATGGTAACCCATTCCAACTAATTGAGCAGTTGGCCAAAGAAGCCCCATGGAAATCCCCAAACATGTCATGTTATTGCCAACGCCACTGGTCGCTCTCCACAAACTGATGGTAAGGTCCTGTTGCTGAACTTACACTTACATCTCATTAAATGCAGAGAAGTCAAGCTGGTACCTAGAGATTTTACCCTTACTGACTAGTGCTCATGGTATTGGAAGGAACTGTGCATGCTATTGGAGAAGAAAGGTAACCACCAACCCAACTACAAACTTTGTGACCTATAACGACAACCTGTTTGTGAGATATGCTGGTACAATAATGACACAAACATCATGGGAGCATTTAAGGCCCACTCCATGAGATGGAGCCCATGTCTGAGAATAGATAGGCCAAGGGCCTAGGAGAAAACGAAATACTACTGTTCTGTTAAAGGAACACAGCAATAAAATGACTCCTAGTGAAATTCTGCTATACCCATTGGTCAATGCCTCACTCAGCCATTTATCAGAAAAGCTTTCTCTTTCAATAGATAGGAATATAAATAGAGGCCCACAACTGGACAATCTGTAGAAACTGAGAGTTTTTGGAACCCTCAGTCCTAAACAGGATGTCTTCATCAAACCTTTCCTCTTAGGGCTCTTGGACCTACGTGGAATAGGAGGTGAAAAGGTTGTAAGAGCCAGAACGGATGGATAGCTCTAAGGAAACTGTCTTCCAGACAAAACAGGATGACACACACATGAACTCACAGAGACTGAGGCAGTCTGCACTTAGTCTGCACAGGTTTAAGTCAAATAGGGTCCCAGTAATGAGAGGGAGAAGGGGATATGATCTCCCACTCCTAACCAAGAAGCTATCTGCAATTGACAACTTGTAAAGGAAAAATTAGTTGTCTCAAATTGAATCTGACTGGATATATCAACCACATTTCAGGATCAGTCCCATGACCAGCAGTAGATGATAACATGAAAGGAACTTAACGGTATTTTTATAGACTTTATGACTCATACTGTTTTGTTTGGGTATTTTGTGTCTTTCTGGACTTTTGTTATATATTATGATTTCTGTCTGTGTTTTTTGTGTATGTGTGTACTTTCCTTTTAAAATTCTATTTTCTTTTTTTTTTGTTGTTGTTACTAACTTCTTTTATAAATAGAGAAAAAGAGCTGTGCCATTGGGTGGGTGGGAGGTGGGAAGGATCTGGGAGGAGTTGGAGAAGTAGAAACTATGATCAGAATATTATGTATGAAATTTTTAAAAAAGATATTATATATGTATATATGTATATATATATATATATTTTAAGGTTATAGATAGTGAGCCACCATGGGGTTGTTGGGATCAACCTCAGAACCTCTGAGAGAGCAGTTAGTGCTCTTAAATTGTGAGTCACTGGGACTCTACTCCTCATACTGTGTTACTTTGCTCAGCCTTGATACATGGGGAAGCACTGTCTTACTGCAACTTGCTATGCCATTTTTTTTGTTGGTACTCATGGGAGACTTGCCCTTTCTTAAGCAGAAACAGAATAGGAGAGGATTGGGGGAATGGGAAGAGAGTGGGGGGCTAGGGAGAGGGACTGGAAGAAAAGGAAGGAGGGGAAACTGTGGCAGAGATGCAAAACAAACAAACAAATAAATAGACAAGCATAACTCCTTAGCTGTAGAAAGTACTTAATAATTATATATTATTAAGATGGCTTAAAAATATAATACTTCTCTAAGTTTAAATCAGGGAACAATGAGCAAGCTATTAAAAATATTTGATAAATCATTTTTAACTATTCAAAACAAACAGATTTAGGATGAAGACATTTCCCTTATACAGATGTACTCTCTTAGACTCTGATATGGCTTTTCAGAGGATTGAGAATAAAATCTACTGTTGGTGGTGCATGGACCAACATGACCTGTATTGTTGTCCACAGCCTGTCAGCTCCTCCCACGGTCTCCTGAGACTCACCATCCAACCCCATTCTGGACAGTGAGGCCTCTATCATGGTAGTAATCCTCTGGGCAGGGTTCTACAGGCCCCTCTCTTCCACAGTGCAGTTGGGCCCCACCTTCAGGAGCCTCCAGTTCAATCCTGGAATCACACTCTGAGCACTTCAAGCTGTCAGTATTTTGTTTGGCTTTGTATTTTCAGGTTCTTGGAACGACAGTGCTGGACTGTTTTAAACACTTCATCTAGTCATCTCAACAGGTGCACTTTTGGGACACATTCAAGGCAGTTTATACTCCACATATTAAGTTTTGTTTCAATAAGCAGAAATTCAGGTGGTAAAACCCCTCCACAATTAGAAAGGAAAAAATGATGACTTAAAACTTACCATGTTTACTTATAAAGTTGAGGAACTCCTCAATTTCAGCTAAAGCCTGCACAGACTGCAATTTGGCAAGTCTACTTCTGTGTAAGAGGACATCAATACTAGAATAATTCTGGGGAAAAAAAGACATTGGCCTGGTTATAAAGGCAATATACTACTTAAAGCTTAATGGCTTAAGCCAGGTAATGGTGGTGCATGCCTTTAATGCCAGCATTCGGGAAGCAGAGGCAAGCGGATCTCTATGAGTTCAAGACCAGCTTGGTCTATAAGAGTTAGTTCCAGGACAACCTCTAAAACCACAGAGAAACACTGTCTTGAAAAAAACCTTAATGTTTTTTAAAAAAAACATGATATAGCAGTAAGATCAGTATAATCTGGCCATCAAATTCCTTGTTCTATCTATCATCTGCCTAACTATTCTCCTAGTAAGGATCTATTCCAGGTCTACTTACATGATAGGCAAATGCTCTTCTACAAGTTACATTCCTAATCTGCAGAAAATTTTAAATCACAGTCTCTTATAATATAAAATTGTGAAGCACAGAAGCCAATTCTCTTTTGTTTATCTTTTGTGTGTGTAAGTGAGAGTAGAAGCATGCCAGCATGTGTGTGGAGGTTATTCCTTGGCAGGTGTGTACAACATATTAGCTGGACTGTCCTAGTTTGCTTTTTTGTTGCTGCAATAAAATACCATGCCCAAAAGCAACTTGGGTAGGAAAGGATTTATGTGGCTTATAGGTTCTAGTCTGTCACCAAGGGAAGTCAAGGAACTCAAAGCAGGTACCTGGAGGAAAGAACTGAAGCAGAGGCCAGGGAAGAATGAATGAATGTTGCTTACTGGCTTGCTTCCCATAGTATGCTCAGTTTGTTTTCTTAAAGGATCCAGAACCACTTGCCTAGGGTGGTACCACCTGGTGGGTTGGGCCCTGCCACATCAATCACCAGTCAAGAAAATGCCCCACAGACATGCTCACAGACCAGTCTGATGGAGGCAATTCCTCAACTGACATCCCTCCTAGCAGCATGTGGAGTAAGAGCTTCTAGGAATTCTCCATCTCCCATTTCATCAGAGGAGTGCTGAGGTTACAGGTATGTGCTACCATGTCTAGTTTTATACAGCTCCTGGGAATCTGAATTGGGTCCTCATGCTAACAAGTACTTTCTCCACTGAGCCATCTCTCCAGTCCTAAAACCAAGACTTTTTAGTCTTGGTTTACTTTAAAATGATAAAAACAAAAAATTAAAAAAAGACTATATTTCTATGACTAATGTTGGTAGACTGTTAGTGGTTCAAAAAGAAACGGATCAACAGACAACTGTGAAAACAAACAAGCAAACAAAAAGGGCAGACAACAAATAGAGCACATTATCTGATTTCCCAGTTAAACTCTTCGGTGTTAAATTGTACATTACTTTTAGCTAGTCCTTTCAAGGAAAATGGAATGTATCTGAAAACAAGTATTAACCTTCCTGATACAAACACCTGGAAGAATGTTTCCTGTTGTCTCATATTATTGAGATGTTAATCTGCATTGTGGTCACCCAGAGAGATTAGTTTATGCATTTGTTCATAAATCAACTAAAATTCTATACAACTACTCCACAGAGAAAATTATACATTGCACAGTGTGAGAAAGTGTGAGAAAGATTGAACTAAAGACGTAACAAAAAGTAGAACATTTATAACAGTGAAGAAAGAAAAATCGAGACAAAGGATGAGTAAAGAGTACATTAGAAGAATCCAAAGGAAGAACAGTAATATATGCCCGGTGTGATGGTCCTGCTTTCAATCCCAGCACTCAGGAGGCAGAGACAGGTGGATCTCTCTAAATTTGAGGCCAGCCTAGTCTACAAAGTGAGTTCCAGGACAGGCTCCAAAGCTACAGAGAAACCCTGCCATGAAAACAAACAACAACAACAAAACAGAACAGGTAATATATAAGAGAGCACACAGAAGGTTTTGGTTGGTCCTTTGTGTGTGTATGATTACTGACACTTAAAACTACTACAAAACAGTATGCATCATATAGATCCATCTGTCTTACCTGCATGAAAATCTGAATGCCATTTTTAATGTAGTAAGTGGCTCTATCAATATCATCTTGCAAGATGTAAAGGAGACTCAGCTCCTGACTATAGTGAAGCTCCAGGACTGTCTGCTGCAGCTCCTTGTGCATGGCTTCATCCACAAATGTCAGCAGGGACTGGTTGCCTTCTCCATGAAGCAGGAGCTTCAGTTTGCTTCGGATCACATATGGGAGATATATCTCCTGTGGAACAACAATAATCCATTATCAATATAGAAAGTCAATTTGAGTGAATGTAACTATTTCTACCTGAAATATTTATTGCAATACTTTTATATTTTAAGGTTGAGAAACAAAATAATGGTATCTCATGTTGTAACCTAAAACTACAACTTTAAAAACAAGTTGCTCTAACATGGATTATTTTCTAATCACAAAATATGTAGGCACTTGCTACAGAAGAATGGGATCTCCCTGAAGTTGGGAGACATTGTGCATACTGCCATACTGCACATAAACTGAGGAACTACAGCACAAGAAGGTAGCAGCATGGGTGCAGGAGGGCCTGTAACTGTCTCCTTGGGGGCCACAATGAAGATGGCCTTCTCAGTAGCATAAAAGACCACAGAAAATATTCTTCCATGTGGTCATACCACAGAGATAATATCTACTGTAAAGAAGATCCCATTTATTTTGAAATGGCTAGATAAAAAGTGATATTAAGTTTAACACCATGGAGTTTGAATATCCAAAGGCTTCAAAACTGTTATCTTAATCTTGGAAATTTTTAAAGTAGTTTTATTAACCGGGAAACCCATGACCATCTAAAACATTTTCTTCAGTTACTGAAAAATAATTCTACACACCTGGTAAAACGGTTCACTCCACATTTTACTTAAGTCTAGAGGGTTTTCACTGTCTATATTGGTTGTCGAACAGTACTCAAGTACTTTCCATTCAGAAAGGTTGTTGTAACAGTCAAGGGATGCCAGTTCCCAAAACTCCTTCTCAGCCTCTGTGGGTTCACCATCCACCCACTCCTGTTTATTTAAAGCCTGGCAGAAAAAGAAGGATTATTTTCTGGAATTGAAAAGAACACAGACACAAATTCATTCTTTTTTTCATAAATTCATTTTTTAAAGGAGGGTATTATAACATTACTAAAGACAATCATTTTGGATTCATGGCAACATGAAAAAATGGGATAATATTCAAAATAACAATGAATAGAACAAGAAAAACAGGAAGCTTATAGTAACAAATGAGGTCAGGTGTAGTGGTACACACCTGTAATCCTAGCACTCAGGAGGTGAGCTCCAGAATAGCTAGGACTACAAAGTGTGACCTTGTCTCCAAAACCAAACTAAGCCACAACAAACAAAAAGATATGAATGAGAAGAAAGTTATCCCACTGAGAAACCAGGAAATTAAGTGATGCATAATTTAAGTCAAGACTATGTATTATAGTCATTTAACATGTTCTTAGTCTTAAAAGATTAATGTGAGGACATTTGCAGACTGTTCTGTTTCAAAGCTAAGATCACACACTCAATATTTTTCTAAGCAGCAGATCCCAAAGTCTGACACCTATTATCTTTGCTAACTTGAAATGAAATAAAACATACAAAGCTAAATTTCAGGAAAAATCAAAGTCTATTTCACTTCATCATATTTTTTCTAAATGAAAGAAAACAATATATTCAAATAGAAATTATAAATATAACAGCAGTCATAGAAGTTCTGTATAGCGTTCTGTACTTTGTAGTTTATGAAATGTTATGTCTTTTCAATGGTAGCTTAAAAAAGCAAGACACAGTAACAATTATATCACAGATGGTTATTATAAAACCACATTTAGTTAATAATCTTTAATACTAAAGCTAACAGTTCATTTTAAATGTACAGAGCCAAGGTGTTTAAGCAACTGATGACACATTTGCCAGTGATTAGTTTTACCTCATTATACAGCTTAGCAGCTTGAGAATAATCACTTCTGGATTCTGCTAATAGTGCATTTCGAGTGTCCTGTTTTGTTCCCAACTCACTACTAAAAATGCCACGGAGGATATCATATTCCCCAATTGACCGGTACAGTCTTAAAAAAAGAAAAGAATAAATAAATAACAAGCAAACCAATATCACATTTAAAAAAGTATTCACACAATTTTCATTAATTCTGAATGAAGATATAAAATATTTACCAAAGTTGACATACAAATTTTTGTTTGTTTATTTTTTTCGAGACAGGGTTTCTCTGCGTAACAGCCCTGGCTATCCTGGAACTCACTCTGTAGACTAGGCTGGCCTCGAACTCACAGAGATCTATCAGCTCTGCCTTCCCAGAGTGCTGGGATTAAAGGCATGCACTGCCATTCCCAGATAAAAGCAGTATTTTTATTTTGCTGGAAATACAAAATTAAATATCTTTGAAGTTCCCTTTCAGTTTTACTTCTTTAATTAACTCAAAGCTCAGGTTATTCTGATGTGCATTTGAAGAAAAAAATCTGGAAATATGAGAGTTAAGTGAGTCACTAATTTGAGGCCAGTCTACACTGCGCTATATTGACTCTGTCAAAGAATAACCCTGAAAATATGAAAAGTATATAATGTATAAGGTTTCATTAAATAAGCTTCTATAGGTAGTCCATTTGGAGTTACTGTCTAGCCCTAAGGAAAAGCCAGAAGCAAGAAATAACTCTCACCCTATTGATGTTTTGGTCTATGCTCTAGGAACTACATTTTAGGCACAAAAATTTTCCTTAATACTTGTTAGAACACTTATTCATATTTTCATCTTAATAAAAATCTGGCTTGCCGCCGGGCGTTGGTGGCGCACGCCTTTAATCCCAGCACTCGGGAGGCAGAGGCAGGCGGATCTCTGTGAGTTCGAGACCAGCCTGGACTACCAAGCGAGTTCCAGGACAGCCTCCAAAGCCACAGAGAAACCCTGTCTCGAAAAAAAAAAAAAACAAACAAAAAACAAAACAAAACAAAAAATCTGGCTTGCCTAGCATAGTGTTGCATGCCAAAAATCCTAATACCAGAAGGGTGAGGCAGGGTGATCATGAGTTCTAGGTAATCCTGGGCTACACAGCAAACTTTGCTAAGACAAGATTCTATCACTACGAAATTCTCAAGTTAGTGTTTATAAAGTTCATTCTCTTTCTCTCGGAAGTTTCTTCTTAAATCCCAACCTATTTTTCCCCGACAGTCGTCAGCAGATTAGCCACGTGAGCCTACCTCCTCACTTGTTCTCCTGCTTTCTGGTTCACTTCCTGACCCTGGATCTCTTGTAGCAATCAAACTTTGGTTGGGAAAGTTGGTGTATGCCTAGATTTTTTGCTGCTGAGGGGATTGAGGCAGGGGGGTAACAAGTCTAAGCCTAGCTTAGGGAACTAAAGTTCAGTCTGAACAACCTATTAGGATCTTGTCTCCATTAGGGTTTGGTGTGGGGGTTGGAGAGGGAAGAGGTGGAATTTCTCAGGATTTAATTTAGTGGGAAAGTACTATAAAGTCTTAGGTTTTTTTTCCTCCCCAAGGACTAAGGGAAGAGAGGAAGACATATGCAGCAAGTTGTGCAGAACCCCTATGAATCATGGACCCACTAAATCTAAAAATAGAGAAAACCAAATAGACATGGTTCTGTTACTGCCCAAATCCTAGAGGTCAAAGGTCAGAGGCAGAGGTAGATACATAGGTGTTGAACAACAGCAGTTCATAGGTTAGGACAAAAAGAGGTATTTTCTACAAGCACAAAAAGAAATCACCATCTACACCCTACCCTGGTTCCCAGGTACCCGAAAGTTTACTGGCACGTGATCAAAATGACAACCATAATACAGAAAGAAAAGGTTAAACTATTTAATAAAGTCAGAAACAAGTATGTCAAGCTTAAACCTGTAAAAGTTGTTTCCTTCCTTCCTGTCTACCTACTTACCTATCATCTATCTACCTACCTATCTCTATCAATGAAATGGAAGCCAGAAACTCAACCATACCAGGTAAATGTTCTGTAAACTAAAGCCTTAGTCCTTCCTCTGCCATGCAACTCCCACTTCAAGACATGGTACAGACTTGACTGGCCTTGACCTCAGAGAGATCATCCTGCCTCAGCCTCCCAGGTACATTTACATTTGTGCTTCTGCGTAATGAAATAAAACATACAAAGCCAAATTACAGGAAAAATCGAAGTCTGCACCCCCCCTCCGTGTGTGTGTGTGTGTGTGTGTGTGTGTTTTCTTATTTCATGAAAACAGTGACACAGGATGTCACCTATTGAATCACATATCTGAAGCAGTAGAAAACAATGGCTCCTACCAGGAGGTATTCTTTCGATTGGCCTGGCCCTGTATTTACCCTTCTCAGCACTCTCCTTGTCCACCTTCTTGATGTTCTGGTTAATTATGTTTAAAAGTATATAAATATTTTTTCCTTGGGACTAGTCACTTTTTCAGTATCGGGGATTGAATCTAGCGACTCACACATGTCAACAAAGTGCTGCACCACTGAGCTACAACCCTGTCTGTGATTAATGTCTCTCTAATCTACTTCTCCTTCTCTGCCTAGTATAGTGCTTTACAAAGTCACAGTGCACATTAAGACACTGACTGATGATAATGGTGAAAGGGAAGCAAGCTGTTTTTATTTTTACTATCTTTTCACTAAAAGTTGGCCAAATGATTTGAATTTTTTATTGTGTGTGTGTGTATGTTATCTTTTCACTAAAAGTTGGCCAACTGATTTAAATTTTTTAGTGTGTGTGTGTGTGGGGGGTGGTATGCATGTAGAAGTCAGAGCATAACTCTCAGGAAATGTCCTGTGAAAAGTGGGATCTGAGGATTGAGCTGCAGTCATCAAGTTCATATGGCAAGTGCCTTAACACCTGAGCTATCTTGAAGGCCCTCTGAATTCTGACTTAACATCCTTCTAAATATTAGGCTAGGCCTTGGTATGCTAAAACTAAGGAAAAGGAAGAATCAAACATCATGCAAAATGGAATACTATATATCAGAATTTGTATTTCCAAATAAAGTACTGGATTAAAGAGTCTCTGCAATTTTGAGTACAGTTGAAAATAATGAGTCATCCATTATTCATCTTAGCAAAGCTGAAAAAAAAAACATCAGGAACTACAAATTACAGATTCCTAATAGTAAGTGTGGTAGATAGTAATGAAACTAGACAATTGTGTAACAGATTAAAATGACATGGCTAATCAAAGTTTCTTCTTTAAGCCAAGTATTTCTTTTCATGGCAGTCATTCTCGACACATAAACTCAGACTGAAATGTTTTACTATTTCAATACAACAAGAAAAACAAAAAACAACAAAAAAAAACAACAACGATTTTTTTGTCTATGTGTCTGTTGGCCAGAATAGTGTTGGCTACCATGGAGCTGGATTTACAGGTGGTTATAAACTGTCCAACTCGGGTACTAGGAACCTGAGTTCGAGTCCTTGCTGAAAGTTCTAAACATTGAGCAATCTCTTCAGCCTCCTTACCAGCTCATTTTTCATAAAAATAAAGCCAAATTTTTATTGTGTTACTTTGGTTGATTTACTGTTCTCCCAAGTATAGTCCATTCCAAGCTTACTTAGCTAGTTCCATCCACCGGAGAACATCAGGAGGCAAGCAAGTCTTGCCCCGGACTCGTTTGATGGGTGGCTCTTCCGGCACCAGGTGGAGTAGTGCCTCTTCCAGAAGACGGATACCTCCAGGCTGCTGCAGACTGGCCAGGCAGCCCACTCGAACAGCAGCTGGGTCAAGACTCAGCAAGTCTGGGTATTGGCAACTGATTTCCTGTAAAAGCACATATAGCTGTTTAGCCTATAGGATTTGGATGACATCATCACAAGTGACTGTTTCATTTTATTAAACATAAGAGAAATGACTTTAGCCTAAGCAGTAGTGGTAGACAGTGAAATCACAAATGTGTATCTGTGCAAATTCTATTAGCAAAATCAACACTCAATTTCTGCAAGGGGAAAAAAGTTAACCTGTTATTCTCATATTTCTAACCTAAGCATTCTTAAAAACCCTTCAATTTATAGGAATATTTATGCACTTAGTTTCAGTTGTTAAGGAGAGCAGCTGAAAATAGATTTCATATTATTTATCAAAAATTGGATATACTGACCTGCCTATTAGTCTTTGCAAACATCTTTTCTATTAAGAGGCTAGCTTATTTAATGATATTTGCAAAGATGATTTTATAAATTATTACAATGACTTATAAACAAAGTTATGAGAAATGCCCTCAACTCACTATACAGAAGATGTTCTCTGTAACAGCACTCCAAACAGACTTGTGTATACATGCACCTCCCTACACTCACATCTGGACTTGTATAATACCCAAAGAGGTTGGTGCCAAGCTCTGCTTGAAGCTGTAACATATATACCATCCACTGTCCATGCGGCTGTCAAGATGAAGACTAGAAATTTTCCAAAGCAATCAAATACATATGTCTGTCATCCTTAGAAAGGAATAGTAGCACAAGAAAGAAAGTCCAAATAAAGTTATACTTCAGTCAATAAACTTTGTGCTTAGGACACAGAAAATATTCATATGCTGGTGGTAACTAACCCTGCTTAACTAGAGTTAAGGCTCACTCAATGGGAGAGAAATCATGCCTAGTACTGGAAACCTAAACAACTTTCTATGCTAGAAAGGTCATACGAATTAGAAAAAAAAATCTCCTAGTGCCATTTCGCTAAACCAGCATAATTCCTTATTATATTCTAAATCTTATCCTTATAGCCACAGATAAGGGTAGCTACCACCCCTCATCAAGGAAGCTTCTCTCAACATGAAAATGGAGACCATCACAGAGACATACTAACATGGAAGGGGGTAATTTCATGAGGTCCACCCCCAAACAACTATATGTAATGAATAACCGTTGGGAGAGGGAGAGTTAGACTCCTTATTGATTATCCTATACAAAGTGGTCCTCCCTGAACCTTATACACACAAATGATAAAAACTGAATCAGCCTATAAGTGCTTGGAATTGAACCTGAGATGACCTCTACATGCCCATTCATGTGTGTGTGTGTGTATGTGTGTGTTTCTTACTAGACCTGGAACTCACTGATTAAGCTGCATAAGTTAGGTAAGGCTGGAAAGATGGCTCATTGGTTAAAGGCACTGGCTCCTCTTCCAGAGGACTCAGGTTCAATTCCAAACACTTATAGGCTGGTTCACAACCGTCTGTAACTCCAGTTCGAGGGGATCTGATCCCCTCTTCTAGCCTCTGCAGGTACCAGGAACATGTTGTGTAAAGGCATACATGGAGGCAAACGTTCACGTGCACGCACACACGCTTGCATGCCTGCGCGCGCGCACACACACACACAGAGTTTAATCAAAATACTAAAGAGACTGGCTAATTATAAGACACAAGTTTCAATTTAGATTATTGTCCATTTAGAAGAGATAATCTAAACAATACATCTACGGCTAAACACCTTGTTTTTCAAGTTTCAACTTAGGAAACAAAGTAATGGTATTAGGCATGTGGTGTCAGAGCAGAGGAACACATGACCAAAGAGAAGTGTGTGCAAACTTTTACCTGGATGCAAGAGACAAAGGGTGGAAAGAATAAGAAAGTGGTATTAAGGAAACGGTTGAAGTCTTGGAGTAAATTTTGAGTGATGATGTTTTTTTCTGATGTTGTCTTAAATTTACTCATTTCTTTCAAAATCCCAGAAAACAAGCTGCTGAAGAGTTGTTTTGCAATTATTGGGTCTTTCTGTTAAAAATTAAAAAAAAAAACATAAATCAGACCTGAAGTACTATTTTAGAGCTTTACTTTAAATACCAACCATTAAAAACACATCCATTGTATGTCTAAATTCATCTTACCAAGTTTTACAAGGGGAGGGATACCTGGAATTTAGTGAAATACTTCTGGTTTGATGTGGATTATGGTAAGAATACAACCACAATTAAAGCTAGAATCTCAATGCTTCAAGTTGTTCGGAGACTAATCAGAGTAAGCTGTCAAGTGTTTGGTGCCTTGCTCCCGAAGACCTTGAAACAATAACTTCAACATGGCTCCATGGCCATAGGAATACTGCCCTTGATACATGTATGCAACATTTGTATAGTGAATATTTCATAAACATTTCCTAGCTATCTATACTTGTTTAGTGAAGGCATATAATTAGAATAAAAATGAACAAAAGCAACATCAAGGCCACACAAATATGATTTGTCCTTTAAGTAAAAATTCTTGTTTAAACAGCTATATAAATTTTTAGAAAATAATAAATGAAAAAATAAGTGTCACTCATAATTAAACCAAAGAGAAGTAATTGCTAGATTTTGGTATTTTATAAGCCTGTATACTTTCATCTGTATCTGCTGCTTCCATTCAGCATGCAATAGTCAGCAGGTTTGTTAACCCACCACTGATTCCTGAGAGCTATGTACAGATTCCTTCACTTGCAGGAGAATTCTAAATACTCACTGTTAAACCAACTGCAGTGGTGACTGAAATAAAAATCCTCTTAGCTGGGCATGGTGCTGCATACCTTTAATCTCAGCATTCAGGAGACAAGGGGATCACTGTGTGTTCAAGGCCAGTCTGGCTTACACAGTGAGTTCCAGGACAGCCAGAGCTATGTATAAACTCTGTCTCTGAAACTGTAATCAATTAATCTAAAAATGTCCAATAAAAACAAACAAAACCAATTACCTAAGCTGCAGAAAGGGCTGCCTACTGGTCCCGTGACAGTTACTATGGCTCGCAATTTAAAAAAAAAAAAAAAGACAAGACTGCCTAGCCTGGCTCACCCAACACTGCACCATAACTCTTAAGTAGTTGCTGGCGTACAGCAGGTACTCCATAAATAACCATTTGTTAAATACCGTACTGGAACTAGAAACATCAGTCAATAAGTCCTCTTCAGAGAGCAGAAGGAGTAAACAGAGTCTTGCCTCTTCACCCCTCACTGAGAGGCACCTGTAGCTTTTGCCATGTATCCCAAGCATTGTTAACCTCCAGTCTTCATCTAATCACTACCTCAATGGCACAAGACTATTGGGAGGATATGGTGTAAGAATGTGAGATAATGTGAATGTAAGGCCCTTCCTGGAACAAAAATCTTGTGAGATGTTGCAAGAACGTGCGAAGACAAAGTTCTCCATGTGAACACATGGGACATAAGGACATGAATGAAGTCTCTAATTTCTTAAAACTACTGCCTCTAGGTCGAGGTCTCATTCTTTTGCTACGTCACACAAGCTGTGTACAGTGGAGGAAGCCTAATAAAGGGTACATGTACAACATGGTTTAAAAAATAAATTCTTGTCAACTTGGAATTATTTAGATCAAATAAAAAGCATACAAGACAATGATCTAAATGGCTTATTTATCACTTCAAAATTTATGCTGATTTTTTCCCTTTATTTCATTCTCTCACTGGATAAGAAACACAAATGTCAATCTGACTTCAAAGAGGAACGCCTTGTGGCTGAGAGATCAGGTGCCTAACATTGCACCCAGTGTTACTGACCACTCACATGGCACCCCATGTTAGTGCCCATTTCTAGTTAACTCTATGTTAGTCTCCGCATGTGACCAAACAAACACAAAACAAAACAAAACAAAAAACCCCATGAAACTAAGATATGGGAACTAGGAGTCTTTTAAGTCTACCATTTAGGGAAACCCCTCCACTTTATGACCATTTTCCATAGAAAGTGAAGACTCCTGGAGCCACAAAGAGAGCTTTTAATGAGAACATAAAACATGGCATCTGGGCAGACCTGGGCTACAGCCTGCAAGGGGGTGATCAGACTGCTGTGCGGGATCTGGATGTCAGGAAGGTCGCCATGACGATAACTTCTGTAGAGGACAACCTGGGCATCCTGCTTCGTTTTTAACTCACTCTTGATATCCTACAATCACCAGAAGCAAAGAATGAAAACTGAGATTTCATGTATGAAAACCAAGTATGCCAAGTGAGGTAAAACAATAGAGAATTCAAAGTCATTCATGGCTTAATAATAGGTTTGAGACCATGCTTCAAAACCAACCAACCAACCAACCAACCAACCAACCAACCAACCAACCAACCAACCAACCAAAACAACAGACAAAAACTCTATCAAACAAAAGATCAAACATGCATGCAAAATGAAACTGCCAGAATACATCTTTAGCACAAAGGAGAAGTAATAGTTTTATTTATAATATGGTTTGGTAAGTATGAAAAAATTGGTCATACTGAAAAATTTGAATCTGAATGTACACAAAAATATAAATCTGAGAGCTAAGTTTCTTTCCAACAACTCAAGTACCAAGCCTTGCCTAAAGGTCCACAGCAATGACACACTCACTCACATGCAAACTCCTCAGCCACTGCACAACACTTTGTCTGCTTTCAGCTTTCCCATCAGTGGTCCCAATCTCAGCGTTCTCTCCAGAGAGGCTTTCCACACATGTATGTGTTCATAATTTACTTCTGATAGAGTACTTTATAATCTCAATTTGCCTTTTTGTGTGTTGTGTACTGGACCTTGCTCCATGAATCAATCATCTGTTCATGGCTATCACTTATTATAATTTCTGGCACTGATTATCATGCTTCAAACACATTTATTCAATGAATGCAAATACAAACACATGGACTCTTAATGTCTAATTATTGGATGGCAGCTTCACAGCTCAGTGTCTGTTTCACGGACAGCAAGCTGACCTATGCTTCCATAACCTGCCATATTTGACTTTAACTTCTTGTTTATTTGTAGATAGGGGCCTTAAAACTGTCATCCTGGCTAGTTACTTGCATCCTTTACCCATCAACTCTGATTTCTCTTGGTTCTGATGACCAGATACTGCTATTTCCCTCAGGCAGGGCTAGAAAAGTATCAGGCTTCATCAAACATATTTTTCCAAGGAAGCAATGGAGTCAGAGAAGGTGCTGAATACACCCTCTTTTAGCTGTAGTCTTCAAACAAGCAAGCAAACAAACAACAGTTGTGTTAGAGAGACAAGGGGAAAAAGAAAACAACAACAAAAACTGTATTTCACCTCCATTAAAAATGCAGAGGAACCATTCAACTACTCCCTACTTATATTTAGAAGGCAAGTGGCTAAGAAATTACACTGAATTATAGTAAGAGCAGGAGTCTTTATCATAATCTGTCTTGACTGTTAGAAACTTCATTGGAAGTTTGTTCATTATTTCTGCATATTAAAAATTAATTCATGCATTTGCATGGCATGATGGCATATGAGGCAAAGCCAGGTGTGCCTCTGTGAGTTTCAGCCTGGCTGGTCTATATAATGAGACCCCACCAAAATACTCATACTCTACTTGTGTCTCCAGTGGAAGCTTTTGGGCTGTCTGGCAGCACTACCAGCCCTCCATGAGCAGCTGTGGAATATTTTCCTCCATGGCCTCTCACTCCCACTACAGGCACAGGCCCTGAATCAAGGTAGTTGTGCATCTTTCCCTAAAGAACAGAATTAACTAGAGCTTTAACAGGAATGACCAGTACTCATATTTCTGTCCATATAGAAAGTCAATCTGCGCAGAGAAGGTAAAGCTGAACTGTTGTGAGCAGAGAGGAGTTAGTTAGTCCTATTAGTCCTGGGTTCCAGGTAGACAAGGATTCAGGAAGATGCCATTTCTTAGGAAGTGTCATCATTGTCCTTTCACCCAGTAATGTCAGAAGGGACTTACACATATTATCTATGATGCAAAATAGGTATTGAATTCATGAAGAAGATACAAACCTTCTCTAGTTTTTGTTCCACGAGGCTCTTTTTGGCATACAGCAGACTGAGTTTTTCTCGGTCCTTTAAAAATCGTCTGCGTAACCTCAGAATTTCTGCCCGGTTGTGAGTGTCTGAAGAATAGAAAGGAGAGTTGGCTACTCATGGCCAATGAAACAACACATGCAGCTGACTTGCATTCTTTCCCAGGATCCCCTAAAGTGAAAGTGTGTATTTATCTCCACTTTTAAACTATAATTGGGTGATTTGTTACAGACAAACTCAATAGGGAACAGCAGACAGTTGTACCTGTCTCAGGTAATCCCAATTAAGAGGTAGACAAAGAATGGACACAGAATGGTTACAGTCAAAGGCTCAGGGTCTGCTGTGACCAGAAACTTCTGGGAGAAAGCAAGGACATAGCAGCAGGTCTGGAAAAGACCAGACCAGTAAATAATGCTGAGAGGACTCAGAAACATGCAGTTGCCTTTCTCCAGTAATCTCTAAAGAGTAACCAATCAAGGTGGAATAATTAGGCCCACGAAAGGTAAGACTGAATGAGGAGAAGTTCTTCATACACAGGTCAGGGAGGGCTGGAAAGGGAAGGCATGGAAGAAACTTAGGGCAAAATATGGGCTGACAAAATGACTCAGTTGGTAAGAGTGCTTGCTGCCCACCCTGATGACCTGAGTTTGATGCCCCCAGACACACATGATAGAGAATAGACTACTGGAGTTGTCCTTTGGCCTCGAGTCAAGGCATTGAGTATAGGCACAAGCGCATGCCTGCACACACACACACACAGGCACATGCATACAAATGTAGTAATAGCCTTTTTTTTAAAAGAAGACAAAATATTTATGCTGAGACACAGTAAAGTACCAATGCATAAGTCATAAAATCTAGTGATAAACATGCACAGATCAAAGCATATAATTAAAAATAACTGTCAATGTCTAGGAAAAACATAGGAAAAAATGATGATATACAAAAGAACCAATCACAAGCAGATTTTTGTTAAAGTAAGAGGGAACACTGAGCACTGAGAAGAAAGATGCTGAGGCATAATCACACAGAGGATGAGACCGTGGGTCACAATCATATGTGAAAGTACCATAAAGAGGATAAGGACAACAGAAAACTTCAAATATCAGTCACGTGAAACCAGAAGATAATAAACAATGATGTAGGAAAAAGTAGCAGTATTGATGGGGGTTGTCCTTCTGTATATGTTTCTCTTATTGGCTGATGAATAAAGCACTGTTAGGTCAATGAGGCAGGAAGATAGGCGGGTCAAGTAGATAAGAATTCTGGGAAATGTAGGCAAGTCAATTGCCATGTAGCGGAGGAAGGAATAAGAGGTCTGGATCCTTCACTGGTAAGATAAGACCACGTGGAAATACTAAGATTTATAGAGACGGGTTAATAAATTAAGACAGAACTAGCCAATAAGAAGCCCTAGTCATAGGCCAACTATTTTATAATTAATATAGCATCTGTGTGTTCATTTGGGGCTGACATGACTGTGGGACCAGGCTGGTGGAACGAACCATTAGTAACACAGTATAAAAGCACTGCCTGGGGATGGAGAGACAGCTTAGGAGTGCTTGCTGCTCCTCCAGAAGACTTGACTACAGTTCCCAACATCTATGATAACTCATAACTACCTGTAACTCTAGCTCCAAGAGATCCAACACCAACTTCTGGTCTCTGAAGGCACTTGTGTACACATGGCATTGACTTACACAGTTACACACATATATAAAAATAAAAATAATAAAGATAATAAAACCACTGCTCAGAGCTGTTGAACATTAAATTCAGCTAAGAGGATTATAGGGGACTGCCTCTGGAATTTGGCTTTATAGATTGAAAAATCTACAATTTTTTTTTCTACTTAGCTTTTGAGAAGTGTCTGACTCTTTAGTTTTTGTGCACATGCAACTGATATCAGTAACTAAAGAAACACAAATAAAAATTTAAAAAACTGTGGAGGGTGTAGTTCAGAGCAGTTGCCTAGCATGTGTGAGGCTTCAGTTATTATTCAATACCACTACAAACAAATAAAATAAATGAAAGTGTAAAAGCCAGGGCTAGGGATACAGCAGAGATACACCATGTATTTAAGGTGCTAGATTCTAACCTAACACTGAAACAAGTCTTAAAAGAGAATTATTTGTAATGTAACACCTAAACTAAGGACAACTTCTATTTTTAAAACTATATTTCTTTTCAATAATGATAAAGATCAACTGTTAATTCATCATACTTTAAGAATTGTTCTTATAGTATGTATAAAGTTATGAAGGGCAGATTCAAATATATTTCATATATTGGTATTTATTTTACCTTGGATCTACCAATTAACTTTTTCCAAATACATAAATAAAACTCACAAAGAAAATGTTTCCAATTAAGTTTTACGACTTTTCTTAATTTCTGCACACCCAAATTCCACCTACCACACATACTTATTTTTAGTCTAGAAATGTAGTCAGGGAAATACTGTAGGTCAGTAAGTCATGGATAACTACTATTACCCTCAGGAACATCCTTAAGTCTTAGCCTAAGTTCCAACTAAGAATCTTAACGAGAATGCAGTACCCCAGGGCAGACCTGCCTTCAGCAGTTTGTCAGAGATCATAGTAGGAAAAACGGCATGCACCTAAGGTTCTTGGATGAGCATGTAACAGTGTTAGAGGGACAATAAAGAAGGGCTTGTTTTTAAGTGACAGTCCAATCTCATAGCAAGATCGATGGCTCTGCATTCTAAGGGGGAAGAGTCTTGAGGAATAGTCACATACAGAAGAAGGAAAGCAGAGAAAGTTTCCTGGAACACCCTAAAACTCCAGGTTAACAGAAAAAAGGATGGACAAATCTCCTTCTAAAGGGGAAATTTAGAGAACAGTGTAAGAGCCATATGTTAGTATTTAGGCATTTATACTGGCCTACCTTTGGAGTTGACAAGATACATACATACACCTTCTGCTGCTGCCCCTAAGAGCACCACCTGTGTCTATTCACTATGTTCCCTTTTAAAAGGGCCCTGCCCACCTCCCATCCCTCTTTCTTTCTCTCCCTGTCTGTTTATCTGTCTGTCCCCCCCCGCCCTGCCTCTCTTTCCTCTTTCCCACTGCTCCTGTCCCCTCCCCTTTCCCCTTTTTATGATCCTTTTCCCTTAGTAAAAAACCCTTCCGCTTGAACTCTGTCACACAGCCTCTTTCTCTCGCAAGTCACTTTTTAAAAATTATAACACCATAGATTTGAGACTGATGGATAAAAACAATAGTTGGGAGTAAAGTCTGGTGTCTTTTGTTTTACACTTCTGATACCTTAAAGCTATGCTTGTTTCTAACTTTAGTTCTGTGATCTGAATACATGTTCATTCCCGCAGGATACTAACAGTTTTAGAACCTTTTCCACTGGGTTCTCCTTCATTCCCAGTCTTGCAAAGAGCTACCTTCTCCCCAGATCTTTCAGTGTTGAGTCTGGAGACTTATCAGGCATTCTGCCTGTTAGATTCCTATTGGGTCTGAAAGGAGGCCACCTGACCTACTGACCTTCAAGCTGCTGAGGCTTAAGTGATAGTGCTTCTGGCTTTGCCATTCTCACACCATGTGGTACCCATGACTAATTCTACTCCATTCATCAGGTGGTAGCTTCCTAAAGTGTACCCTGCTTCTTCCCTTTATAGGATCCTTCACGACTCTCCACATTTCCCAGAACATGGATCCAGCTGGACTACACAGGATCTTCAGCAGGATCTTCTGCAAACCTTGCTGAACTATCTTCATCTTTTTCGTCATTTCTCTTCCTACATCCTAGGCTTCTAGGCTCTTCTCAAATACCATCCTTATTCAGTCTTTCCAAATGCTTGTTCCATACTGTGTCTGGATTTAAACTCTCACCCCTGAAACTGGGCTTACTAATTCTATCCCATTTACTGCTTTACCTACACTTAATGTTCCAGAAGTCATTAAACTAATGGAATGTCATGTATGTAGTATTTCTTGAAGGACATCTGAAAATGTTTTCAATATGGCAAGTGTCTTAGGGGCTGGAGAGATGGCTCAGAGGTTAAGAGCACTGACTGCTCTTCTAGAGGTTCTGAGTTCAATTCCTGACAACCACATGGTGGCTCACAACCATCCATAATGAGATCTGGTGCCCGCTTCTGGCCTGCAGGCATACATGGAGGCAAGATGTTGTATTCAATATGGCAAGTGTCTAAACAATGATTAACGGGTTGAATTTTAATGATTTTCATTACAGCTTTCAAGGAAATGTGGACAGTCAGAAATAATGCTCTCTCCACATATGCTTCTGTAGGAGGGACAATACATATTAAACATGTTTCAGCATTTTACTTACCACTTTTTGCTTGGTTATCTACCTCATCACCAGGAAGGCCCAGCTTTTTTATCCCAAAGTCAGGTCCTACTGACTTCCAGGATATTCTCTGTGACTTTTCACTCCTCTTGTGAGCAAACAGCAAGGAGGAAGAAGAGGATTCTGACGGGAAGAGTGTGTGATCTGCCAATGGGTCAACGCTGCTCCCAGTCAGCCAATCGAATGAGCTCCTTTCAACTATAACACATAGGACCAGAGCAGTGAGGATGCTGCTACAGGCAGCACAGCCTACTCAGTGTACAAAACCTGCTAGGGCACACCTGTAGTGCTAGACCTCTGCAATTACCTGTGACTCTGAGCTGAGGTCAAGTGTACTTTGGTATGACCGAAAGCACACCACAGACACCTGAGCCACAGAACCCTTCCACAGCGGTAATCATCACAGTAATAGCATTTTATGTTTACATTGCTTGTCAAAGAATTTCCACTGTGATCAAATTAGTTCTACTTTCAGAAACAACAGAATATCAAACAAATGCTGAAGTGTTTCTACAAAACAATTAAGGGGGCTGGAGATGTGGTTCAGCGGTTAAGAGCCTTTGCTGACCCAGTAGAGGACATGGATTCAGTTCTTAGTGCCTACATGGCAGTTTACAACTGTTTTTAACACCAGTTTCCAGAGATCAAACCCTTCTCTAGCCTCTGCTGGCACCGTGCATGTATACGGACTACATGCATACATGTAGGCAAAACATTCAAATACATAAAATAACTTTTTAAAAACAGGATTAAGATATTTTACTCTTAACTTATACTGTGCATATCAAAGCTTGGAAAAGAACAGTCCAATAAACTACTGACATCTGTAAATCAACCTGGATGAATGCTACTCTGCTCTTGAGATAAGATGCCTTAAATATGACACATTAAATAAAGTTTTATGTCAAATCAAACCAAAACATGCATGTCTAGCTATCATTAGATTATTCTTCTATTCTAAAATAATGTTTTCCCCCTCAAAAAAATGTGGAAAACCATTTAACACTTCAACCACTTTTAAATGTACTATTCAACAGCATTAAGTCCATTCACGTCTCCATCATCCAGAACCATTTCCTCTTATAGTAGTCTATCTCTATCACCTCTACCTGCCCCAACAACTGTTCCTTTCTCTCTGCAGAGCTGACTACTCTGAAAACTTCTTTCCTTTTTTCCTTTGACTAACATGTCTTTCTTATGACCTTTGTAACTTTGTGTTATCACTTTATTTCTCTTCCAAAAAGTTTCTCTTGCAAAAGAAGCTGTTGTCAAAGGCCAGAGTGTCTGGTTATTTGTTACCTATGGTTTGTGTCGGGGTGAAATCATACAGCTGTTGGGTGGCCCGCACTTGCCCAGACTTCTGCCTTTGGTCTGAGAGGGACCCTTCCTGGGCTTGGGTATGGAGAACACTAGGAGAGGCCTGGGTCTCAATAAACATTGGAGTAAGCACAGTACTTCGAAAACGCCAGTCAGGATCTATGGTATATTCCTATAGAAAGAAGAGTTTAAAGAAAACAATGTTTCTTTTGTAGTGGCACTGAAACATTTCATGATTGCCTAGCAAGAGTGAGGCATGCTAATGTGGATGGGGGAAATCTCTTAAGGCCCTACTTCTAGGTGAAGAGCTACAGACAATTAATGACAGCTGAAGAAGGGAGAATCAGTCTTCTCCAAGGATGAGTCCCCTAACTGGTTATCCAATACCAAGTGGTCAGTCCTAAAAACATATACATATGAACAACATTTAATAGATTCACATATTTGCACGCACATGAACGCCTATGTGCGTGTGTGCGTGCATGTATATAACAACATTTAAAGAAAAAGAGGGCATGAATTTGAGAGACAGTGGGGGTTGGGAAGCATGGATGGGACCTGTGAGGAGGGATGAGGTTAAATGATGTAAATAGTATGAAATTTTAAAAATAAATAAGTAGACACATGGTACATGCAAAAACAGCACCAAATCAAACTACTTGCAATCCCAATAATTTCAGAAAAGGGGTATTTAATTTGTACTAAGGAACGCACAAGGCCCTGCCCACTAAGAAGCACCTGTGCCACTATTGTGGCTGCCACAAGAAGTTGCAAACTTGATCTATGACCACAGCTAAGCAAGGTTATATTTGGCTGGTATCTGGATCAGGCGATGGTTGGACTCTATCTCTCCCAGGAATGTGGGAGGAAGAACAGGAAGGCGAGAAGTCCAAATGGAGTCTGAGAGGATAATGAGTGTAAAGCATCAGGGGGAAAGGAAGCACAGGTGTCCATCCACATTTCAGGAAAACAAAGAATGTTAGTTTAACATTCATTAGCAGCAGGGAAAACATGTTTCGAGAGACAAGCACTTCACCTGAAATTCACATTCTGACAGAGGATGCTCAAAGATTGGGTTTAGATAATCTGGGCTCAACCTGGTCATTTCAAGCAGAAAATTTGTTGCTAAACTTAAAAAGTGGACTTCTATTTTAGGAGAATATAAAGAATTTAATGCCAACAATCGGTCCAATGTATTGGATGGTAATCTGGTTTCATGACTCCAGAAATTCCGAATAATTAATCTGAAAAGTAAAGAGAAAAACATGCTTAGATACCAACAAATGGAAGTACTGCCCACAGTGTCATGTGGGGACTTCACAGCTTTTCATTCACATAATACATCACAATACAAGTATGAATAATCAGATGTTCTAAGGACAAATATCCACAAACTATAGAAGATTTTATAAGCTGGATAACTGTCTATGCCCTAGAGAATTTACAACAATGAGTATATAGTACAACCATTTTGAAACGCAATATCATTTTAATGAAAATTGGTAGTTGCAGCTCACTTGCTGGTAGAGCACTTGCCTAGCACACAAGTCTCTGGCATAGATGCCCAGGACAAAAAGCAAGCTTCATAGTATCCTTTACTGCTTTGCTAAAACAACTCTCTATAAAAATTGCTGGTATAATGTATCCAAAATTTAAATTAAAATCATTAGGGCTAAACTGGACATTGGTGGCTCTTGCCTTTAATCCTAGCACCCGGGAGGCAGAGGCAGGCAGATTTCTTTGAGTTCAAGGCCAAGGCCAGCCTGGTCTACAGATTGAGTTCCAGGACAGCCTCCAAAACAATACAGGGAAACCTGTCTCGAAAAACAAAAACAAAAAAATCATTAGGGTTGGGACTATGGGTCAGTTATTACACTGCTAGCCTGATACATGTAAGGCTCTAATTTTAATCCTCAGTATTGCCCAAAGAAAAAAACAAAACACTCTGAACTTTTCAACAGAAAACTACTTATGAAATTTAAATATAAATTGTTAAAAGTCCAATGCATTTAAAATTGAAGCAAGTGAAAAATAAGCAGTATGTCAAAGTATATTAAAAACGTTCCTTTCTTACGTGTTTGGCATTTGATAAAACACTCACGTATCTGAGTTACAGCATTTTAGAGAACAATCTCCACATAGAATAAACATTATGGTTTCTTCCTAATGTAAGGTATCCAATACTTCAGTTAACTTTGATGTATACTATGATTTTAGCTATATGTGTTAAATGGAAAACAGAACAGTTGTTATTACAGATTGCTTCAACTTAAAAATCTTTAACTAACTCACTGCATAAGATCTTTGTCCTAATCATCATATCACAAGTTTTATTTTGAAATAACCTGTCAAGATTTTAAAATCCTATTCTTCACAATTTTGTTAATGATTAGAGAATGGAGGAAACAGAGAGAATGATGGTATCACAGTACGAACTTTTTAAAGCTAGTCTAAAAGGAATAATCTGATCCTGGTCTAATTTATTCCAGAAGAAGCACATACTGGAGTCCAGGGTTCTCATCAACCAGTCCTTGAATCAGCACATCTTTTGCCAATTTAAATATTTCCTGGGAGTCTTGATCCATTTGACTTTCTGGATCTCTGATTGGAAAAATAACAAAATATCAGCATTCTGCTCTACTCCAATCACACAGTCTGGATTAAAGCAATGGTGGGTTTCCATGAGACCCATCCCCAAGGCAATTCAGCAGAACTTACTAAAGTTGTGAGATCAGGACAGACCTTTCTATGCTCTGAGTCCTGTCACCCCTGCTGGAACCTGAGGGACAACACTGCCTGGATGAAGTCTCTTTTTAAAGGTTCACTAGGTGGTGATAACATACCTTTAATTCCAGCTCTCAGGAGGCAGAGCATTAATATACTTTTTTTAAAAAAGAAAAAAAATTTACTCTATGTACATATGCATGCAATGCCTGTAGATACTAGAAGAAGATATTGGAAACCCTAGAGCTAGAGTTACAGGCAGTCATGCAAGCTACTTGTCACGGGTAATTGGCACCAAATTCTTATCTCTCCAGCCCTGACTCATACATTTCTAATTCAACTGATAATTCACTTTTTATTTCCTACATACTCACAAAATAATAGCAAAAAAGGATAATTCAGTAATTGAAATAAACTTGTTTCAGTTATTAGTCATATTGCTAAAAATGCTTTTTCAAATTCCAAATCACAAAAGGGACACAAGTCCTTCAAAAATGGTTAATACAGGCCTGGGAAGATGGTTTGGTGGTAAAGCAATTGCTGTGCAAGCATAAGGAACTGAGTTCAAATCCCCATCAACCATGCAAAGCTGGGTAAAGTAGTGCACATCTGTAATCCCACAGTCTCTTTAGCCTGGCATACACAGTAACATGTGTAAAACAAAGAGACCATGTCTGAAACAAGTGGAAGGAGAGGACCAAACCTGAGAATGTCCTATGATCTCTATGTGTGCAGAGGTGTATGTCTGTAATGCATACGTACATGCATGCACACCATACATAATTTTTTAAAGGTGATATAAAACAGAATGAAGGCTAACCTGTAATTGTCATGAATCCACATAAGAATATTATACATTTGTTCTCTACACGTTGGAGAAGGATGGGAAACAAATTCCACAACAGGATTCAGAAGTTCTCGAAGTTCTACTGGTTTTAATTCTGCCATCATCTTATAAACTATATCCAAACACACCTTTTGTCTTTCATCATCTCTATAATAAAGGAGATTTTTGGTAACACATAAGTTTAATGACGTTTATCATACAAAGTACAATAACTAATATTTTTTTCTTGTTCTAAAGTTTCAAGCTTGTTATAATTCAGAGTAGTACATTTAAAGTCTACTACATAATGAAAATGAGACACATATACATACACAATACATTATTCAGTTATAAAGAAAAATGAAATCATGAAAGCTTCAGGAAAATGCTGAGTATTATACTGAGGTAATCCAGACCCAGAGAGACAATTGTTGCATGGTCTCCAGTAAATGAATTCTAACTTGAAAACTGTAGATTTATGTGTTTAATTTGTACTGTCTATAGCGGTCAGGAAGCTAGAAAGGGCTCATTCGATGGGAGAGGAGAAGAGGCCTTAAGTGGGGAGTAGATAGAACAAACACTTGTGGTACAAAAAGTAGATGGAACATGGGGTAAGAATACAAAAAAGAAGGAAGTAAGGAAACTACAAAGGGTGGAAAGGTTTAAGAGGGGATTAGGATGAGAAGATGGGTCAGAAGGGAGTTTGGGGATGGTTACCCATAACAAAAAAGATATAGAAAGCCTTATGGAAAGTCATTACTTTGAAAGCTAATTAAAAAGTAGATTTAACAAAAAGTTTAAACAAAGGTAACCTGCATGGGTGGACAATACTGCTGACACAAGATATGGGTTATTAAATGAAAATTCAAGTACCAGGCAAAGGCTACCTCCCTCCCTATGCAGTGATGGTCAAAGAAGCTCCAGAGAACCTTAAAATAATGCAGGTTATTGCTAATACACTTAGTTACCCACTTGAACTAGATGGTAAGATCCTTCTGCTGAAGCATCATACACTTTGATTGCAAGACATAGAGAAATCAAACTGGAACTGACTTGAAAACTTCCTCTCTCTTGGATAGCTTTCATAGTTCTGGAAGGTGCTATGCTATCCAGGCCACTGAGGAAGAAGTCATCATTGTTTCTATGTAGTGGCAGACCCAACATGCAAGGCAAGATGTACCCACCAGTACAATGGTGGTAATGAATGCTATGGGAGTTACCAACTGCTTTCTAATTAGTTTGAGGCCTGTTCCATAAAAAGGAATTCAAGACTGTACTATAAACCTTGTCAAAAGTTCATGGCTATGGAGGTCATAGGACCTAAAGGGGAAAACTTAACACTGCTGTTCTGCTAAATAATATAAACCTTCTAAGTATTTATGCTTGCACTCATAGATCAGTGATGCTCTCAACCTTGGCCAGAAAAATGTTTAAAAGTGGATAATGGTTAATACAGATTCACAAACGGTCAAAGTGCTGAGAAGTGACTAATGAGTGTTCTGTCCTAAACAGGATAGTTATTTAACCCACCTAGCCCCCAAGTCTCAGGGAGCATCACCGATCAAGAGTGAATGAATGTTAAGAGCCTAAGGGTAGGGAAGAATAATATGAAATGCTGTCTTCAGGACATGAGCTGGCCACTGCACTCATGCACTTACTGATGCTGCCTGGGCAAGGTTGGGCTTATTAACATTCTATGACTGGCATGTGATGGGAGCTCATGACATTCCACCCCCAGATGAGAAGATATTGGTAGTTAATAGTTACTGGGGAAGGTGAGTCATGGTATACCCATGACCCAGTAAATATCCCTATATCCATGTATCCATGAACATACAAGTTAAACTCAATGGACTATTGATGGGGTAGGGTATGAAAATCTGAGTAGGGAGAAGTGTAGGGAAGAAAGGTTCTAATGGCAGCAGGAAGGGGACAGCAGAAAACTTGGGATAATTCTTATTAAAAGGCATTCTATGTAATATGTAGATGTGTATAAAACTGCAAATAAAAGTTATTTCTAAAAAGGAATCATAAAAGACTACCATTTACAATGGAAAAATCCTACCAAAATAGTCAACCAGGAAGGAACCAGTGAGTTCCAGGCACATATAACCAAGGAAGACTAAAACATAAAAATTTAAAATCATGAAGTGATTAATCATGAATGGCAAGCTTGAAGCAATCATTCAAAACAACACACACACACACACACACACACACACACACACACACACACACACACACACACACACACACAAAATCCATGGCGTCAGCCTACAGAATTTTTAAGAACTGAAAAAAGGAAAAGAAGTCTACTTGGAATCCTGAATTTTGCAAGCAAATGGAGGGCACTAGAAGAAACCATCCTGAGTGAGGTAACCTAGTCACAAAAAGACAAACATGGTATGTACTCTCTCATATATGGATTTTAGACATAGATCTGGGGAGTGCCAGCCTATAGTCCCATGGCCAGAGAGTCTAGGAAACAGAACCTTCATTCAATGACTGATGGAAGCAGAGGCAGACTCCAAACAGCTAAACACTGAGCTGAACTCAAGAAATCCAGTGACAGAGAGGAAGGACTGAAGAGCAAAGGGGTTAAGATTGGGCTGGTTTAACCCCCCAGCTGACCTGACAAGGGATATTTCTTGAATCCCAGACTGATGGCTGGGAATCTAGCATGAAACTGATCAAGACCACCTGAATGTGGGTGTCAGTGAGGAGGCCTAGGTAATCTATTGGGCCTTGGGTAGTAGATCAGTATTTATCCCGGGTATACAAATGGACTTTGGGCACCCATCCAACAATGAGAGATGCGCTCTCACCCTGGACTCTTGGGGGAGGGTCTAGGCCCTGCCCTAGATGAAATGACAGACTATGGACACCCCCGTGGAGGGCCTCACCCTCCCTGGGGAAATGAGGGGATATTGGAGGGGTTGGTGGGAGGGCGTGGGAGGAGGGGAAGGAAAGGGAGAGGGACCTGGAATTGACATGTGAGGCAACCTCGTTTCTAATCTAAATTTAAATTTAAAAAATAAAAAAATAAAATATAATAATAAAAAAAGAGATCAAAGTAATTAAAGGATGACTAGATGTATGTACCTTAAAATCTAACAAGACAGAAGTTGCCATCTGCAAATGAATGTCACTGCTTTTGTTTTTTCTCTATTAATACTCCTAAATAAGACATATGACCTTTACCCAGATTTCCCAGGTAATTCTGCAGGTAAAAGTCTACATCCAGGGCTGTGCTCTGGAATATCATGAAGTAGGAAATACAAGAAAAACTGTAGTAAAATTTCCAATCTTTAAGCATGCAAAGCACTTCAGGTTGTCATTTCTGAGAATGTGCAATTCAGCCAGTAACACCAGTACCATATTTATAAGAACTGTCTTACATTATCAAGAGAGGCAATGTGTTTTGATGAAACCAGTTAGGTCATTTACTGTTATTTTAAAAATATATGATATTATACTTCTTAAATGACATTTGTCTATAAGAGATAAAATTCTATATATTTTGAAGTAATGTGCTGTGTAAAAATATTTTGTGGTAAGGTACAAATAAAGAAAGTTGACTAAAAAAAAAAGAAGTCAGCTTTGAATATGTACTGAAAGAAAGCAGAACACATGGACATTGAGCCATTGATATCAGTACATTATACACTTACCAGTATTTTATCACTGTGAAAGTACATACATACAGGTCACAATTATAAGAGGACAGAGAAATAAGGGGCCAACTGCTTTATCTTAAAATTATCTTTCACTACATTGCAACTTCGAAAAGACATGAACAATTTTAACTTAAGGTGGCTCTTGCCTTTCAAAATACAGAATTGAAAGCTCTGCACAAATCCAAAGAGAGTCTGAGGCTATAATACAGTAGTGCTCTTCCTTGGTGGCAGAAATACACAAGGATGGGACTTGATGTGGCTACCAGAGGCTCTAGAAACAGAGGAGCTGTGATAGGCTCACATTTTATTTCTACACTTTCATCACTTTTACCTCCTAGGTTGAAGTCTCACAAATATGCTTCTCTTGAACACCCACAAGTAGTTCCTAGTTAGGGAAGATACATAGGCAAGTGGACGTTTTCTGACCTGGCTGTACTCTAGGCAGTGAGGTCTGATGTTAACTTACCTATGTCTCATGACTTGGAGAAAGTCCTTACTCTTTAACTGTAAGTACAGGCCTGTAGTTGTCTCTGCACGACAAAGCACAACTTCCAGGCAAAGTGTCTTCATCACTCCGTGAAATTTTGGCAGCAGAAAGAACACAGCATTCAAGAAACTGGTAAGTGAGAGGGTTTATGAGAAGATGTCCCCTGACACTCTCCCTCACCCCTTCCCCATATGCCACACCTCCTGCTGTTGTCCCCTACCTGTCAGCAAGAGGCGGGAAGCCCTTCACTACTTTGTTTAAGCACACAATAAATTTGTCTTCCATAGTATTTTGATGTTGCTTTAGTTGCTTTACCACCAGTTCACATACTGACTCTGCTATCACCTGAAAAATTAAGTTTCATTTTTATCATAAAGATAGAACATCATGTTAAGTACTAAATCCTAAATTTATTTTAATTTTTAAAGTTACCCCAAGAAAGATGTTCAATATTATGACCTTCACCAGTGTTCACACACAAGTGATCAAACTGAGTGTTGGAAATGGTCACTGGTTTGCATTAGCCACTGGAGTCACAGAGTTTGCAGGCCTTGACTGCAACAGTGAGAGAGCAAGGCCACAACTTGAGTACCATGTTTCCTTCTGACATAGAAACACTGAAAATAAGTCCTCTGAAAAGTTTTAGTGTAATGTTTATACAGTTCAAGACATATTTTATGTTGGGTACCTTGGTCAAATACTCACATTGAAATCAACAGATCCTATCAAGGACTTCCTGCAAGGATCACACTCATTTATCATTCATTACTACTTTTTTTTTTTTTTTTTTTTTTTTTTGGTTTTTCGAGATAGGGTTTCTCTGTAGCTTTGGAGGCTGTCCTGGAACTCACTTTGTAGACCAGGCTGGCCTCGAACTCACAGAGATCCGCCTGCCTCTGCCTCCCGAGTGCTGGGATTAAAGGCGTGCGCCACCAACGCCCGGTCATTACTACTTTTAAATATTCATTTGTATACTGTTGTTTCCCTCCCCCAAATCCCAGCTCTCTCAGAGCAGAGATGTGGCCTACCTATTTCCTGTTGTTTCTCTAAGGTCTAGAACCAATATGTAAGTCTTCAAAAGCAAGTACTCAGTATGGATGATGTTCTCAAGGAAGCCTTGTTGAAGTCATTAAAATACTCATTTCAGCTGTGTCTCCTCACAAATATGGATGACCATTACAACTGTTTAAAGGCATGAAGGCTAAATGGATAGGTTTTTCAACACAAACTTAAAAATTAAAAACCTTAATCACAACTTCTGTGACTTTAAATCTCATGTGGAACATTTTCATTATTTCACTGCTAATACATACAGTGTATCTGTTAACGCTGAGATTACAGATCAGCGTGGAGTGATCCCTGGCCTAAAAGGTATCTTTTGATTAAAAGTATTTAATCTGGTGACAGGACTAAATGGTCATTTTAGCAAGTAAAGAAAGAAAAGATCAGGCAAAGAGAAGACAGGACAGGCACACCCAAGGTAAGAGCCAGCATGGGGGTGCTAAGAATGGCTGGATGGGAAGAACAGGAGCCACTCTACTTTGGTTTTCATTTAGTTTTCAGATTCTTACACCAAATCTATACTAAATTTAAGTTATAAAATAATGCAAGACAAAGTAGGTATTAAGCAAAGATCTGAGTGATGAGAAAATAAAGCTAGGACTCCACTGTGACTTGCTAAGATGTGGTAAAAGTAAAGAACATCACACCTTCACACCTAACATCCAAGGGCATCACAATTATGTCCTAACAAGGTTGTTCTTGGGTCTTAAATTTGCAATCAACAGTGCTGAGTGCTGAGATATGGCTTCCCAATGTGTAGGAAAGAAGCAATGGATGCAGACCCAGTCCTAAACAAATCACTTATACCACTCCTTTCTAAGGCTCGGGGAAGATTATGAAAGGGTTGCAGGAAGTATATGAGGTGGAAGATAGCGTGAAGGGCTAGGAAATGGCATTCCCTAGACTTACTACAACCACTGCAGTCATTACCTCAGATAAATGACAGTTATTTGCACTGGGTCTATCTACATAAGACAGCTCTATTAACAAACAATCAGTCAAGGGATGCATGGTCAGGGCTCCACACTTTACCTCTGAACAACTGAAGGTAAGATTTTTGGAGATGGAGAACTGTCATTAGTTGTGTAACACAGGCAGACACAGGGTAATTACAATCACAAGCACACTGTGCAGCACTCACGTGTTTCCTCTCAGTAACATGCTGAAGAATAAGTCCTAGAACTTCCGCTGCAGCTGCATATACCTCTTTATACTTCACAAAGGACATGTTATTGACTAAAGCTTCAAAATATCTGTAATAAACAGAAAACAAGCATAAAAAAATCCATTGGAATGTTTGATAGAAAAATGTAACAATTCTCCTCCTGTCACATTAATAGGCAAACTGAGAAAATATAAATAGAAAATGTGAAGCAAATTGCTTGAATATAGATTTATGGGCTCTGGCATCATAACCATGAAAGTCTATTGTCCAAACCCTGGCAGCACTCCAGTAAGAGTTATAGCCCTCTGCGGGACACGAGAGAAAACTGCAGGAAAGAAAAGAGGGAGGATCTAAGACTATGATTCCCTGACACAAACAGCCACAGACATCACAATGTTGAAAATAAGAAGGTGATGCTCTGTGCAGGGAGTGACATATTAAATCTTGGCCTTTACAGACTCTTTGTGGTAACCCCTGGTGACGAAAACAAGGCTCACAAAGCTCACATTTGAAAACAAGAGTTTTTAGGTCTATGCTGAGCTACTGAAGTCACACTAGCTATACCAAGAGCAGCAGGTACAACCTGTCTAAGAGCCAATATTAATCAATCAGAATTGAAATTGCCCTCTTTCCCAATAGAAGTGAGGACTCAAGTGGGCAGGGCTGAGCCTACAGAACATTATATAGATAACAACTTCAAAAATCCTTAAGAGCAGGACAAGAAGTCAGGCATGGTGGTACACACCTTCAATCCCAGAACTTGGGAGGCAAAGGCAGGAGGAACTCTGAGTTTGAGGCCAGCCTGGTGTACGGGACCATATCCAGGATATCCAGAGCTACAGAAAAAAAAAAAAAGAGGCCAGTTCCTTTTGCCATGTTCTAAACTATCTTACTATAGCTTCTTTCCCCCACACTTCATACTCACCCTAGCCTGAATATGTGATTGCCATCAGGACAGGATAAACTGAGGCTGGAGCCCAGGACGAGAGCTATAGGAGCATCCCTCTTCATAGTCGAAACAGTTCAAATTCTCCCATAGAGACCAGAGTACTTACTAGAGCCAATGTTTAAAAGGTCAGTCTCAAAAAGAGGCGGGCAGGAGAGGAAGATCACTGGGTAAGAGAATTTGTTACACTAACAGAGTGACCTGAGCATCCACAGAAGCTGGGTATGACCACAAGCATATCCCAGGAACTGGCTGGCCATCCAACACAGATGAAATGGCAAGCTTTGGGCTAAGTGAGAGACCCAGTCTCAAGGGAATAAGGCAGAAAGTAATGAAAAGTCAACTGATGTCTTCCTCTGGCCTATGCATGTACATCCACGGGCAGGTGCGCTCACACATACAGGCATTACACACACACACACACACACACACACAGACAGACAGACAGAGAGAGACAGAGAGAGACAGAGAAGAAAATATTAAACAACTTCTGTTTACAGATATATACAGAAAATTACACTAATTAAAATTCTCTATTGCACTTCTTCGGTGTGTTTATGCCACAGCATGTGTGTGGAGGTCAGGGAGTAACTTGGGAGACTTGGTCCTCTCCTTCCATCATGTACATCCCATGGATCAAGCTCAAATCATCAGGCTTGGACACAAGCACCCTATCCTTGAGCCATTTTGCTAGGCCCAATTAATTTTTTTTAAAGCCTACATATCTTCTTCACACCAGATACATTTCTCCTTCCAAAAGGCCTATAAATTCAACCTTATAATTTTAGGTACAAGTGCCTGGTCCTTAACTGTATCAATACTACATTTGAATATCAAATCCAGAGACTTTATGAAAGAATCAAGTAGAAAGTACAGTACTTACTTGGTACTCACTATGTCACACTTGGGGTCATAGGGAGGCAAGTCATTAGCTATTACAATGCCCAATAATTGAATTCCTACAGAATTGTCTTTAGAATTAGGGTCCTTGTGGGAAAATTTTTCAAATATTAACCTGTAACAGCACAAGGGAGAAAATACAAATATATAATGAGTAAGAAACAGGAAGATTAAGCATTTTCTAAAGCAAATTTTCAGCTAAATAGTACAAGGAACACACAGACCTTCCCTCTTCCCCCACTTGTTAGTTCTTACCCATTCTAATAATTTGTCTCAATTCTGTCAGTTTATAGTAACTTTAAAATTTTAGCACTCGTCAAGCAAGGGTAAAAGTCCTCCAACTGGGCTGGCTAGTGCAGGGCAGTATACTCCAATTGCCCAGTGTGGAGTCAAAGTGATGGGAGGGTTAAAGACCAGGGTGGGGAGCCACTGAGCACCCAGCAATGCTTCTGGTATCAAACTCTGGAGTTGTGGTCTTATCAGAAGCAAAATTTACCTTGTAAATGGACTATAGCTCAGATTATTAATACAATTATTTTTTATTTTGATAATCCTTATTCCTGTTAATTCATATAATTATACTTCATTGTAGTTTACCATTTAAAACTTGCTACGCTTTGATCTTTTTCTACACAATACTGTAAAAATTAGCAAATATGTACCTGTAAGGGATGGAAAGACACTCCTTCCAGCATTCGACAAGGGTTTTAATAATTTCAAGGTTGTGTCTAAACACAGCTCTTTTGGGATGGAAGACATGTTCCATTAGAAAATAAAGCAATCGATTTGCTAACACTTCATCTTTAGGGACCCCCTGAAAACATATTAAAATTGTGTAAGATAAATAACATTCCATTCTGGAAGAATATCTCACCCTACCCCCATTTTGCTATTGTTTTGAAATAGGCTTCCATGTAGCACAAGCTAGCTTCAAACGTACTATATAGCTAAGGCTTCCCTTGAAGTACTGAATCTCGTCATACCAGTACGTCTGAAATAGTAAGCATACACCATAATGCCAAATACCCAATTCTAAATGAAACCTCACATTTTATTGAGGGATCTAGTTTCTGGTGAATCCCTAGTGGGTCTTCAATGCTGACTACAGACAATACCCTTCATTGGCAGGTAGTGGGAGAATTTGTGATTGCTCAGTGTGTGGCCTGGTGGAAAGAGCTATGATTAGGGCTCAAGCCCTAGTTGACCATATTCTTCATATTATTTGTCCATGGATCCACTCCCAGTCTCTGTCTGAGACCCTGACAGTGGTCCTGTCCAGGCCCTGTTGAGTCCTGAGATAAGGTGGGTAGGAAGTAAATCAGTAAAACTTGTTTCTACCAGTACCCACTGTACTTGGGCTCTTAGGCCTTTTTATATCTCTGAATCAATGAAGCTGCAAGAGACCTTTGTTCTGGGTCCCTCACTACTGTGCCTCCTGACACCAGCTTAGTTTTCTATCCCAGTGCTTCTGCTCATATCGCCACTTCCCTTTTCAATTCTGTTGCTATGCCAATGACAGGCAATTCCACATTCTCAAGTGTAGCTGAGCTCCTGATGGCTCTTGAGTTAATTAAGTACTCCAGTTCTTTCGTACTATTGGTCAGGCGATTAACTCCTTTATACATCAATACCAAGAAATTTAGATTTGGTTTATTGTGAAATAAACAAAACAAGAACAGACACAAAGACACGAAAAATCTGTACCAGTCTATATTAAGGATGGTGCATGTAATAAACTTATGTACACCTTTGTATACTATCTGTGTTCATGTTTACAAATGAATAGGCAAATCTCCATCACACCCACCTACTAGAATTCACACCATCTGCTCTAAGTGTAGTGCAATGGCAGTTCCTTGATAGTCACTCTCAACACTTTCATGGATAACAGTTAACACTATGAGAGTGAATAAACTATCATATAAGTGCCCCCAAACACAGGGACCTGAAGCACAGATGACATTCTCGATTATGGATATAATCTTAACAATTCTGTTACAATTCTAATCTCCTAGCACATAAAAGCAATAAACAAAAGGAACACCTAACCGTTTATTAAGAAAGGCAAGGTCAAAGGGATTATCAAAGTAGATAAAAGGTAAAAGCAATCTGTGATACAACGAACTGTAGGTTCATTATAGCAGTGCAACTATAGCTAATACAGCAACATTATGTCAAGAGGATATTAATGCAACCGACACTCCCTCTGTAGGGCATCATAAAAGGAATGATATATTACTACGTAAGAGAAGCAGTTTTCCTTACTGTAGGTGTAGCCAAGGCTGTCCAAGAGAGAACAGTAGCTACTATTTCTACCACCATGAAGTGAATTCCTTCTCCGTTGTTCTGGGAAACAGCCAGCTGTAGCAAAGGGCTGAGCCAGTGCTTTGCGTAAGGGCGAAAGACCTACAGAGAAAATTTAAATGCCAAGTATAGATAATTGTTCTGAAGATCAAAGTATTAATACTCACATAAATTCTACATTAGCTGACATTTTATGACTTGATATAAATCTAAAACAGTTGCTACTTCCAATTACCAAACATAATAAGATCCAATTCACTCTGAATTATCTCAAGGACTCCTAAATACTCAATGGAAATAGATTTATAATGGATCTTACTACTTAAAACTCAACAACTCTGTCTTAAGTAATATGCAGCTATACAAAATTATTTCAGCACATGTATAAAAATGTAAGAAATAAGGTTATAACAATCAGAAGACACAAGTACTTAAATATTTTCTTTTCTTCCTGTGTTCTAAGTCACTCTATTACAAACACAGTTTTAAGATCTCTGGAATCGCACCCACCAGGAGAGGTGAGTGCCTGGGTCCCTAGTTGAAGGACCCTACTCTAGGTCCGAATCACCCAGGGCATGTCCCATACCCCACCTTCTCCCACTGAAGCCCGGGAGAGCGGGGTCCAGCTTTCCCACACCACAAACCATCTCCCAGAACATCTGTGACCACTGGAGTCTTGGCCATGCTTATACCTAGAAGAGCTCCATAGCTGTCCAGTAGAGGCACAGACCAACCTGCACCATGAGAAGAGTGACCACCTAAGCCACAGGCCCCATCTACACTAACTGAACGAAGAGGGACATCCTAAACACAGGCCCCAACTGCATCCACTGCAGGAGGATATAGGTAGGTGACAGTGTAAGAATACATTCAACAACATAAAGAGCAATATGGCATCACCAACAACTCGGGGTTCTATACTAGGGAAACCTGACCATCACAACACAGATGAAGCAGAAGAAAATGACCTTAAAAACAACTTTATGAAGATGATAGAGGCCGTTAAAGAGGAAACGAGAAAATTGCCTAAAGAAATGGAGTAAAGACAAACAAAAGAATGGAAGGAATCATCAAATCCTTTAAAGAAAGCAAGGAAAGCCAAGAAAAAAACAAACAGATGAAGGCAATAGTTAAAAGTGTTGAAGACTTGAAAACTGAAATAGAGGCAACAAGGAAACACAAACAGAGGGAATGCTGCAAATGAAATATCTGGGTAAACGATCAAAATCTAAAGATGCAAGCATCATCAACAACACAAGATATGGAAGAGAGAATCTCAGTCTTTGAAGATACTACAGAGGAAATAGATTCATCTACCAAAGGAAATGGTAAATCTGGGACACCATAGAAAGATCAAACATAAGAATATAGAAGGTGAAGAAGTCCAGTTCAAAGGTGCAGAAAACAAAATTTGTTAATCACCATATAAAAAAACTGAAAGAAAAAATACCACACGATCATCTCATTAGATGCTGAAAAATCCTTCAACAAAATCCAACACTCCTTCATGATGCAGGTCTTGGAGACACCATGGATACAAGGAACATTCCTAAACATAATAAAGGCAATGTACAGCAAGCCAACAGCAAACATCCAACTAAATGGAGAGAAACTCAAAGTGATCCCAATAAAATCAGGACCAGGACAATGTTGTCCACTCTCTCATTTCTATTCAATGTTGTACTTCAAGTTCTAGCTAGAGCAATAAGACAACAAAAGGATAACAAGGGGATGCAAATCGGAAAGGAAGAAGTCAAACTCTGGCTATTTGTTGAGGATATGAGCTTATACATAAATGACCAGAAAAATTCTACCATGGAACTCCTACAGCTGACAAACACCTTGTAATGTGTCAGGATACAAGATTAATTTAAAAATATCTGTAGCCCTCCTATATATACAGATGATAAACAGGCTAAGGAAGAAATCAGAGAAACATCTCCCTTCACAATAGCCACAAACAACATAAAATGTCTTGAGGTAATTCTAACCAAACAAGTAAAAGACCTGTATGACAAGATCTTCGAGTTTTTAAAGAAAGAAATTAAAGAAGTCAGAAAATGGGAAGATCTCACATGCTCTTGGAAAGGTAGGATCAACATAATAAAACTGGCAATCTTACCAAAAGCAATCTACATATTCAATGCAATACCCATCAAAATCCCAGCACAATTCTTTACAGACCTCAAAAGAACAATACTCAACTTCATATGGAAATCAAAAAACATGAACAGCCAAAACAATCCTGTACAATAAAGGAACTTCCAGAAGTATCACCATCCCTGACTTCAAGATCTACTATAGAGCTATAGTAATGAAAACAGTTTGGTATCAGAAACAGACAGGTGGACCAATGGAATTAAATCAAAGACCTTGATATTAATCCACACACCTATGAACACCTAATTTTTGACAAAGAAGCTAATGGAAAAAAGAAAGCATCTTCAACAAAGTTGCTGGCATAACTGGATGCTGACATGTAGAAGAATGAAAATAGATCCATATCTATCCCCTTGTATAAAACTTAAGTCCAAATGGATAAAAGACCTCAACATAAATTCAGTCACACTGAACCTCTTCGAAGAGAAAGTGGGAGGTACTTTTGAATGCACTGGCACAGGAGGCCACTTCCTGAATATAATACCACAGACACTGAGAGCAACAATTAATAAATGGGACCTCCTGAAATTGAGAGGCTTTTATAAGGTAAAGGACATAGTCAATAAAACAAAATGGCAGCCTACAGAAGGGGAAAAGATCTTCACCAACCTCACATCTGACAGAGGGGCTGATCTCAAAAATATACAAAGAACTCAAGAAACTAGTCAGCAAAATCCCAAATAATCTAATTAAAGAATGGGTTACACATCTAAATATAGAATTCTCATCAGAGGAATCTCAAATGGTGGAAAGGCAGTTAAGGAATTGCTCAACATCCTTATCCATCAGGGAAATGCAAATCAAAACAACTCTGAGATACCATCTTTTACCTGTCAGAATGTCTAAGATCAAAAACACTAATGACAGCTTAAGCTAGAGAGCATGTGGAAAAAGGGGAACACTCCTCCATTGCTGCTAGGAATGAAAACTTGTATAGCCACTTTGGAAATCAGAAAATTGGGAATCAATCTACCTTAAGATCCAGCAATACCACTCTTGGGCATATACCTGAAGGAGACACACTCTTATATCAAGGTCATTTGTTCAACAATGTTCATAGCAGCATTATTTGTAATAGTCACAACCTGCAAGAGACCTAGATGCCCCTCCATCAACAACAGTTAAAGAAAAGGTGCTACATATATACAATGGAGTACTACTCAGTGGTAAAAAACAATGACATCTTGAACTAGATGAAACCATCCTGAGTGAGGTAACTCAGACACAGAAAAACAAACACGGTATGTACTCACTCATAAGTGGATAGTAGACATAGAGCAAAGGATAAGCAGCCTACAATCCATAACCCCAGAGAAGTTAGGAAACAAGAAGGTGAAATAGAGAAGATCTGAGTAAATTGGAGTGTAGGGAGAAGGGGGGAGAGCAATAGGAGAGTGGGAAAGGGAAATGTGGAGGGGGGAGAAGAACATGAGGGATGGGGAAGGTCAAGTTGGGGGAAGGACAGAGAGGGAGAGAGGGGAAAGAGATACCTTGATATCCTTAGTGTAGGAACTGGTTTTTGCAGACCATTCCCTATGGAGGAATACCTTGCTCAGTCTAGATACATGGGAGAGGGACTTGGTCCTATGCCAAATGATATGACAGACTTGGATGACTCCTTATGAGAGTCCTCACCCTCTCTGAGGAGTGGATGGGGTAAAGGTAGTGGGAGGAGTGGAAAGATGGGAGGGAGAGAGAACTGGGATTGGTATGTAAAATATGATTTTTTAAAAGGCAAAAAACAAAAAACCCACAAAAAAACCAAACCAAAAAAAAAAAAAAACCCCTCTGGAATCTAAGTCAGAGTACCAGACCCCAAGTCCCATTGAATTATTTTAGAAAATGAAGAATGCAACTTTGATGTAAAAGAATTATAATGGAAATTATCTTCCAATCTTCCCATCTTCTCCTTTTCAAGGAGATGCCCATAAGAACAAATATATCTAGCATATTCTATGTGTATCTCTAGTTTTACTATAAACTGTACACATATGAAATTCTTTATCATGGCATTACAGTGTAACAAACACCTAAAGTCTGGAATGTTAAAAATCATTGTAAATATGTTTGTTGTCTAAGGCAAAAACTGTTTGGGTTAACTCCTTCTGTAGACCAGTACCCTAAGTGTTCCAGTCTACAGACAGACGTAAAACAGGCTCCAGGAACATGTCCAAGAAGCCTCCCTAGGCCCTCACTTTTACCCCTGTAAATGTCGTGTGGCAGTGTAACAGCCAACAGTGCCCAGATCACCTGTGGTAGCTATCAAATCAGCACTTGAAAGAGCATGAGCAAGAAGACATTTGTGGTCCCTAATATTATGGACTGAACTGTATGCTTCCCCAAATCTCTTGTCTTCCAAAGAAACTACAAAAAAAGGCCTTATTTGCAGACAGAGTGTTTCTTTATACAGGTAATTAAGTCAAAGTGAGACATTAAAGGAGGCTGCAATCCACCACACTGAGTCCTTATAAAAATGAAATTTGAAGACAGAAACACTAAGGAGGCAGTATGAATATAAGAACACCAACTCCATGAATAGAGTGCCTGAGGCTAGTATAGGATCAGATGAGCCAGCTCTGAGAACACCTGGATTTTGGATGTCTGGTCTGCAGAGACATTGCTTCAGAAGCCTCACTGTTTACTGGTGGGGCATACACCTTCCTGAAAACTGTTATATGCAGAAAAACTAATACATTTACTTATTACCTAGATAAAGATAGCTATTTTTCATAAGTTAACAGGAATATTTTCACCCATTTTGTTTACTGTGACAGTAAACAAAGAAGACTACAGCTTTAGGAAGTTACCAAACACGCTGTATAGAAAGTTTACTTCCAACTCCCAATACTAGTCAACACATTTGACAAAAGGTTTCTGAATAAGTGTATAAATGTTGTTGGCCAATTTTATGCAAGAACAGTTCCATGTTCTATTTCTTTAAAGCTTGTTTTCTTGTGGTGTTTCCAAATAGATGCTCATAACTGCACAGAACTGTTAAGAAAAATAAAATTTCATACCTCTTCTGTATTAATAACAAGTTTGGCTAAGAAGAGACGGATATTTAAAGATACCAATGGATTTCCTAGTTTGTCATGAAGAAATTTCATCCAAGGAGGAAGATCTTTTGGTTTTGAATCCTGAAATAAAACACAAACTTAATATGAAAAGTGGAGTAAAAGAACATCATATTTTGCTATTATAAGAAAATGAGAAAGATGTGAAGAACAAAGAATCTCTCTTTAACATGCACTGTGATTTAGTCAATATAGAACGTTAATCCCTAAAGTGACACCAAAGGGTAACATTGAGAAAAATATATAAGATAAGGAGAAAAATACCTCTTCTCTACTAGGTGTAATCAGATTTTTCTGCATGTGCTTAATCAGGGCTGTCATGGTAGCCATGCATTCATGTTGGTTAAGTTCATCCATTTCTAACTCCAGGATGTCACCTTGGGTCATGGGATCTTGATGTTCCTATGAAGAAGAACTGTTAAATGTCAGTGGATATGAGAAGCTCAATAAGGGGCAATAGTTTAAAACAATAAAACTTAGCTAAAAACAATAATACTCACTATGTTTTAATAATTAACTAAAAAGTAAACAGAACTTCAAGTTTTCCTTACATTCTAGGCACATATGCTCTCAATTAGATTCTGCCAAGGCACACCTCGGTTTCCCATCTCTGTTGCTACCACAGCTCTATCTCTATGGTCACTCCTGTGAGGTCTTGATCTAACTGATGAAATCTGATTACTGAGTTAACAGTGAAAGACCTGGCTTAGATCCTGAACGTTCTCCAAATCAACATTACTATTCCAGGGTTACTGAGACTGATGGAAAACCTGATTCCCTAGTAATTACAAGGTACAACAGTAACTTTCATTATAAATTTTAACAACACCCTTAATATGTGAAATGTGATCACCCGTCTCTGAAAATGGCCAGTGGTAGGTTTATGATCTTGAGAGCTATACGAATAGCTCTGAACTCCAGTTGAGAAATCAAATTGACTCATTTCTTCACTTAGGCTACTGTCTGCCAAATATGACAATGAAGACATATAATGAGGACTGCCTGAAAAATAAACAGAAAGGATATATATTTGTACTCAAATATAGCCAATAAGAAATATGTTTCACACAACTCAAATCATACTGAAATTAAAGGATAGTTCAGCTAAGGTTTTCATCAATCCTGTGACTTTCAGTCCACTGTACAGATTAGCAAAAAGAACCTAGGAAAAAGCTTCCTTATTTTTGACACTATAGAGTAGCTAAGTTACTGTCATAAACAAACAAATCTAGTTAAACTGGATGCAATTTTTAATAGAAATACTTACTAACATTTTGATTTATATTTTTCTCATCAAATATAACACAGATAAAGGAAGACATACTAATGAAAAATAGCTAATCCAAAATATGTCAGGTTTAGAAAATAGGTTCAAATTTTATCTCCAATTGAAAAATAATGTTACAAAAAAAAAGTAAGTGTACAAACACACATCAGAACAAGAAGCAAGTGAAAGGACAGAAGACAATGTTTAACCAGTGAGGCCGGGAACAGCCTCTTTGACAAGTTAACATTAAAAAAAAATGCTCCAAGGCATGTTAATACCTCCAGCTGAGATTATTAGGGGGTCAAAGCACATCTAGGGTCAACAAGCATAGACAGGACTGCTATGATGCTGGAATGGAATGGGAAGCAGAGAGAATGGCAGCTGTGACAGGCACCAGGCCAGAGACCTTGGCAGCTCTGTTCTAAGGGAACTGCAAGGAGCTGAGAAGTTTAGAAGAGGGTGGCATCAGGGCAGGGCATACATACAGACTGCTGAATATATTTAATAACCCAGTCACAAAAAGAGAAACATGGCATGTACTCTCTCATGTATGGATTTTAGACATAGATCTGGGGGGTGCCAGCCTACAATCCCATGGCCAGAGTGTCTGGGAAACAGAAACTTCATTTAGTGGCTGATCGAAGAAGAGGCAGACTCCCTCAGTTAAGTACTGAGCTGAACTCAAGAAAGCCAGTAACAGAGAGGGAGGATTGATGACCAAAGGGATTAAGACTGGGCTGGTTTGGGCTGGAGAGATGGCTCAGAGGTTAAGAGCACTGACTGCTCTTCCAGGGGTCCTGAGTTCAATTCCCAGCAACCACATGATGGCTCACAACCATCTACAGTTCAATCTGGTACCCTCTTCTGGCATGTAGGCAGAACACTGTATATGTAATAAATAAATAAATAAATAAATAAATAAATAAATAAATCTTTAAAAAAAAAAAAAGACTGGGCTGGTTTAACCCCCAGAAACAGTTAACCTGACAAAGGTTAACTCTTGAATCCCAGGCATCAGCCTGGGAATCCAGCATGGGACTGATCAAGACCCCCTGAATGTGGGTGTCAGTGAGGAGGCCTAGGCAATCTATTGAGCCTTGGGCAGCAGATCAGTACCCATCCCGAGTATACACACGGACTTTGGACTCCCATCCAACAATGTGAGGTGCACTCTCACCCTAAACTCTTGGGGAAGGGTCTAGGCCCTGCCCTATATGAAATGACAGACTATGGACACCCCCATGGAGAGCCTCACCCTCCCTGGGGAAATGAGGGGATAATGGGGGGGGTTGGGGGGAGGGCATGGGAGAAGGGGAGGGAAAGGGAGAGGGACCTGGAACTGACTTGTGAAGCAACCTTGTTTCTTATCTAAATTTAAACTGAAAAATAAATAAATAAATAAAAAGAGCTGCAGATGGCAGCATGTTTTATAAAAATGGAAAACGATTATTACTGGAAACAATTTGGTAAGTCAATAAAAAGAAATATTATTTTGCAAAAAAAAAAAAGAATGCAACTCATGTTCAGACAACAAAACACATCAGCTTCCACATGGGAAAAAAATAACCAAACTAAATTTAAAGTATTTAAAGTATTTCTATTTACGCAAAAAAAAAAAAAATGACATTTCTGGGCATGGTGCCACAAACCTTTAACCCCAGGATTATGGAGGTAGAGTTGGTAAGTGGATCTCTGTAAGTTTGAGGTCAGGCTGATCTACATAGTTACAGGGCAGCCTGGATTACATACCAAGATCATGTTTCAAAAAAAGAAAAAAGAAAAAGAAAAACACGACATAGCATTATTACTATATGTTTGCATGCAGTGTTTGTGTATGGGATGGTGTGTGCGTGTATCCAGGCAAGTGTGTACCATGGTGTGTGAGTGAAGGTCAGAGAATTCCTTTTAGGGGGAAGGTTTTCTCCTTCCACTTTGAAGAGACTGGTCTCTTGATTCTGCTGTTGCACTGTGTACCAACTGGCCTGTAAGCATCAGGGTGATTGCAACATCTCCCTGCAGAAGTGCTTGCATTGCAGATGTGCACCACTGCAGTCAGCTTTTTGACATAGATTCCAGGGTTTAAACTTAGACCACAAGGTTTATGATGCAAGAATTTTTTTTTATTTACTGAGCCATCTTGCTGGCCACTCTTTTTTTTTTTCATAAGCAAGTATCAACTACTTGAAGCATTCTAAATCATTCTGAAAGCGTCCTACCTGAAACCCCATTTGCCGCATCCCTGGCCTCTTTCCTAATTTCAATGTACTTTTTCTTCCTTTCCATAGGAACCTATCAGGTAAAACACATATAACATTTAAAATGTTTTAGAATTGTGGTCACATCTCTTGTTTTAGTAATAGACATTTTTGTGAAATTTTAAAGTATTCAAAACCATTCATAAAAAGAAACTTGTATGTGTTTTCAAGAATAGCCTTTCCCATAGATTTCTCCAAACCTAACTGAAACACTTAGCTTGGGTATGGTTCTCTGCTTGGTACTTTTACAGGCCTGCATTATTGACAGTTCTCACTTGACTTTGGAGCCTAAGTTTCCTCAACTAGACACCTTACAGTGCTTTGCAGGGTAACACAGCAAGGGTCCATGCTTAGATTAGCCTGGGCAATTTGTTAATTTTGTTTTCATTCTTTCAATGTATGCCTGGGAAAAGATCCTGTTCTTACTACGAAAGAGCACATTCAGGAGCATGGATGAGACACTGAGACGCTCAGGTCAATGACTGAGGGAAGTAAACAGCCCACGGAATGCAAGCTTAGTACTTTGCCAGCTTCCACTTGCAATGGGATGTGAAAGCAGCAGCCATCATTTCTCACCCACAGCAGAGGCTGCAAGCAGAGCTGAGATAACCAAATGCATCCCGCCAGATGCAGCATGTTTTCCAGCTTTTCTTCTGACGTCCCATGGTCCAGGTTACCCAATCAGGGCCATATTTATCAGTATAAATACTAATTTGTTTTGGAGGAGAAAATCACTCAGATATCAAGTTATTTTTATTAACATTGCCTTCCTTTCACAATCAAGAGGAGGAACAGTTAAATTCTGATGAATACCGTTACAGCCATGTGAGCAGACACTTCAAACTGCCAACTGCTAGACTTTATAGTTGCCAGTTTCATAAGAACACAAAAGTAACTGATTTTGGAATTGAGAGCAAATGAATACTTAACATGTTTAAAATATACCCTGCTTTTTTCTATAAGCATTTGATAATATTTTTAACTTAGAAACAAAATTGAAAATTGTACTTACCTCGACTTCTATAGGAAATGTGTAGCAACGCTTCAGGTCTATCAAATTTTCAAAAATTAACAAGTTCTATAAAAAGAAAAACCTATATGAAAATATCTGACTTTATGACTAGTAATACTAAAAGAATAATTCTACTTGATGAGTCACAGAAGACTGGGGGTATAAATCAATTGGTAGTACCTGCCTAATATCTATAAGACTCTGGGCTCTATCCTTAGCATCACAAGGCATAGTGGTAGGTAACTGTAATCTCTTGGGGGGGGCGTGGAGACAGGAGGATTAGAAGTCTAAGGTCATGTTGCTACAGAGTGAATTTGAGGCAAGTCTTGGATACATGAGAACCCATCTCTAAGATACTCACTTCCATTCCTAATTACACACACCCCAAATCCGAGAAGCACTTCAGAGTCAATCCCCTTATACTTAATATTACAGGAGGGTGGAAAATATGATATAAATTTAATGGATAAAAGTTTAAGTGGTAAAATCCTACAATGTCAGTCAGGAACAGGGAACATCCCTGGGAATACTCACCTTTTCTGGTTTTTCACTAAACAGGAAACCTTGATAAAATTTCAACTCATTGAAGACACAGCATATCACAGAAATGGCACAGTTGTATGCAGCACAATGATAAAGTCTTCTCTTCTCCAGCAACTGGCTCTCCCCTGCCATGTTCTCTGTAAAGGCATCATGGCATGACCTACAAATGAGAGTAAGGTTGGACATCACCTTACTTAATGTAGACATTAGTACTTAAATCAGTAGCTATTAGACAGTAGGACTGAAGTCAGTTTAGCCAATCTCAAGTATCATGCTTCTCCCAGCACAGTACTAGGCACATTACTATCTTATAGCACAGGCCATGTGCGTGAATCTGCAAACACAGTGTTAAGTCAAAAAGCACACTCAAGACAGGGAAGCAAGAATATGGATCAACAACCCAATCTGAGGCACTAACAAAAGACTTAAGGGAAAAATACCTGTGCTAAGGGTTTGGGGTTTTTTTCTTGTTGTTGTTGTTATTTATTTTTAATGTGTTAGAGGTTGTTGAGAGAAAGGGTCTCACAGTGTTGCTGAGGGGGCCTTTAATTCCTGTGCCCAAGAGCTCCCCTATCTATGTAAGATTCCCAAGGGTCTCCCACATGCATGTTACTGTGCAAGAATTAAACTGAACTTTGAAATGTAAGTTAGCTAAAGGATAAATGTATGTAGATATTATGAGCAGAGAGGAGTGACACTTAGAAAAACTGTGTAGAATATCAGGAGGATGTAGATGCAATAACTTCTTGGGAAACGAACAAGGTGAGTCTACGTTCTACACTATGAGGTGTGCATTTCATCCTGCAGGGTGGGTTCAATAAGCTACTCAGATAGCCACTGCTTTTCAAAAAAAAGGTTTTCTTGAAACAACCAGGCTTATGTATCTAGAAATAATTTATGACTTGTTCACAGTATGGTAAGAGAGCTGCCACAGACTACATGATCTACAGACCCTGCAATATTTACACCCTGGGCCAGCCCTATTGCTGAAGACAATAGATTAGATTTACATTCCAGTTGATTATGATTCTGCCATCATGAAAAAGGAAAGAAAGACAAGCCTAGCACAGAACTAATTCAGAATGAAACAACTGCAATAGCTTAAAAGGCAGCCCAGATGTTAGAACAAGACCACACAAAAGGTAAGAGACATAAGTGTATTATTTTCAGGAGCACTACAAGGGTCAAACTGACTATATTTGGTTACCACCTGGTTATTAATGAAGGTTAGGGACAGTCAAGTGGAAAAATGAATGCAACTCCTAGATTTTTTGCATATAAAAATGGATAGATGGTGACATCATCCACTGAGAAGACTAGGGTGAGAAGGAAGAATGCATGTCTGAGATGCAAAAGGAGACACAGTAAAGTCTGTCCAATCTGGGAGGACTTCATTAGAAGCCTACTTTTAGAGAGCCTTTAAATTTCAAATGATGGAAAAATATAATTTCTTACTGTAATTCATGCTACTGAAATACATTAATATATTAATCCACTCAGAGGAGAAGTAGTAGGAAAAATGTGAAAGATTAATAGAGTTTAAATCTGAGCTCTTAACTTGTAAGGCAGACACTATCACAGAGCTCCAGCCGAGAGTTTTATTCTTTATAAAAACGTATGTACGTGGCTGTAGTAACATATTATTTATAATTTAATAAAGCTTGCCTGAAGGATCAGAACACAAAGTCAGCCACACTAGATACCCACAGTAGTTGGGAAGTGGTGAGCACACACCTTAAATTCCAGAACTTGGGAAAACAGGGGCAAACGGATCTCTCTGAGTTCAAGGCTACCCAGGCTATAGGAGACTGAATCAATCTAAAAGAGTAACAGAGCTCACACCTTTAACCTGAGCACTAGAGAGGTATATAAGGAAGATGCAAAGGGTCTCATGTGGCAATTGGTCTCCAGTCACATTGAAGAGAGCATAGCAGTCTAGGAATCTGAGGCTTGGTGGGGAGCAATGTAGTCTGGAGATGCAATCTGAGGTTCTGGAGATGCAATCTGAGGTTTGGTGAATCACCCCTTCAGTCTGAGCAGGGGTAAGAAATTCAGTTCTCAGAACACACATAGCACTTACAACCATCTGTAACAACACTTCTAGGGTATCTGATGCCTTCTCTTGACCTCCACAGTTACCAGGCATGCACGGGGTACACATAAATACACAGGACAAAAACAAACAAACAAACAAAAACCTGTAAAACTAAAATGAAAAATGTCTAATTACCTTAAATATTAATAAATCAAATATAACCACAAATTAAGTAAGCTTACTTAAGAAGTATCTTTGTAAGTTCATTTCCTTCTGTAACAGAGGAGCCATGGAAAGCTTGATTAATTTTAGATTCTTTAGAGTGAACATCATCTTTTGAAAGACGAGAATACATCACAGCTAGCATCTTGTAATAGCACATCTTCTTGGTGATTTGTGTGTCAAAGGTAAATTCATTTACCTGAAAAGATGTAACATCTTTGGTCTTATCAAACATAAAAACATCATGTTCAAAACATCACATTTAATTCTTAATGCCATTCAGATAGAAAACAATCTTGACAAAGAGGTAAATTACTTCAATAAGAGTGGTTTTTTTTGTCCTGGATTTCCAATGTGGAAACAACATTGTTCTATGTCATACTGAGTAAAACAGGAATTAACACAAAATGTCCACCTAGTAAGCCCAGAATATATGATATTTGTTAAGTCTTATTCAAGCCACGGGAACAGCAGGTGAAAATACAAAACACAAAACATAAAATTTTACCTATTTTGATGTTGTTATTTATAATGAGTCATTTGGTTATCTGTATTTACCAATAGGAATCTCAGAGAGACTGATGATACTCCACCATCATTTTATTAAAATTGTCTGGAGAATGCTCAACCCCTGGAACCTAACTTTTCATATGACAAAAATGGATGTTATGGTAATTATTAAGTTGAAGGCATTGAGGAGGGGTGGTTAGATTGGCTTTACTAGGTGGGAAATCAAATTGCATGCAAGTGAAGCAGATCAAGATTAGACAGACAGGAAAGGGCAGCATGATGGAGGCAGAGATAGAAACAACACCAGAACAGACCAGGGGATGTCAAAGCCATGGGAGGCATGAAAAGACAAGGAAAGTCTTTTCTACAAAAAACAACTGAGAAAAACATGGCCTACAAACATGACCTTGGCCTGGTGTAACTGAACACAGACTTGGGCATCCAGACAGAGAGTATACCTTTGCTATTCTAAGCCATTGTGGGGTCAGTCAGTTGCTACAGGAAAGTAGCATGGATCCATGTGCCCACAGATTGCTATTGGATGCAGAGGGAATGTTCCCTGAACAAGAGCCCATCTGATTGAGCCCACAGTGCTGCCCAATATCCTTACTACTATGGATGATATACCTTTATAAATCTGGACTTCAACACATCAATGGCATCCACCACAATTCTGCTAAAGAACTCTTTCAATGTGTCCAAGTCACAGTGCCACAGTAAGGTGAGGAGAGAACGATCTACAAATGCTTGGCGAGTAACATTTGAAGGTAGGTCATCCTTCCGGAACATTGTATACACGCTTTGCAGAAGGTTTAATTGTGTGACATATGGACTCCTAAGAAAAAGAGATGAAGTAACATGCCTTGAGCAAGTACTTTGTATGCTCCAGTAATTATTAATTACAAAATAGCAAAGAATCCGAACAGCCCATGGTAGAAGGAGGTAACAGACTCAAAATATTATCTTTTGACTGCCACAAATACGCTGTGACACAAGTATCCTACCTTTACACATAAGCAACAATAATAAATAAAATTATAGTGAAATAAAAGAAAACTAAGTCTAAAAAAAAGCCAATTCTAGTTTAAAATAAATTTGAAAGAGAGGGTATGTAGTCGGGTTTGGAGGAAAGAAAGGGAAGGGAGAAATATAAATATACTCTCAAAAACATAGTAAAAATGAAACTATTAAAAAACAAACAGCTGAGCTTGGTGGTACACAACTTTTATCCCAGCACCTGGCAGGCAGAGGCAGGTAGATAAATCTCCGTGAGTTCCAGGCCAGCCTGGTCCCAGTATAGTACATTAACCATCGTCTCATACATCCAGGTGTGCTGTATCTTCACCATCACCTAACACACCCGGTGTGCTGTATTTTTACCTGACTCCAATGGAAACACTATGTGATCTCTCTTATCATTTCTTGTTTGTCACAAGGATTATTAGAAATATGGAACTAATTAGTTATTGAGAAATATTTTCAGATGTCCCAAATTTCCGTCTGTTGTTGATTTCTGGTTTACCAGTCATTATGGTCAAAGAATAAACTTTATATGTTTTAATGCTTGAAATTTATTAAGAATTATTTGTATGTGGTTGGCAAAATGGCCTAGTGGGTAGAAATACCTGTTTCTGAACCTGAGGACCTGAGTTCAGTCCCTGGGACCCCCATGGTGGAAGGAGACTCCTGAGAGTTGTCTTCCGACCCCCTCCCCTATGCACTGTGGCACATATACCAACACCTGCCCCCTCACACAAATAAATAAGTAAACAGAAAGTGGCATTTACATTTTAAAAAGAGAGAGAACTGTTTGTTCTAACTTAAGGAATATTTCACATATGCTCTGCTACTGTGACAATGTTACATGGTTAGCTAATTATGATTTCTTTAAAAAGTGTCAATAAAAATGAATAAACTATCATTTCATGCTACAACGTAGATGGAGTTAAAAAAGAAAAACATTATGTTGACTCAGAAATTCAGAAGTGATAAAGGCATATACTTTTATTCTCAGCATCTGGGGGGCAGTGGGAGCTGGACCTCTAGCAGTTTGAGACTAGCCTGACTGACAGTGAGCTCCCAGTCGGGGCTGCCACACAGCAAGACCCTGACAAATAAAACTAAACAGGGGAAAGGGGAGAGAGTTCATTTACCAAAAAAATGTTTAGAAAAGACAAGTTAAAAAATATAAGAAAAGCAAATTTGTGGTTTCCTGAGCTGAGGCTTGGGATAGGTTCTCTAATGATCCTACTAAATCAAGTCCCTAAAAATCAATACTGAATAATAGTATTTTTAAATGTGTGTGGCAGAGGCAGGCGGTCATGTTGTACCAGCACTCAGGACGCAGAGCAGGTAGGTCTGAGGCCAGCCTTGTCTACAGAGTGAGTTCCATGACAGGCAGTGCTACTCAGAAAAAGCCCTGTCTTGCAAAACAACAACAACAATTCAGTAAAATGTGTGTGGTAGTTTAAATGAGAATTGCCCCCATACACTTACATACACTTACATATTTGAACATTTGGTTCACAGTTGGTGGATTGTTTAGGAATGATTAGGAAGTGTGGGGATGAGGGGAGGATATGGGGGAGACATGCAGGTGAGCAGAATTGGGGTGCATGATGTGAAACTCCCAGAGAATCACTAAAGAAGTTAAATTTAATAAAAAAAAAAGATTAGGAGGTATGGCCTTGCTGGGGAAGGTGTTAGGGGGCTGCACTTTGAGGTTTCGCAATCTCTCTGCCTCTAGAATGCAGATCAGGATGTAAACTATCACTTATTGCTCCAGCACTGTGTCTGCCTGCCTGTCGCCACAATTCCCACCATGACTGATCATGAACTAACTCTCTGAAACTGCAAGCATGCCGCCAACTAAAGGCTTTCTTCTATAAGTTGTGTTGGTCATGGAGTCTTTGCACAGCAACATAACAGTAACTAAGACATTGGGTGAAAAAATGGTATGTAAAATGTAACATGGTCCCAGGACAAACAGTGGGAATCAATTTTCCCCATTCTAAGATATGGGGCCTAAGACTGAATTCAGGTTAAACTTGGAGGCAGGTCCCTAACCTGATGAATCAATATTATCAGCTCTAAACTGTAACTCTTAATTCAAAAGGATATTTACAAATTCAATGTATGTAAATACTAACTACAAATGTATTGTCATACTTAGAAATAGTCATCACATTAAAATACTTACTTTAAAAATTAGCAATCAGCACGTAGCTCTCTGACCTCATCAGAGTTTCTTTGTGCAGTGGATGGTGGTTAACACAAAAATTCACAAGTAGTCAAAATGCAGACATCTAAGTAACTGAGGAGTGTCTCAGCCATAAAAGGGACATCAATATCACGCCCGTCCCCAAGGCTAAGAGACCATCTTAGAAAGGAGGCAGAGAGATGACAAAGCTAGAGGTGGGGAAGGACTGGATTAAAACTGTTTTCTGACTGCTGTACTCATGAACTTATAGCAGCTGTGGTTTCCTATGCAAGATCTGAGAGAGCCATTCTAGCATGGGATAGAAAGGGGTTCATGAGTTCCCACCTCTAACTGAGGAGCTATGTACAGTTGATGACTTCTATGCAAGAGACAAGTTAAGGGTGTGGCTCCTGGTGGAGAGACCACACTTCAGTGGATGGTCCCCATAACCAGAAATAAGAAATTTGAGTAGATGGGTTAATAAAAAAAGGGTACCACATTGTTGGGTTGGGGGAGGTCTGTGTGTGGTGAACAGAAGAGGAGGAGCTGAAGGTGAATATAATTAAACTATAAAGAATTAATAATACTATTTCTTACAAAAACCAGACAAGTATGCCTCATTTTTCTACACTGTATCGCTTCAGAATACATCTTTTTATTTGGCTGTCAGAGACAGAGTTTCTATGTGTAGCCCTGGCTATCCTGAAACTCACTTTTGTAAACCAGGCTGGCCTAGAACTTGGAGATCCACCTGCCTGTGACTCCCAAGGGCTGGGATTAAAGGTGTGTGCAATACTACCACCTGGCCCAAAATACATTTTTTTAAAGGGCAGAAATAAAATGTAGCTAAGGTAGCATAGGATGACCCTGAACTTGTGATTCTCCTGCCTTTATTTTTCAAGCCCTTCAGTAAAGGGTATGTACTACTAATTTGTATTTTAGTTATTGGAACTGTCCTAGTCATGAAGGTACATTCTTTATCACTGTGTAATTCTACCTAAATTCACAAGTGTTAAGAAACAAACAAAGGGCTGCTTAAAACCCCTAATGAAATAAATGACTCCAGGCATCACAAATGGACTGGGAACATGGCAGTGAACCTACAAATAACTAAACTACAACTAGCATATTCCAGGTGTTCCTACATCTCATGAGGTAATTCTGCCAAAATCTGGACCTGAATCTAACGAAGCTTTTCTTTTAAAAAACAAATTCATGTATATTGATGTTTTGACTCTAAGCATGTCTGTGTGAGGATGTCAGATCCACTGGAAGTGGAGGTAAGAACAACTATGACAAAAGACCCAGGATAGCCAAAACAACCCTGTTCTACAAGGCAACATCCGGAGGCATCACCATCCCTGACTTCAAGCTCTATTATACAGCTATAGTCCTGAAAACAGCTTGGTATTGGCATAAAAATAGACAGGTAGACCAATGGAATCGAACTGAAAACCCGGATATTAACCCACACATGTATGAACATCTGATCTTTAACAAAGAAGCTAAAAATATACAATGGAAAAAAGAAAGAAAGCATCTTCAACAAATGGTGCTGGCATAACTGGAGGCTGGCATGTAGAAGAACGCGGATAGATCCATGTTTATTGCCATGCACAAAGCTTAAGTCCAAATGGATCAAAGACCTCAACATAAATCCAGCCACACTGAACCTCTTAGAAGAGAAATTGGGTGGTACCCTTGAACGAATTGGTACAGGAGACAGCTTCCTGAACATAACACTAGTAGCACAGACAGTGAGATTAACAATTAATAAATGGGACCTCCTGAAACTAAGAAGCTTAAGGCAAAGGACACAGTCAGCAAGACAAAAAGGCAGCCCAAAGAATGGGAAAAATATTCACTAATCCCACATCTGACAGAGGGTTGATCTCCAAAATTTACAAAGAACTCAGGAAGCAGGTCTGCAAAACACCAAAGGATCCAATTAAAAAGTGGGCTGCAGAACTAAATAGAGAAGTCTCAATAGAGGAGGCTAAAACAGCCGAGAGACACTTGAGAAAGTGCTCAACATCCTTAGCCATCCGGGAAATGCAAATCAAAACAACTCTGAGATACCATCTCACTCCTGTCAGAATGGCTAAAATCAAAAACACCAACATGACAATTTATGCTGGAGAGGATGTGGTAAAAGGGGAACACTCCTCCATTGCTGGTAGGAGTGCCAACTTGTTCAGCCACTTTGGAAATCAGTATGGAGATTCCTCAGAAAAATGGGAATAAACCTACCACAAGACCCAGAAACTCCACTCTTAGGCATATATCCAAAAGATGCCCATTCATACAACAAGGATGTCTGTTCCACTATGTTCATAGTAGCATTATTTGTAATAGCCAGAACTTGGAAGAAACCGAGATGCCCCTCAACCAAACAGTGGATAGAGAAAATGTGGTACATTTACACAATGGAGTACAATTCAGCGGAAAAAAACATTGGAATCTTGAGATTTGCAGGAAATGGATGGCACTAGAAGAAACCATCCTGAACGAGGTAACCCAGTCACAAAAAGAGAAACATACATGTACTCTCTCATATATGGATTTTAGACATAGATCTGGGGAGTGCCAGCCTACAATCCCATGGCCAGAGAGTCTGGGAAACAGAACCTTCATTCAGTGCCTGATGGAAGAAGAGGCACACTCCCACGGCTAAGCACTGAGCTGAACTCAAGAAACCCAGTGACAGAGAGGGAGGACTGATGACCAAAGGGATTAAGACTGGGCTGGTTTAACCCCCACAAACAGCTGACCTGACAAGGGTTAGCTCTTGAATCCCAGGCTGATGCCTGGGAATCCAGCATGGGACTGATCAAGACCCCCTGAATGTGGGTGTCAGTGAGGAGGCCTAGGCAATCTATTGAGCCTTGGGTGTAGATCAGTATTTATCCCAGGTATACAAATGGACTTTGGACTCCCATCCAACAATGTGAGATGCACTCTCACCCTGAACTCTTGGGGGAGGGTCTAGGCCCTGCCCTGGATTAAATGACAGACTATGGACACCCCCATGGAAGGGTCTCACCCTCCCTGGGGAAATAAGGGGATATGGGGGGCTTGGGGAGAGGGCATGGGAGGAGGGGAGGGAAATGGAGAGGGACCTGGAACTGACATGTGAAGCAACCTTGTTTCTAATTTAAATTTAAAAATTAATAAGAAAAAAAAAAGAACAACTATGAGCTACCACATGGTTGCTGGGAATTGAACCTGGGTCCTCTGGAAGAGCAGCCTGTGTTCTTAACCACTGAGTCATCTCTCCAGCCCTAAATGTGTAATTCTACCTAAATTCACTTTAGACTTTACTTTCCATACACAGGAAACACAAGAGCTGAATGAGCAGTTAAGTAAAAAGAAGAGGTATGAACCAGGTAACTCCAGAATAAAGGCACCGTGGAAAATTGCCAACGCTCCTTTAACACTGGAGACTGCTGTCTAGATAAGAGTTCAACGAAAATGTGAATGTGGGATTCCTAAAAATTGAGTTGATAACACTAGCCATCAAAATGATGACTTCAGAAATTTAGCAGGACTTAAAGTTGAAATGAAAAGGTCAGAGGTCTGAGTTTCAATACAGCAGCAGGATTATGAGATGGATCAGCAGGTTAAGGTACTTACCAAAGCCTGGAACCCAAGTTTGACCACCAGGACCCACATGACAGAAGGAAAGGACTAATTCTTAGAGTGGTTGTATGAGCTACACAGCACATGGATGCAAATATACATGCACATTGACTTTAAAATAGTAATAAGAAGCCAGGAGGTGGTGGCACATGCCTTTAATTCCAGCACATGGAAGGTAGAGGCAGGTGGATCTCTGTGAATTTGAGGCCAGCCTGTTCTACAGAGTGAGTTACAGGACAGCCAGGATGGTTACATAGAGAAGCCCTGTCTCGAAAAACCCCCAAACCCAAACCAAACCAAAAACACAGTAATAAGCAACAAGAAAAAAGACAGTGTGGTGGAATATAGCTAGGAAAATGATGTGTTTCTACCAGGAGCCTATTTCTTTCTTTAGTATTAATCAGGTTTGAATTTGTGTGTGTGTGTGTGTGTGTGTGTGTGTGTGTGTGTGTGTGTGTGTGTGTGTGTGTAAAGCCTGTTATGAAGAAAAATTTTAAAAATGTAGCAGTGAGCTATGATAATCACTGTACCTCATATATTTTTGGTTTGTTTTTAAACAAAGAAAGCAGCACACCCACTGCAGAAACAGTGTGTATATAGCTCTGGTGAATCCCAAACTAAAATAACTCACCGCTTAGCAATCCTTTTGAAAGTGGTTTGAAATAATTCTTCCATAATATGTTGCTGTTCCCGACAAAGAACATCTGTCATTAACTGAAGTAACATAGGACTCTGAGATAATTCCAATGCATCTAGAAACTAAAAATAAAATAGGACAACAAAAGAAATCCATTATCAACATCATTAAAATTTGTACCTCTGACTTTTTGCAAGTTGTACACCACATACATGCCTGTTGCTCACCAAGGACAGAAGGTGGTGGCATTGGATCCCATGGAACTGGAGGAATGGACTGCTGTGCGTACTGGGAATCGAAATCAGGTCCTCTTCAAGAGCAACAAGCACTCTTAATTGCAGAGCCATCTTTCTAGGCCTTTTTTTATTTTTTTATTTTTGAGATGGAGTCTAGTGTAGCACACGTATGCAGCTGAGACTACCTGCTGCTCATTCTGGCACCTCTCAAGTTCTAGGATTATAGGCAAGTGCCATCATGTACAGTCTAGTGTAGGAGTCAATGTCACAAAGCTATCCGCCCAACAGGGCAGGGTCAAGGTAGAGATAAAAGAAAGTGAAAGGAAAAGGAGCTTCCCTTTTTTTCTGCTGGAAGCCAGCCACACTTCTGACTCCCAGCTTGTGCGACTCTCTCTCTCTCTGGTAAATAAATATATTGTTTTCCCTATATAGTATCGAGTATCGTTATAGTCTAGTAACTCAAATTTTAAAAATAAAGGAAAGGATAACAGGATGGTTTAGCAGGTAAAAGTACTTGCTGCCAAGTGGCCATCCTGCTTTCAATCTCTGTTGGAAAAGAGAGACAAACCTCCAGAAAGTTGTCATCTGATTTTCCACATGTTCAACATGATACTCAAATGTGTGGTGAGTGGACACACATAAGCACACACACAATACACACACTCTCTCACACCCCTCGCACATACACTCACACACACATACTTACATGCAGACATACATACAAATAAATACATGTAAAATCTTTTAATTGGGAAAAAATAATTTCACATATAATCTTCAAATGTAATATTTTTGTCATTCTCCCTCTATTCTCTATCTCAACATATACATGTTCTACATTTAGATTCTAGGAGATAGCTTCAAATTTATCTTCAGAAACAGAGAAGTTCTCACCTGAAAATTTCTTTTAAATGTATACATGATATTTCTTTACCTCTGAAACTATATTTGAAGTCTCTTTGGTTAGTGACTCTGTTCCCTTTGGGCTCCCCAATCCCTGGCCCCCGTTACTTTTTAATCTATGGAGAAGGCAGCAGAGTATGAGGCCTGGTTATACAAACAAGGCAAGCACTCTCCCAGTGAGTAACTATAACCCTAGTAGCAGTTTGGTTTTTTTTTTTTTTCGAGACTGGGTTTCTCTGTATTGTTTTGGAGGATATTGGTCCAGCCCAGCCTCGAACTCACAGAGATCCGCCTGCCTCTGCCTCCCGAGTGCTGGGATTAAAGGCGTGCGCCACCACTGCCCGGCTGCAGTTTGGTTTTTAAGATGAATCATTTTCTGTTTTATTACCAGTTTTGACTTCCTAGGCTAAAGGGATCTTCTTACATCCGCCCCATGTAGAACATAACAGGCCAGTGGAAAATCACCCTGGCTTTCTGGCCTGCTGCCCTTGGAGCTTCATGACTTGAAAATCTTTGCCCTGTGACTTAGCATTAACAGCCAAACAATGTTTCAAAGCAAGCCAAGCAATACTTCTGGCTGTGTTATACTAGCTCACTGTGCATGCTCTGAAAACCCTGTAAAAGCTCTCCCCTCCATCAACCCTCCGCTGTCTCAGTTCCTGGTCAGAGACAGCCACCATTCTGTATCTCTCCCCAATAATCTCTTATGTGAGGTTTGTTGTATGGCATGACTTTGTGATGATCCTGACTGCCAAGATGTCCTTGTGCCAGAAAAATATTTTTACCATGTAGCTGGTACTCCAGGCACATGGCAGCTATGCTCTTAATTTATATCTTTCTTATGTTACAAGTTTTCTTCAAATGCATTAGTATCTTATTTGCATTTATATTAGACTACTTATATCAAAAAAAGTACTAAGAATCTAATATACATCTTTGTAGATACTAAAACCATTAGCATTAAATACAGTAAGTACATTAGCATTAAGTACAGATTTGGGGTAAATGCCTAGGAAGTTCGAGGTTCCAAGTACAATTCTCAACAATGGAAAAACCCTAACCCTGAAACATTTGGACTGTTGGAGAACAAGATACTTAACAGACCACCAACTTAGGCAGACTTGAGGTTACTATGATGAAATAAGCTGAAAAGGTTGGCTTCCTGTTGCATTTGTTGCTGAGTTTAATCTGAAGCTTATGACAATCCAAATTCTATTTTAGGGGAAAAAAAGGGAAAAGAAACAAGCTAAACAAAGTAGAGAACATTTAAGGAAATAACCAGACAAATAGGTGGTGATATCTAAGAAAATTCTCCTGTTTTCTTCAACAACTGAATGTCATGGAATGGCAAAAGGAGAAGATATGAAGTAGCTCTAAACTAAGAGACTGCTAATTCAATATGTCACTGAGTAGACTCTGAGCATTTTTCTTTTCTTTTTGGGGGGGAGGGGTAGCTATCCATGAGGAATTTAGAGAAATGTAAATGTAGACTAGATCCTAGAATAACGAGAATTGTTAATTATTTTAGGTACGAAACAATACTGTACCTTATTCTAAAGGCATGCATACCAAACTATTTAGAGATAAATCATCATGTGTTTAAAAATACCTACCCTAACTAATGTTTCAGTCAAAACAAACATCAAACCAGAAACATGTACTTCCATAAATAAACTTGACAAAATTCTGTGTACTGATGAATATATGAAGCATCTGGCTTTCTGAATGTGTAATTCATAACTCCTTCACTCTCTATTTAGAAAAAAAATTAGGAAAAGGACAAAGCAGAGGATAGTCTATGAGGATGGATGCTGTTTGAAAATTGACCTGTTCATAGGGCTGCCTCATGTCCTTACAACATGGTGATCTGAAAACCATGGATAGACTCAAGAGGAAGCTGTAATGCCTTTACAGTCAGTCCTGGTGACCACACAGCAGCTCTTTCCCACTGTATTCTTTTCTTTAGGTGAACATGTCTCGGTCTAACTCAAACCTAATGAGAAGAAAGCCATTCTTGCCTCTCACTGGAGGAAATACAAAAATAGTATGCAAGAACAACATGTAGGACAAGATGCACTTCTGTGCCTATATCACATGCTTACAGCCACCCAGCGTGTGTGTGTATGTGTGTGTGTGTGTGTGTGTGTACGTATGTATGTGTGTTACATTACAGTGTGTTTTTAATGGGGCTAGGGAGGTTGTCCTTATCCCTGTGTGTGTGTTGTGTTCTTTCCTTTCTCTATTTATAAGGGTCTTGAAAACAAAGACAATCTTAATTTTGGAATTTGTGGATCAACAGTCATTATTCTCTTTCTTTTCCCTTCATTGTTAGAATCCATGAAACTCAATTGAATACACAAGGGTCCCAAATTAAAGTATATTGCTTCATTGCCTACGTGTGGCAATTAGTATATTACCAGAATAGAAACTACATGTGCAATTCCTGCTTTGAACCTTTGAGTTGGGGGCATGTGCTATGTTATCCTTTGTTGTATAGCAGTCTCCTCTGAAATAGAAACACTCTATTCAGGAAAAACACTCTAAGACAGGCAGTAACCAACATAAAATAGCTTCAGGAAGCCCATGAAACTGATCAGATTCATTAGGCCCCTCCTATTCCAAGGGTCTATAGACAGTAAAGACTGATGAGAGTCATTCTCAGGGAAGCCCAGCATTCTGGAAAAAGCAGAGACCAGCCTGACTGCCTAGAAAACACAAACACCAGCTGAGCTGCCTGGAAAGTACATTCTCCAGCCTGTTGAGCTGTCTGAAGACTGTGCAGTATGTTCCAAGTTTCCAAATTTGATGAGCTGTCATACATGCGGGGGTAGGCTTTAAGATGCACATGTCTTGTCTGAAGGGACTCTAGCCCACTTGAGCTTGTGGATCTAGTAAGCCTTGCCCTTATTCCCAATTCCCTTTACCTTGCTAAAAACCATTAGATTACATTCCTAAAGCTAGTCACCAAAGTCTGCTTCCTTATTTGGCCATTCCTCCTCCAGAGGCTGACTACCAAGGTCCAGGAATCAAACTACTGAAGTTCAGCAATCAAAAGCTCCCTTTGGGTCACCTAATTAATATGCCCAATCAAAACATACCACCACATTTGTAGTAGTTTAAATGTAAATGGCCCCCATAAGCTGATTGGGAGTGGCGATATTAGGAGGTATGGCTTTGTTGAAGTAGGTGTGGCATTCTAGGAGGAAGTGTCACTGTGGCCAGTGGGTTTTGATGTTTTCTACAGGTTCACACTACACACAGTGTCTTGGTTCACTCACTCTTGCCTGTGAGTCAAGATATACAACTCTCAGCTCCACGTTGTACCATGATGGTAATGGACTAAACCTCTGAAAATGTAAGCCACCCCAATTAAATGTTTTTCCTTTTTAAGAGTTGCCGTCATCATGGTGTCTCTTCACAGCCACAGAAACCCTAATTAAGAAAGCATCCTAACCCATTATAACACATATCTCCCCTTTTTTCTCTTAACAATTACACTACAAGGTCATTTGCTGATGTTTTCCTGTCTGAGTCAGAAAACAGCCACTTTAACTTTTCTTCCCTACTGAATAGAGGATCTCTCTGTGAAAATAGGTGTTTGGACATGGTTTGTGACTAATACAGGGTTCGAGAGAGAGCCTCAGCTGTGTGAGGTCTCCTTCCTTCACTGATGGGCTAGTAAAGTAATCCTCCAACCATTTTACACACCTTCTAGTCCTTCTGGGACCTACTTCCCTCTTCCAACAACAGTTGATTGGTAAGTCACTCACCCTGCTGTCCTAAACAGTCTCCAGGTACCAGGGACAGACGTTGAGTGTTCAATGTCCCTGCCCTGTCCTGTGGAATTGGGGAGACTGCATACCACCATGACCACTGGTTATGGTGGACTCCCATGGATTGGCTGCTAGCTAGGCACATTCCATCCATTCTGGTTTGATAGGTGGCTTTTTCCTCTGACTCTTGATGGTCACACTGCCGAAATC